GGCAATATATATAACCTAAACATTTGTATCCCCATAATAGTCTGGAATAAAAAAAATTTAAAAATAATGAAAAGATCATTACATCATAAAAAAAAGTTTATGTCCAGATTATCTAATTTGTCCTATTTTATTTGCATAAAATTATTTATAAGATTCCCTGGTTATTGTTTTAATATCTGAAGAATCTTTACTGATGTTGCTTCTCTCTTTCCCGATACTGTTAATTTGTATTTTTACTCTCTTTTTTTCCTGATTAGTCTGGCGAGAGGTATATCAATTTTATGGATCTTTTCAAAGAAACAGCTTTTGGTTTTATTGATTTTCTCCATTGTTTTTCTGTATTTGACTTCATTGAGTTCTGCTCCAAACTTTATTTCCTTTCTTTTGCTAATTTTGGGTTTAATTTAGTCTTCTTTTTTCTAGTTTCTTAAGGTAGAAGCTGAGGCTATTAATTTGATGTTGTTCATCTTTTCTAATATAGGTGTTTAGTGTTATATATTTCCCCCTACATACTGCTTTAGCAGTATTTGATGTGTTTTATTTTCATTTTCATGTATTCAAAATATTTTCTAATTTTACATTTGATTTTTTTAAACTGTGGGTTATTTAGAAGTATGCCACTTAGCTCCCACATATTTAGAGATTTTCTGAGATCTTTCTGTTATTAATTTGTAATTTAATTTCATAGTGGTCAGTATCCTCCTCAATTTGCATTAGTCTGATGTTTTCCTCATGATTAAATTCAGTTTATGCAATTTTGTTAGTAATATCACAGAAATGATGCTGTATTCTTCTTATTGCTTCCTATCATATAACACATACTTTCAGTTTTTCCCATTACTGATTAATACTGGTTTTCTCCTTTTTGTGGTTATACTGTACTGTCCTTTGCCAACAGTGAGAAACTCGCCCCCTGCTCTTTTTGATATACTATATTTACTGACTAGATCTATCCTCCATGCTAGGCTGCCCCTCTTACATGAACACCCTCCTCACCCTCCCTGGCTCTGACATCCCATGGGGGCCCATCCCTTGCCCCTGCACGGACATTCTCTTCACCTTGTTCAGCTTCTGACACGTCACACCAGTCCCCATGTGTGGACCCCTCTTCATCCAGTGTGAGTGCTCTCCTCACTGTAATTGGGCTCTGACACACCATGCGTCGCTGCCCCTCCATGGGGATACCATCTTCACCCTTCTTGGGCTCTGACTCCCCACACTAGGCTGTGCCACCCCATTGTGGAAGCCCTTCCATCCCACCTGGGTTCTCACTTTTCTGCTTTCCACAGGTTCCTTCTCCCTCCACTATGTTGGCCTTAATTTACTCTGCCCCACCTAATCGTTTTAAGAAAAACTATTGGGTGCTGGAAAAAGACGAGAAGGGCAGAGAAGAGGAAGTGCTGTGCTTTTTTTAAAAAAGATATCTGGCTATAGAGGAGCAGGGTGCAGCAGGGAAACTAGTTAAGCTGCTTTTGCCCAGTCAAGAAATGACAGTAATTTGGACTGGCTAGTAGTAGTGACATGTTGGAAAATGGTCAGATTCTGGATATATTCTAAAGGTAGAGCTGACAGTACTTCCTGATGGATTGGATGTGGGATGTGAGAGAAAAAGATGTATCAGTGATATTCCTGGCCTCTTGGCTTAAGTGACTGGTGCTAGTTACCTAGTTAGGAAAGATAAGAGGTGGAAGTTGGGGTGAAGGAATCAGAAGCTTACTTTTAGACATCTGAAGTCTGAAAATATCTGTTAGGCAGTGGAGATGTTAAACTGGCAGTTGGATATTCCAGGTCAGAGTTCAAGGGAGAAGATGAGAGCCTGGAGATTAAATCTAGGGGTACTTAGCATTTAGATAATTTTTAAAGCTATGGGATTGGTTGATTTCACTGAAAGAGGGAATATAGATGTAGAGAACATGTCCAAGGACATTTGGTTTTATTTTTTATTTAATTAATTGGTTAATTAATTATATTTATTTTATAATATTAAGGGGCTATGAATGTTTTTGTTACATGGATACCTTTTATAATGCTTATGTCAGAGCTTTTAGCATGCCCATCACCCAAATAGTGAATAGCGTTCATTGTACCTGATAGGTAAGCTTTTATCCCTTCCCTCTTTCCCCCATCACCTTCTTGCTTTCCAATGACCTTTACATCTCTTTGACATCTAATTTTAGAGTTCAGAAAAACAAGAGGTAGGATCTAGCAAAAACAACAAAAAGAGAAAAATCTGGAGGGTGGAATATAAGAAGCCAGTGAAGAGAGTGGTTTAAGAAGAGAGTGATACAATGCTGCTGACAGGCCAAGACGAGAGTATTGGTTTTGGCAATGTGGGGGATCTTAAGTCAAAGGCAAATGTGAGATACCCTCTAAATGCAGCAAGCCAGTAAAACTACAGGAGTGGCCTGCCTGTGCCACTTTGGCGCAGAAAATTGGAAAAGAGGGAGGAGAGAAAAGGAGGCTAGAGAAAAGGAAGAGATAAAGAGACCCTTTTAGAGCTGTAGTTTGCCTTACACCTTACTATCTGAGGGCTGAGGGCTGGACACCTCAATGCTGGAGTTTGATTTCCCCAAGTGTCTTGGGCCTCTCTGATAACCCTGCTGGTGATACTCTGAGTCAAGGGAACCATTTCACCTATTTCTCTGAGATAGGCACACTCATCCCACCAACCTAATCTTAAAAAATCTTTCAGGGGCTCTTCTTTTCCTTGGGCAAAGACAATGGAGCCATCTACTCAAATAGCGGTCAGCTACCTTTTGGGAATTCCTATACTTTATCCTTGTTTTGTTTCTGTGACTTTTCCAAAAAGTGCTTTGAGGATACATAGTAATAAAAAACTAGAAGCAAATGGCATTTTGTAGGTGACTTTATCAATATACTCTCTAAGATCCATGTAGATATCCTGAGTTGCCTCACAGACGGGAATGAAAATCAGTGCTGCAGGGATCTAGAACTCTTATTGTCTAGGCTGGCTGAGTAGAGCTTCCTGTCCATATTTTTGGAGGATCACTTTTATAGTCATCTCCATATACTAAGAAGAAACTGGGGGGAGCTTTTTACCTGTGTAATCCTCCAAGCATCCCCAGCAAATACAGCTTAAAGCAGCCCTCAAGATTGCCCTTTCCAACCAGAGTGCTATGCCTAAGCCTCTGTTATGGGCTAAGTTGTGCTCACCCCCCAAATTCATATGTTGAAGCCCTAACACCTAGTACCTCAGAATGTGACTGTGTATGGAGATAGGGCCTTTAAGAGGCAATTAAAGTTAAATGATCTGTCGGCAGCAGAAAGAAAAAAAAAAAGGTTAAACGAGTCTATAAGGGTGGGCCCTAGTCTAATATGGCTGGTGTTTATAAGAGGAGACACCAGGGATGCAGGGACACAGAGGAAAGACCATGTGAAGACACACTGAGAAGGTCACTATCTGCAAGCCAAAAAGAGAGCCCTCAGGACAAACCAGACCTGCTGACACCTTGATCTTGATGTACAGCCTCCAGAACTATGGAAATAAAATGTTGTTTAAGTCACCAGTCTGTGGTATTTAGTTATAGCAGCCCTTGCAAACAAACACAGCCTCCCATAACGAAAGGATGGTACGCCACTGCTGCCCCTGCATTTGTAACACAGATACAAGTGAGCAGCTCCTGTTCACAGTTCCTGACAAACAAGGAAACCAAATACATCCCCCACCTTCCCTTGGGAAGCATGTCTCTTTGAAAAGAATATTAAATGAGCCAGTTTTAGGAACTGTTATAAAGGAGAAGAGGCTGGCTCTGGAAAAAACTGGGGTTCCAGGCTTTGAGCAAATCTCACTTCTTTCTTCTAACTAGACATTTTTATTCTGGTATGATTACATTAAATTTAATATCCAAGTCAGTCTTGAAGGAGAAAATTGATTTTAAAAAGGACAATATGGCAAATATTTGTGGAAAGGAAGAGGAGTGTTCATGAGACTTGAATCTAGAATAGATGAGTTATGGACTGTTAGTCTGCTTGTCTTCTATGGAAGCCTTCTACAATCTTTGCAGCCCTAGTTCCTGACCTGAGCTATCTCCTTGTCCACTTCTCTGCCTCACTGAGTCTGATGAACCTGTTGTCTTCTGGAGTCTCTATTGGTTGGGGGAAGAAAGTCTGTTCTTTGGAGGTACTTTATTCACCTGAAGGGCATAGGAAATGGAGGCAAGTTTAACTTCAATCCAATTGCACCTAATTTCTAAATTCTTGAAATAAAGGGCTCATGAGGGTGATTGAACTGGAAAATTGAAGGAAAATTTTCCTTTTCAGTTATGACCTTGAGTGCTGAAACAAAACTGCATCCCTCAATCCATACTTACACAGTTTTCCTGATGAACTGAAAAGAGTAGCTACAATACCCACTTTGTCTAATTTCTTTTTTTAAGGTGGGGTATATGTGACCACATTGTCAGAAATAGATCCCATGTAGGATGTAGGTTACAGATTAGTTTTAAGAGCACTGGACTGAGAGGAAGGGGATTTCCCTCCTAGTCCTTCCAACCTCGGGAGCTCAAACTAATCTTTTGTCAAACGCCTACTAGATGATGTCCACTGACTCTTTAATTCAACAAGTATCTTTTTGTCAAGCATGTTCAAGATGTTGCTCTTCCCAACTAAACCATTCTAGAATTTCCAGTATTTCTGAGCAACTCTTCGGCGTGTTTAGCCCCGAGTTGAGCCGTGCGCACCCCATTTTAGTTTCTGCAGCCCATCCTCCAGAAGCTCACAGGGTACGGGGAAGACATGAGTAATGCCCCCGAAGCAAGTACGAAATAATGGCACAGGATAGCAGATGATCAAATGTTAAAACGTACTCAGGACTGAAACATCCTGCCTGGCCCGCAACAGACAGTAAGGTGAAAAGTCAAACGGAAGGACTCAGCGTCCGGTGCACCAGCAGCGCGCCGAGCTTGGAGCCCCGCGCTCTGGGGGCGGGGCCGGGCGGTGCGAACACTCCCCCGCCGCCCACCACGCCCCGCGGCGGCCTCTTTAAGAAGTGGAGCCGCAAGCGGGGCAGGCCGGCGTTCACGTGACCGGGCGCCGCCCGCTGGCTCGCGGAAGTCCTCCGCGTTAGGCGCCGGGACCCCCGGATGCCCTGCGAGGCAGGCAGGCTCCGCTGGGCTGGCCCGCAGCCGGCCGCCGGGATGGTGCAGCTGTACAACCTGCACCCGTTTGGGTCGCAGCAGGTGGTGCCCTGCAAGCTGGAGCCCGAGCGGTTCTGCGGCGGGGGGCGGGACGCGCTGTTCGTGGCGGCGGGCTGCAAGGTGGAGGCGTTCGCCGTGGCGGGCCAGGAGCTGTGCCAGCCGAGGTGCGCCTTCTCCACGCTGGGCCGGGTGCTGCACCTGGCCTACAGCGAGGCGGGTGAGTAGGCGGGAGGGGCGGCAGGGCCAAGGGGCACTTGGGGCCTCCTCCCTAGCGGACCGAGTGTGCTGGCTGCCACTCTAGGTGGGGAAGGGACTTTGTGCTTCCTGGAACTTGCCGAATGGTCTCGAGTGGTCTGGGTCTGGCCGCTGATTGCTTAAAGGTGCGCTGAGCTGTGCGGTTGTCCCGGGCAACGAAAGGTGTGAGCCGGCTTCTGGTGGGGCGGGATGCTGACTGCTGCTTCTCATCTTGGTCCTTGCCAGAAAGGCCTGTGGCTGGGTTCCACTCATCCCAGACACTTAAACAAAAACCCAAACACAACTCTTTTAGTGTAGAAAATATCAAACATATTTTAAAAGTAGGAATAGGGAGAACAGTACTGTATCCTGAACCCCAAACTACTCGCAGCTTTAACAACTCATGGCATTTTGTTGTTGTTGTAAGTCAAGATCTTGCTAGAATGTGGTGTCATCATAGCTCACTGCAGCCTCATACTCCTGTGCTCAAGCGATCATCCTGCCTCAGATCATCCTGCCTCAGCCCCGCAGTGAATGGCTTCGACTCTAGGCTCCTGTGACCACGCTGGCTTGATTTTTCTATTTGTTGTAGAGACAGAGTCTCGCTGTGTCGTTCAGGCTGGTCTCGAACCCCTAGCCTCAAACCATCCTTCTGCCTTTGCCTCCCAAAGTGTTAGGATTACAGGTGTGAGCCACTACACCTGGCATACCAAGTAAATGGATCTATGCTTCCATCTACTTCTGGTTGGTTTTTGAAAGCTCAGATTTTTAAATGTACATAAATAGAACTCAGGTCTTAGACCTCCCTCTACCCCCTCCTTAAACAGCTGTAGGAGCAGCCACTACTCTTTTTCACTAGAAACCTGAAGCAGCACCAACGGGGCATTGTGTGAGTGTATCTTTATTTTAGAAAAAGCCAACATTTAAAGGTAAATACTTTTTCAGATTATGGAAGAATTCACCATAGGATTCTTCTAACTGCCTAAAACACTTAATTTTTACTCGTACTTTATAAGAGAGGTGTAAAGTGCAGTATTTATGGTGGAAAAGCTGGTGGCTGTGGTACAATGAAGTGGAGAGCTTGAACCTGGAGGATTGGAGACCTGCCTCTACTCCCTACTCTGCAGCTGATTCATTGTGATCTTTGGGTCTCAGTTTCTGTTAAAAAAAAAAAAAAAGTAAGTCAAATTATTATAAAAGATCAATGATTTCCAGACATTGGGATTTTGTGAATCAATTAAAAACTATGAGGCTACCATCCATAGCATCTGACTGGTCATTTTGTCAGGGAAAGATATATATAGGCATACCTTGTTCTATTGTGCTTTGCTTTATTGCACTTCGCAGGTAAATCGTGTCCTTTTACAAATTGAAGATTTGTGGCAACCTTGTGTTGAGCAAGTTTATCAGCACCATTTTTCTTGCAATATTTGCTCACCTCATGTCTCTGTCACTTATTTTATTCTTGCAATATTTCAAACTTTTTCATCATTATTATTATGTCTGTTATGGTGCTCTGTGGTCAATGATCTTTGATTTAGTATTGCAATTGTTTTGGGGTGCCACAAACCACCTCCATATAAGACCAGGAACTTAATCATTAAAATGTTGTGTATGTTCTGATTGCTCCACTGACTAGTGGTTTCCCATCTCTCTCTCTCTTTCCTGGGGCCTCCCCATCCCCCAAGACAAAAATTTTGAAATTAGGCCAGTTAACCCTATAGTGGCCTCTTAGTGTTCAAGTGAAAGGAAGAATTGCAGGTCTCTCATTTTAAATCTTGAAAGCTAGAAATGATTAAGCTTAGTGAGGAAGGCATATCTAAAACTGAAAGAGGCTGAATAAAGCTAGTCCTCTTACACCAAACACTTAGCCAAGTTGCGAGTGAAAAGGAAAATTTCTTAAAATTGAAAGTACTACTCCAGTGAAGACATGAATGATAAGAAAGTAAAACAGCCTTATTGCAGATATGGAAAAAGTTTTAGGAGTCCAGATAGAAGATTAAACCAGGCACAACATTCCCTTAAACCTAAGTCTAATCCAGAGCCACGCCCTGACTCTGTTCAGTTCTGTGAAGGCTGAGAGAGGGGAGAAAGCTGCCGAAGAAAAGTTTAAAGCTAGGGGAGGTTGGTTCATGAGGATTAAGGAAAGAAGTTGTCTCCATAATATTAAAGTACAAGGCAAAGCAGCAACAAGTAGAAATTGCAACAAGTTATCCAGAAGATCTAGCTAAGATTGATAAAGGTGGCTACACTAAACAACAGATTTTCATCGTAGCCCAAACAGTCTTCTATTGGAAGAAGATGCCATCTAGGACTTTCCTAGCTAGGGAGAAGTCAATGCCTGGCTTCAAAGGACAGGCTGACTCTCTTGTTAGGGGTCAGTGTAGCTGGTGACTTTAAGTGGAAGCCAATCCTCATTTACCATTCCAAAAATTCTAGGGCTTTTAAAAATTATGCTATATCTCCTTTGCGTGTGCTATATAAATGGAACAACAAGGCCTGGATGATAGCACACCTCAGGAAAAAAGATTCCTTTCAAAATATTACTGCTCATGACAATGTACTTGGTCACCCAAGAGCTCTAATGAAGATGTACAAGGAATTGAATTAATGAATTTTTTTGTTGTTGTTTTTGAAGACAGGGTCTTCCTTGCTCTTATGCCCTGGCTAGATAACCTCCCCTGTAGCTGGGACTACTGGTGCACACCACCATACCTGGCTAATTTAGTTTATTTTTTTTGTTTAGACAGGGTCTTGCTATTGTCCAACCTGGTCTCCAACTCCTGGCCACAAACAATCTGCCTTCCTTAACCTCCCAAATTGCTAGGATTACAGGCATGAACCACCATGCCCGGCCTAAATCGACTTTTGACTATAGAGCTCTTTTTAAAAAAATCCTTTTAAATCTTTTGTTATCAGATTTTAGCCAGGATAAACAGCCAGTATTTCTGGGTTTTGAATTTTTTTATTTATCCTCCTAAGTGAAACTAGTAAGCCTTCATCAAGGTTATGACTTCACCAAGGACACAAAGGCATCTTTGAAGAGGTGCAAAGCAGCCCTCACAAGATCTGGACCCACACCTAAGACAGTACAAAGAAAAGAAAGTTTTGCTAGCCATAGATGGAGTACAATCCACATTTCTGTCCAGCCATATTTTCTAGGGTCTCAGTTTCTTATCTATACATAAAGGCCCAAAAGCCTCATGTGCCCCCCACAGATTGAAGAAGACAGGAAATCAAAGCTGTCCATAGAAGGGAAAAGGATAAATATCAAATGGGTACTCCAAAAAGTCAAAAGTCACACAGTTATCAAACCAAGAGGGACTGGTTCCCTGACCAGGGATGGCACATAGGCTGTAGTAGATTACAAGGTGGAGGCAGCATCATGAATGTTGTTTTTATGCTTGCTAACCCAACATCCATTCTGCAGTCCTTGGATCAAAAAGTAAATCTGACTTTCAAGTCTTACTGTATAAGAAATACATTTCATAAGGCTATAACTGCCACAGAGAGTGATTCCTCTGATGGATCTGGTAACCCTTCTGGGAAGGATTCACCATTCTAGATGCCATTAAGAACATTTGTGATTCATGAGAGGAGGTTAAAATATCAACATGAACAGTTTGGAAGAAATTGATTTCAACCCTCATGGGTGACTTTGAGGGGTTCCAAACTACAGTGGAGGAAATAACTGCAGATGTGGTGGAAATAGCAAGAGAACTAGAATTAGAAGTGGAGCCTTAAGATGTTACTGAATTGCTGCAAACTCATGATAAAACTTGAATGGATGAGGAGTCATATCTTTTGGATGAGCAAAGAAAGTGATTTCTTGAGAATGGCTCTATGCCTAGTGAAAGATGTTTTGCACATTGTTGAAATACAACAAAGCATTTAGAATATTTCATAAATTTAGTTGATAAAGCAGTGGCAGGGTTGGAGAGGATTGACTCCCATTTTGAAAGAAGTTCTATTATGGGTAAAATGATATCATTAGTATTGCATGCTACTGAGAAATCTTTTGTGAAAGGAGTCATTTGATGCTGTGAACTTCATTGTTGTCTTATTTTAAAAAGTTACCACAGCCACCCCAAGTTTCAGCAACCACCTCCCTTATCAGTCAGCATCCTTCAACACGGCAAGACCCTCCACTAGCAAAAGGATTATGACTCACTGAAGGATCAGATGATTGTTAGCATTTTTTTAGCAATGAAGTATTTTTTAATTAAGGTATATACATTGTTTTTTTAGACATTATGCTATCACACACTTAATAAACTACAGTGTAGTGTAAACATAACTTTTATATGCTCTGGGAAACAAAAAAATGTGACTCTCTTTATTGCAATAGTCTAGAAGCAAACCTGCAATATCTCCAAGGTATGCTTACGTTAAAAACAACAACAAAAAACAGGAAAAAAAAGTCCTACCATTACTGTCACCATTATTTATAAAAAAGAAAAAAAAAAGATACCATCAAATGTTGGATACCTTTATCTTTCTGAGCAACTTACTCTGTTGTCATTGTTTTTTCTTTTTGCCTAATGACATCATCAGCAGGGGACTGCAGAGACTCTGATTTTGGTATTTCTTATGAAATCTATCTTTAATGGTCATACCTTTTACAATATTGGTAGATTTTCCCACCCCACCCCCTTTTAGGCATAGGTATTAGGCATAGCCACCTTCAAGTTCTATTGAGTGTTAAATTCACCAGTTTCAACTTGTGTGTGTGTGTGTGAGTGTGTGCGCATATGTGTACACAAGAGGGACAAGTACAGACAGTATGTTTACGTGATTTGCCCTATTCTTCCAAATGAACATTTATTCTAGAATTTGAAGTGGCAGGCATTATTTGTAAACTTCTAGATTTCTTGCCTGTCGGTAATGATGATTCCTGGGATCCAGAGATGGCCGCCGCCTGTGCATAAGAATCACCTGAGAAGCTTTAAAAAATCCCATGCTTTGGGCTCACACCCTCTGAGATATAGTGTGTTTCCCTGGGTTGAGGCCAGCATTGGGATGAGTTAAATGTTTTAGCCAGGATTCAGAACCGCTAGTCTAGAGCTACACTGGCTGCAGGAGACATGGTAACCTCAGTGAGGCCTAGCAGGACAAAGAAGTTTTTATAATCCACTTGGTTGCCTTAAAGGAAGCTCAGGAGTCATGTGGGATGGCGTAAGTGTCATGGATATATATAGCTCCAGGGTAACTTTCAGTTCAGGATTTGAACTTTAGCCCCTGGGTACAGCTCCTTTAATATCTACACATAATTAAATACAAAATAGGGCTGACTCACACATAATTGAACACAAAATAGGGCTGACTCCTGGCTATGCTGATATTCAGATAAATTGTTTTCCACTTCTCAGCTTTTCCCTTTTGGCCCCTTCCTCCCATTCACAGTAACTGGAACATGAGGATTCCCGCCCTCAATGCCCAGTGTCCTCCTCTGTAGCTCATCTCCCCTTGTAGAAAATGGATTCTTAAATCAGCCACTTATATTTACTATGAACACTTCGCAAACAAAAAACCAAACACCACATGCTCTTACCTATAAGTGGGAGCTAAGCAATGGGTATGCATGGTCATACAGAGAGACTTAATGGACGTTGGAGACTCAAGGTGCAGGATGAAAAATTATCAAGTACAATGTACACTATTCAGGTGATGGATAAACTAAAAGCCTAGACTTCTATACTATACAGTTCATCTATGTAACAAAAAACCATTTGTACCCCCTAACTCTATTAAAATAAAATTTAAGAAAGTATTTATAAAGGAAAAAAAATGTTTTGTAGGTCTTTTACACAAGCAGAAAATATTTCAGGGTTTCATTGTTGTTGTTAAATCTCTCATTAGCTGAAAACTATCATAAAATTTGGGATTGTTAGGAAAAAAGTAGGCAGAAAATTTGAAGGATGGGGCCCCATAGCAGCAGCAACAAGGGAAAATTTAGGCTCTTTTTGTGAAGGGAAGACAAGGGAGACCTGAGAATTCCCCACTCAAAAGACCTAGTGTTTGGGTGGCGGAGCACTTGTAGGAAGCTCTGGTGCAGGACACTGTTCATGGGGTGTGGGAACGGTGGGGCTAGGAGGACAAGACCTCATGGCTCTCGTTGCCTGTCCTTTAGCACAAGTGTGCTAAACCAGCCCTAGCCTATTCTCCCAAACCCCATCTTCCCTCAACTTTTCCAAAATCTTAAAACATATTTGATGCCTCATACATTATATTTGTCTTCTTATGTCAGTTTTGTCAAAGGGAATGCAATCTCCTCCATAATCTGACATTGTTGACCAAGTTTGTGATCCTGCTACATAAAAAGGAAAGTTTACTTACTTTAAAAATCAGTAAGTCTATGGTAGGGCTCCACAACCATGGATTCAGCCCACTGCAGATTTTGTAAGAAGGAAAAGATTACAAATCTGACGACATAAAAATTGTATGGTAAAAGATGCCATATGCAAAGTCAAAATCAAATGATAGACTACCAAAACCTGTTTATTGTGCATGGCCAACAAAGGGTTAATATCCCTCTTCCCTAGAAAGCTGAGATTCCTTGATTAGAAAAACAAATCAACAACCTAATAAAAAAAAAATGGACAATAATAAAAGATGGCCAGCTTTGTAAGTGGTCTGGGAAATGTAAAGTGTAATAGCCATGGGAGTCCATGTTTTCTTGATCAGATAGAGCCAGCGCTAGTAAGGATATGAGGAAACAGGTATGTTCACACAGGGCCACTGGCAACACAGATTGCTGTTATCTAATTATGGTAGTAATCTGGCAACACTCATTACACTTTAAAATGCACCTGACCTTTGGTCCAACATTCTCTTTTTTGGGAATCTTTGCCATTAAAACAAACACCCCAGGAGGTATAAATCTAGATAGGTATAGACCTGTTTATTACAGTGTGAAACATAGCGGCAAAAAACCTGGAAATACTTGAGTGTATATCAACTGGGGAATTGTTGAATAAATTATGGCACATGTATATATGAGATGTTTTACAGATATTGAAAAGGATATTAGATGTCCATGTATCAACCTAGAGGGAAAGATTTATTGATAATTTTTAAAAAGTAGATTGTTAAATATATTTAGTGTGATTCCATTTTGGTTAAAAACAACAAAACAAAAACCCGAAGAGCAAGAAACTAGAACACCATTCTGTGATCTATGTTTATGTGAGAGAAAGGCATTGAAGGGCCCACAGCAGGCAGCCTGTCAACATTGGATCCTCAGGGCTAGGACTGCAAGGGGGAGATCATTATGCTTTCAATTTTGCCTCTTTTTACCACTTTACCATTTGACTTCTCACAACTAATACATGTTACTTTTATAAGTTAAGAAAGCTTATACAATAACTCTCCCCCTCTCCCAAAAAAAGAAAGTTCACACAATCAACAATTAAGAAAAAATTTACTTGGATTTATATTTGGTTTAATATTTCCAGCTTTATTCTATTTCTCAGAGTTGTGACTTTTGTGGGAAGGAGAGAGGTTAGAGTACAAGTTCTGCTAACCTCAGAGTTCCTTAATTTATACCTCATTTTAAGGTCACACTAATATTGCTGAACTCTGTCAATAGAGCTTTGTTGGAGCTATAGATTTAGAGCTACAGTGAACACTTAAGAGTTAACGTGAATAAAATGTGAACTTTCTATGTTACATAGATAATTAAGACACTAAAATGGAGAGATGAGGAGAGATTGTATTTCAGAATCTCAGTGCCTAAGGTCAGTTAAAAATGCAACTAGGATTTTGTTACTTAGGGTTTTGTGCTATTCAATCTTTAATTCAACCATTGGCATTAGGATTCATTAATAGTTCTATTTGATGACAGTAAGGTAAGTGGTTGTGTTTCTGATTACAAATTCTAAGTGTAATCTTATTTCCATCCCAGGAGACTATTTGGTAGCAATTGAAGAGAAAAACAAAGCTACGTTTCTGCGTGCTTACGTGAACTGGAGAAATAAAAGGACTGAGAATTCTCGAGTGTGTATTCGAATGGTTGGGCATAATGTGGAGACACCCTTCAGCGAAAACTTCAGAGACCAGATGTCTATTATTGAAATGCCACTTTCTGAGGCCCCCTTGTGCATTTCCTGTTGCCCTGTGAAAGGAGATCTTCTTGTTGGCTGCACAAATAAGTTAGTCTTATTTAATTTGACGTATCAGATCATCAACGAGGAATTTTCAGTATTGGACTTTGAACGTTCTTTAATTATACACATAGATAATATCACTCCTGTCGAAATTTCTTTTTGTGTTGGTTATGTTGGTGTCATGTCAGATTTAGAAGTCTTAATCCTAAAACTGGAGTCAGACCCTAAAAATGGAGAGAGAGTTAACCACCATCCACGCAATCCAATGAAACAGACAGAAGAAGGTAAATGATGAATCTAACTTGCTTTCTTGTTTTAGGTGTAGAGAAAACCTTTACCTTTGGCAATTTCTGAAGGGCTCTAGTATATATGGTGTCAAGCCACATTTTTATAGATTTAGTTATTCCTGTTACATGGGATTTGAGTTTGTGATCTGGCTGTCCGGATCTTATGCTGTACCTTGTAATTGTATTCGTGTGTGTATTTGTCAACAGAAGTAATGGAACAGTCACAGATAGATAAGCAGTTTCTAGTCCATTAAGTTAACAACACCATCTCTGTGTTTCAATTTCCTCATGTGTAAAATGGGGATGATAATACCTATCTTGTGATACTTTATCAGTTGTTGTGGGGAATAAATGAGCAAGTGGTGAGGATTTTCAAAACCACAGTGCCTTCTAAATCTATGAAATGTGTGTGTGTATATAACTAAATCAAATTACTATATATCTGATTAATTGGTGTGAGGATATTGTGAAATCTAGTTTTCATTTAAGCAGACAGTAGTACTTAAAGTTGTTAAACTCTTAAATTTTATTTTTCAAGGTATCAGTAATGAAATTTCACAGCTTGAGTCAGATGATTTTGTTATCTGCCAAAAGCCCATGGAACTTCTTGGTAAAAAAAGTGAACAGTCTGGATTATCTGTTACACTGGAATCTACAGGATTAGCTGATGAAAAACTAAAGTATTTCCATATCCAGCACCTACTGTATAGGTATTAGAGAGCTATTTATTTACCAGCACTTAATATATATGTACCTGGTTAAAGTACATGGAAATTACATTTCTCCCTCTGTCTTTTTCAACTCACAGACGTTTTACACCTGATATTTCATCTTATGACTTGTCTGATGACATCAGGCTACATTCCCTCCAGCTGCTACCTATTTACCAAACAGGTAAGTATGACAGTGCGGGAGTGCGACCATGCAGCAAGGTACAAAGGCTCTGGCTGAGGAAGGGAGACCAACGTGGGTTGATAGGCTTGGTTCTTCCATTGTGTCTCCCTGTGACCCTGGACAAGATCCTTAGCAAATACCTGTGAGCACTAGAGGGAAGTCATGTCTGCCAGGAGAAGTCATGGAGAGGGTGTGATAGACAGAATGCTTTCCCTTTTTGAAATGGTCTCTAGGTCTAGAAAGGGGAAATCCGAGCTCTGGTAGAACTGAGGTATGTCTGTATTCTAGCTGAGTATCTGGCAAAGCTTCTTACAGTGGCCTTGTGAGCAAGGTAGGAAAAGGTGGACTGAATGGAAATTCATTTAGAGTAGTGGTTTTCAATCAGTGCTGCACATCAGGCTTACCTGGATGCTGTTAAGAAATACTGATGCCCAGGTTCTACATGCTGGATATTCTGACTTAATTGGTCAATTATGGGGCTTAGGCATCAGTATTTTTCAAAAGTTCTGTAGGAGTCTAATGGACACCAAGATTGAGAATTACTAATAGGTTCTGCACTCAGTCCTGGCCTGCTTAACATCTTTAGATATTGTCTAGAAAAATATATAAATATTATTCCAATTAAATGTCTTTATTACCTTCATTTTATTTCTTTCTTTCTAAATATTCTTTCCAAATATTCTTTACTGAATATTTATCGACTACCTACTATGTTGAGTATTGTGCTGAATACTGGGGAACCAACAGTGAGCAAAGTGCCTATACTTATGTAGCTAATTGGCAAGGGAAGGCAGACATTAATCGAATAATCACAAAATCACAATTTTACCCTGAAATGAGTGCTCTGTTGGAAAGGAACCCCGGTGTAAGAGCCTATAACAAAAGACCCTGACATCAGACCTCATCTGGAGGTCAGGGAAGGCTTCTTGAGGAAGAGGATGTGAAGAGTGAATTGGGCTGACTCGGGAATAGCGGTTGGTACAGGGGAGGGGAAGAGAGCATACCAGGCAGAGGAAGCAGCAAAAGTTGCTGCTGAGGGACGGTCATGTTTGAGGAACTGAGAGAAGCCAGTCTGGGGAGAGTGGAGCAAGGGAGGGGAGGTGTGAGACAGGCTGGAGACCAGACAGGGCCCATGGCCATGTTAGAGGGTCAGCTCTTTATCCAGTGAGCTTTCCATAGCATTTGGAATAAAAATCCCAAATCCATTCCATAGCCTATGTGACCCTAACTCTGAGCTCATCTTTTCTGACTGTCACCCTGCTTACTATTCTCCATCCATAGTGACCTTTCTCTCTTCCTCAGGTATGCCAAGTATACGCTTACCTAAGATGTGTTATTTGCTCTTCCTGTGCTGAGAAATGTGTTTCCTCAGATCTTGTGTGATAGGTGCATTCAGGTCATTCAACTCACAGCTGAAATGTAACCTTACCACAGAGGACTTCCCTGACCTCTTAGTTTAAAATCTCCTTTATGCACATACTGTGGAGTTTACTTGTTCATTCCTCATTCCAATCCCCATCACTGGAAGGAAGGCTCTATGAAAGCACTTACCTTGTCTTATATACTGTTGTGTCCCTAGAACTTAGAATAGTAGCACTTAGTAGGTACCTGATGAATATTTACTAAATAGACAAATGGTGATGTGTGTTTGAGCTGGGCCCTAATGGATGAGTAGAATGTTTAGAAGATGGAGATTTTGGTAAGATACTACATAGGAGGAACTAACATGTGCAAGGTGTAAAATTATGTGTGTTTGGAGATTAGTGAGCAATTCTGTTTGGCTAGAGCACAGATGTGGGAAGAAAAGGAGAGAGAAAAAAAACTGAGCATTTGGCTTTGGGCAAAATGTGGAAAGTGCAGAGTTGGACTTCTGATATTAATGGGTGTCCTTGAAGAGTGTCAATCAGAAGAGTACTGTTTAAAAAATTTTGGTTGTAAAATATTTCAAACAGAAAGTAGCATTGATTCTTTCCCTTTATTGGTTTCCTGGTATTTATTTCTTTCATTTTTTGCATGCAGGTTCTTCTGATGGAAAAAGTTTGTCTCAGGAAAAAGAGTTGCTGAGTCTCTTTTGTTTCTTCTCCTTACCTCATGTGGGCTATCTCTACATGATTGTCAAATCCGTTGAATTAATGTCAGTCTACCACTATCCGGAGAAGTCTCAGCAGGCGGTGCTCACCCCACAATTTTTACACGTCATTACAAGGTACTGTTACAGTATCACTTGCTAGCCTTCCAGGCACTTATTTTTCTGTCAGTTTTTGAAGTGCTGCTTAAATCTTTAGCTGAGAATTGTGTCAGCTTATATAGAGCACTGTAATGAGTTACATTTGTCTTTTCAAAGCTGTTTTTTGATGTCCTATACCTGCCTTTGCCATGCCAAATATTTAGACTCCGGTTTTGTCTTTGTTTTGTTTCCTTAGACTGGATGGGGATCTTTGTAAGGAATTATAAGGTTCTTTAAGAAGGAAGATTTTTATAGGGAATTCTAATGAAAAGTCACTGGGGCCAGACAGGGAATCTCTTCAGATTTCTTTTTAGATTTCCTAAATTTCTTTTTTCACTACTACTGTATTTTTTCAGTACGAATCAAATTATTTCATAATGGTTTAGAACTTTGAAAAGACCAGAAAGATGATTTGATTCTACTCCTTAATTAGTATATATAAGGAAATAGAGAGAGGTTGGGATTGGCCAAAGTCATGTGCTAATTAGTAGCAGATGTCTTCTGAGTCGCCTTACCCTGGTACGCTGGCATGGAGACTGGGTTCCTGAGCAGGAGTTTGATCTTACTTCCTTTTATTCAGTAGTAGGTGATGCTTTTGGTTCTGTTTCCTGTTTTTTGAGCTTAGATTATGTTCAAGGCATTGCCTTGTTCCCTCTGACTAAGCAACTGTGAATAAGGTACACCAGCTGCTTTCTAAAGCAGTATAAGAAAAGGTTATGGACACAATGCATACAAGGGCTGCAAACACTAGGAGATTTGTGAAAAATGTCTTAAGACTTCACGAGAGTGCTGTAGGCATTGGAAGGAGGGAAATTACTTCTGGCTGAGTCATATGGGGAAGTTGTAGATAGGTTCTTGTGTTCGAAGTGAGTCCTGAAAGCTAGGTGGAATTGTGATGGATGAAGATTGGAAGACATGGGCGCTATAGATAGAGGAAGACCATAAACAAAGGCTATATCCAGTTTTTTAGGAACATCTAATAATTAACTGCACAAAACAGTAATCCCCCCTGTCCCCCCAGCTGAGTGGTAGTATCAGAATCTCCAGCAAGTGCTAAGAGTATATTTCTAACTGTGGAGAACTCACCTGGAGATTCTGATACCCACTCTTAGTGGTCGTGTTCCCCTTTCCTTCTGATTTTTGGTATAAGGAGAAATGCTGCTGATGGGAGTGTGTTTCTTAAGTGAACAATGTGGAGGTAGCTAGTCTTCCCAATTTCCAAAGTGTTGTGTAGTGATGTTCTTTAAATATGAAGAAGCTGAAAAGTAGAGAAGTGGTGAAAATAATGCTTGAAAGAGAGCTCAAAGCTTTGAAAATTAAACTAAGGAATTTTTTAAGGTTTTGACCAGAGAAAGTGATGTGATCACAACATTGCTCTAGGAAAATTAGTGGTGGCTCCTGTGAAGGAAGGATTGAACACAGATGAATAAGCTATTGAAATGGTTCAGGCAATGATATTAAGGAGCTATACTCGGTAGCAGGAAGGAAGGATGGATAGGAGAGTCTTCAGCATGAGAGCTGCAGACTTGGTGTCTGATGGGATAACGGAGATGGAAGAGGCATGAAAAACCCCACCAGGGTTTGGAGCCTGCTTTTATGAAAGAATGGAGGCTGGTGTAATGTGGGGTGAAAGAAGGTAGGTTTAGACATTTGAGTTTGAGATGTTTATGGACTATTGAAAGGGAATGTTAAGTAGGCTTTTGGATACATAGAGCTGTGTATTAGGTTGGAGAAGAAAGCTTAGAAGTTTTGTTATCATCAAAAAAAGAGCTGATTATCAAAGTAGTGAGCATGGCCCCAAGAATGTGTAGCCAGGAAAAAGTCCTTGGAGAATTAAACTCTGGTGAAGGTCATGTTTAGTAAGCAAGAGGAGAAAGAGAAAGATCTTTACGGATGCAGAAGAACTAGGAAACGACAGCATTTCAAAAATCAAGGAAAAGGAGAGGGAAGAGGAAGAAATAAAAATAATAATTTCTGTCCCAAAATATTGATGCAAAAGACCATCCATCTTTTCTCCTTATGATTGTGTACATGTACAGGACACTGAGAATTTCATGAGTTAACCCACTCAATTTATTGCCCCATGTCTCTTATCTATAAGTCAAGGACTAATTTTATATGTAGAGTACTGAAAACGTAGTATTATGAGGGTTTGAAAGGACTTATAATTTGTGGATTTTTGACTGCTTCCAGGTAGAAAATTTTTGGAGTTTTCTTAGTATCAGCGCCAAAGATACTCTGATACATTAACCTGACCATGTAACCATTAGACATTAGAATAGAGGTTATAATAAAGTCAGATTCTTAATAGGGTCCCCCACTCCTATATTTAAAATTCTATATTGTTGAACTCATTTATACATATTTTTTATTTTACCCAATAGATACATGTTTTAGAAAAATCTTGTCCCAGATACTATGAACACTATATGGGTGACGGGCACACCTATAGCTAGGACTCAAGCATTACGAAAACAATCTATGTAACCGAAACAAAGTACCCCTTTAATATTTTGAAATAAATTTTTTTAAAAGTTAAAAAAGAAAGAAAAATCTTGTCCCAATAAGGTTATTTTGAGAAGTTTCTCAAAGATTGGTATGTGTACATACCTAAAAAGAGCACATTGCAAAATTTTTCTTTTAAGAATCGAGGAACAAAATAAAATCATGTAAAATGCCAGCCTTATAGAAATATGTAAGTAGGAAAGCCCGCCATGAAAGCCTATTCCCCAGAGTCAACCGTATATACAATTGGTATGTATTCATCCAACTTTTTTCTTTAAAGTACATATATTACCATGCCTTTTTTTTACAAATGTGGATCATACTGAGTACACTGTTCAGTAACTTGCTGTTTTGCTTAGCAGTAGAGTATATCTTGGATGTCTTTCCATGACAGCACATTTCTGTTTATCTTCTCTCATACTTATGCTTAATATTCTAACAATAGCCAAAATGCTGGGTTCCTGTAGGTGGAGGTGAGTCAGAGGACCTTGCCTTTTTATTTCTAGAACATAAAGGTCATTTATCTTTGTGGTCATATGAATTCTCAACTGTCATTCTGGCCCCACTGCAGGTGCTTTTTTTGCTCCCCACCTTGTCAGTTTACTTCCAAGACTGCTAAGTGCTCCAGGTTTATAAGTGATGGTGCTGCTATCCCAGGGATTGTCAGGACTCCAGGGGCATCTCCTAGAACTCTGTGGAAATGGATTGAGGTGGCCATGGGCTGAGGCTGAAATGGAAGCACCAACAGATGAAGAGAGGCCTGAATGTCTCTTCCGTACATTGTGCAAAGTCTCCCAACTGAAAATGTCAGAATGCCTTTCTTGTTGAAATATTTCTTTTACTTGACTGTAACTATTAGGTTTGCTTTAGTCCTTTTTTCCCAAAGAGTTCATTTTTACTTCTCTCACTTTCTAGTTTATTTTTAAAAATCATTCTTGTGAATCCACAACAGATAACCGAGCATCTGTTGTGCACTTGCTGTGGGGTTCCCTAGGTTCTTTTGCTGTGCAGAAGCAGCCTGGAGTTGTGGAAAGAGGTAAAGGAGTGTAAGCAATCAGGAGACCTGGAATATAATTGGCTCTACTCTTTGGAGAGGCCATGGACTAGTAATGAACTTTCCATGCTCTGATCTTTAAAATAAGCTGCTGGTGGAGGTAATTCTGAAGGTTCCTTCAGCCAGTTTCATTTTCAGTTCTACCACTGAATTTGTGGTTTGCGTAGTCTAAGTGTGTTGCCCACTGTAATCCAGGATGAATTTCATCCTGAGACGAGTGAGGTAGAGCAGTCAGGAAACAGGTTCTATCTTGGTTTTGATAGTAAGCTGTCTGTATCTTGGACAGATACTGGGGGTTTCATTTTATTTGTAAAATGAGGACATTGACCCAGATCCATGGTTCTTAACTAGGGGTGTACGTCAGAGTTACACATGGAATTTCATCAAAATATACATGCTAGATTCAGCCCCTGGAGATTCTGATTAAGTGGGGGGAGAGGATTAGTTATATGTTTTTTTTAAACACACCCTAGGGATTCTGAAGCACTCTCTTGTTGAGAAGCAGTTTAATTCGGCAACATTTGACAAATACTTGAGTCTTCTTCACCCTCCTGCCATTGCTCTGTTTGCCTGTGAACAGCCCCCCCGCCCCACTGTAGGCATGTTGGTTATTGGCCTCCACCTTGCTCAGTGGCCTCTCTCCTCTTCCTCAGCAATAACCTGCAGTGTTTCACGGTGCGGTGCAGTGCAGCGGCAGCTCGGGAGGAGGACCCGTACATGGACACCACCCTGAAGGTTAGAACTGGCTTCTCAAGACAGTGAAACCTTAAGACCAAAAAGGAGCACATGAATGCTTACAAATTTGCTCTTAGGCCTAATCTCGGCGAGGAATAAAGGTCTTAATGTTGTCATATGTATTGAATTAGAACTTTTGGATGTAAAATAGTAAAAGCATTTTGTGATTCGTGGTTTAGATTACAATTTTTAAGATTGCTTTGAAAACATTTCACTCAGAGTTAGTTCAGTGCATAGTTTTTAAAGTTTGGTAAAGCATATATGTAGTGTAAATTTAGAGAACCTTTCATAGCTATAATATACTATTTTATTTTTTTAACAGAAATATTGGTGGCAGTTGTACAGAGCTGTTAACCAAACAAGAGCACAATTGAATAAAATGATTTACTTATACTATTATAAATAGTATAACACACTTAGACATTAGATATGCCTATAATTCTTTTGTCATTTTACAAGCCTTCTGTACTTAATCTGAGTTAATGGATATGCTACATCAATAACCTCATTTTCAGTGAGAAGTAATGTGCTTAGTCCCTGAAAAGCTCTTATCCACAAAATAAACACAGGCATTTTTATGATGAAACTCTACATTTTCTGAACTTGAATTTCTTTTCTCAGAAATATACTGATCGTTTGCATAATATTCATCTATGTTATTTTATCTCTGCAGTATAAGCTATTTGAATGGCTAATATTTTATAAATATACATACTGCAAGAAACCCCCAAATCATTATGGCCTATGTTTCAAAAGTTGGTTTATATCTGTTTAGAACCTGGAATGCCTTTTTCTGTAAAAATAAGCCTTCAGTAATGATGGTTATGTTAACAAGCCAGCCCCTGTGGAGTGCCTGATGTGCCTGAGGCACTCTCCCAGGCCCTGTCACCCACATGGCGTTTCAGGGAAAGTGTGGTCCTTAAGTTCTCAGTGACTCCTTTTTTGGCCATGGCCTGCCTGTAGTTTTCTGTTGCTGACCAGGCTAACTGCCTTCCTTCAGCCTCTTGGGAAACCATATTTTCTGTGCCTTTGTATATATACACACATAACCTTTCCAAGAGATTATTTTTAAAAGGGGTTGTTTTCCTAGTAAAAATGGAAAGGTGACTACGATTACAAAAAGCTTCTATTCTTTGTTTCTCTCTGTTCCCCCACCTTGCCTTTTTAAACCTCAGAAAGGAAAGACACAGGCCTACATAGGGTGATGGTGCACTTTAGGGTATGCAATAGATTGAAGCAGGATCAATCTGCATTTGAAAATCATAATTCCACAGCTTTTCAGAGTCCCAAAACCAGAGGGAAGGAACAAAGAAGAGACCAAGGGGAGGGAGCAGGAGACATGGGCAGCTGGTGGGACATGCTGCCATTGAGTCCAGTGGAGATGGAAGAGGGAAGGACAGCGATGGTCACACCTTCTCACTCCCCCTTCCCTGCAGCTCCACCAGTTCTGAAGTGCCCCATGCCACCTGAATGAGCACACATTTTGCGTGCTTGCTGACTCAGGCGTTGAGAACTGTGATGTCTGAAAAAAGGTTTCACAACCTCAGAGTCTGGTGGAAAGAGCATGTATGTGGTCTTTATCTCCTTTTCCTTTGAAATTCTGGCCCCTTAGTGCTAGCAAAGGCCACTTGAACTATTTTTAGAAATGAAAATATAGACGAAGGTATTTCCCCTATCACTTTGTACAAAGGGACAGTGAAGATGACCTCAGGATCAAAACAGCATTAATGAAGGAGAGCTCTCAGAAGGCTCTTCCAGTATCTTTCTTATCCATTCTTCTAGAGTTAATGGCCCCTTACAGGAGCAGGAGCTGGCTCTTCCAGTTTATCTGACCTGCCCTGGCCTGTCAACCATTCCAGGCCCAGTTCACACCTAAGGGGCTAACAGGGGCATCCAAACAAACATACAAGCATTTTTTGCACACACCCATCCACAAAGAAACCATTTATGTACCTGGGTGCAGTAGAATGTCCCTTTATAGTGTCTGATGTTGCCTAGAAAGTCCATTTGGGCATGCCCCCTCGCCAGCTCACTATTGGTGGTGATTTCTGGGCTGGCAACTTACTAGCCCAGGGCTGCTCTCTCTCAGGGCTCTGTGGAGTCACTCTGTAGGGCATGTGCATGAGTTCCTGCAGCTGTGGGACCCTCTTCATTTATTCAGTCAACAAATACTGAGTTTGTTGACTGAGTAGCTCTATAAAAGAGATGTTGGTTATATAGGTTTAGATAACCTCCTTACTGTGTTATAGGAATTAGGGGGTTCTTTTGTGGGGGAGGGAAGAACAGAAGAGATTTTATCAAATAAGCAAACTGAGTTTTGAAGATTAAAGTTTGTGTACTTTTTATTCCTTGGTTAAATTTGTGATTTTTCATTTACTAGGCTTGCCCACCTGTCAGTATGGATGTCTGTGCTTTAAGAATACAGCTTTTCATAGGCTTGAAAGCCATCTGTCACTTTAAAAACCACATTATACTTTTGACTAAGGCAGACGCTGAGGCCATTCCAGAGAGAAGAGAGTCACCCAGGAGGCTTCTGTAAGCATCTCACCCGTAGGCATTTCTGCTCAAGTTTCTGGAGTGAATTGTAACTGGTATATTTTATGTGTGTCTTAGTTTATCTTTTTGAAAATCAAAGCTTGGAATGACCAAATGGCTTTTCTATAGTGTTCTTTTTCCAGAGAAAGAAAAGAAGGTTCTAATGATCTCTGTAATATCCTTTATAGTTGACCTTAGAGCTTTTAGAAGAAAATGAATTATAAAATAGTTTCAGTAAAAATCAGTGATATTTTAGATAAGAATTTAAAGGATATGCTTTTCTATGTCATGAATAGAAAATACAGGGCCCATAATGCCAATCCAAACTATAAGAAAGACTTTTTACTGTTTTTCTCTTTTGATCCTTCCATAGTTACATTTTTATTCAAAGATTATTTTCTGGTATTGCAAAAGAAATTAATAATGCATTTTCTTACCTTAAAGCACATTCTTGATCTATAGATATATGCTGATCTACCTTAAAATAAAATTGCTTTTTGATGACGTTCATTTCTGGTTAATTCTTAGGGTTTCTGCTTTCACATTGTTTAGAATAGAATGCTAAATTCCAGACTAGTTATGTTTTTATTTGATGTTTTCTATACTGTGAACTTAGTGGTAGAGAATGCAATCTAATTTGAACACTTCTCTAAGGAAAGTTTATTAATCAAAAAATAAATTTGTTTGGGGGAAAGAAGCATATAGTGTATTCATATTTTAAGTCCACCATGGGTTTTTATTTTTAATATAAGTTCTTAGTTTTTCAAAATTGCTTACACTTGTGCTTTGGTCACTTACAGCATACACAGAGTGGTCTGAGACTGACTGATCCTAAAACCTTTCTGATGAGAGGAAAAAGAGTTTGTAGTCTTGCACATTTGACGTTCTAAAAACACCTTATTTTTTAAGTGATTTTAAACATTCTAATTTATTTGGAAATTTATTTGATCAAAATATCTTCAAATACTATATACTAAAGAAAATGTATCACTTAGTGAAAGCAAGAGATAAGATAGTGCTTTAAGCAGACTTAGAGTTTTTTTTGTGTCTTTTGCCATGGGCACAGGGACTTTTACAGCCAAGCCTGTTTTCCTTTTGATGGACTTTGCCAGTTCTTTGAACTTATTGCTCATTTAAAGTACTTGTGGAGTGAATGGGAAGCAATTGGCTTATCAATGCATAACAGTTATAGAATATTAAATACTGTAGGCCTAAGTAGTATTATAAACTAATAGTCTATAAAAATAGACTACAGCTAATCACTGAAGAAAACACCTAATGAAAATGATTTCACATTTATTTTATGGTATCCAATATTTACTATTTAAAACTGTCATTTGTTAATGTGTCTTAAATTTCTTGTCCTTTGTTTTGCTTTTAGGTCTAGAAAAAATACCAGTGTTAAGATCAAAATACCTCCTATAGCTGAGGCTGGGTGGAATTTGTATATTGTGAATACAGTCTCACCAGTGCAACTATACAAAGAGATGGTACTTTTTTAAAACTTCTGATTCTTATAATTTACAGTGAAATTGATAATCAGAAATTGATTCTAATTATCATACATTCAGGATGCCACAGCAAACCAGCTTCTAGGCTCTGACCGTGTAGTGTGTATCTTTCTCCACCTTCTTGCTTTCATAGCTTCTGACGTTTGAGGAACCAGTAGGAATTCCCTTCACTAAAATAAGACTCCCTTATTCATACCCACCCTCCTAAGAGGATCACTTAGCCAGTCTAAACATAAATAGCCTTTGACCTTGTCTTTGAATCCTAGCAAAGAGAACCATGAAATTGAGCTAAAAGAAATCTAAGCTCATGTATCCCTGTCTCACTCTTCTTCCTTGACATATTAGCAGATTGTCTTAAGGCTGCAGCAACTGCAGCATCGTCCTGGGGGAAGGGGCCCAGAGTGGGCATCCTTACTCCTATTCTAAGAGTAACACCTCCCTACTCATCCTTGGCAATTGTTATAACTCTGTATTTTGAAACATTTCAAACTTAAAGAAAAACTGCAAGAATAACAATAGTATAAAAAAAAAACCTTTTATTCCCCACACAGATTCACCCACGGTCAATATTTTACTCCCCATTTGCTTCTATTTTGTTTTTTTTTTTTTTGGTTTTGGCACCTTGGGTTTTCTAGGACAGACACACACACACACACACTTTTCTTCTGATCCGATAGAAGGTAAATTGTATGGATCATAGTCTTTTGCCCCTAAGTACATCAGTGTATATTTTCTAAGAGTCGGGATAGTCTCTTGCATAACTACAGTACAGTCATATGCTTCGGTAAATTTATCATTGACACAATACTTAATCTAGTCTATGGTTCCTATTCCAATTTAATCAGGTGACCCAATAATGACTTAATAGCATTTCCACCCCACATCCTGTAGTCCAGGATCCAGTCTAGGATTATATGGTATATTTAATTATCATCTCTCTCTTTTTTTTTTTTTTTGAGTCAGAGTCTCACTCTCTTAACTAGGCTAGAGTGCTGTGGCATCAGCCTAGCTCACAGCAATCTCAAACTCCTGGGCTCTAGCGATCCTCCTGTGTTAGCCTCCCAGGTAACTGGGACTATAGGCATGAGCCACCATGCCCAGCTAATTTATTCTATATATATTTTTAGTTGGCCAATTAATTTATTTCTATTTTTAGTAGATACGGGGTCTCACTCTTGCTCAGGCTGGTTTCGAACTCCTGACCTTGAGCGATCCTCCTGCCTTGGCCTCCTTGAGTGCTAGGATTACAGGTGTGAGCCACCACACCTGGCCCTATCATGTCTCTTTCGCCTCCTTGAATTTATAACGTTTCTACAGCCTTTCTTTGTATTTTATGATATTGACATGTTTGAAAGATATAATTTTCCCCTCCACTTTTATTTTGAGGGAAGGTGTCCCTCTGTTGCCCTGGCTAGAGTACATTGGCATCATAGCTCCCTGTGACCTCAAACTCCTGGGCTCAGGTGATCCTCCTGCCCTCAGTCTCCCCCATTGCTGGGACTACAGATGCTCACCCACCACTCCCAGCTAATGTTTTTCTATTTTTGGTTAGAGGTGGGGTCTCACTGTTGCTCAGACTTACTACTTCTTCTTCTTCTTCTTCTTCTTTTTTTTTTTTTTTTTATGACAGTGTTCTTCATTTAGGGTTGTTTTTTTTTTTTTGTTTGTTTTTTAATAATCAGATTCAGGCTATGCATTCTCAGCCATAATATTATATAGATGATGTGAGGTTTTTTTAGATTATCACATCTGGAGGCACATGATGTTCATCCACCCCTCATTGGTGACATAAATTTTGATCATTAGATCAAGGTGTTGCCTGATTTGCACCTGACATTTTAATGCTGATAATTATATCAGCTTTGCTTTATCTTTTTAGTCTTGCTTAATTGAAAGTCTTAGACTTCACTTAGGTGATTTGACTACAGGAGTCTGCATATACTGATTGAGTCAGATTAGCTAGTGATAATTTTTGTGAGCCCACTCTGTGTTATGAAAATAGATGTAATAGAACCTAAACTCATTAAGTTTAGGTTCTATTACATCCCTCCTTCCTTAGTATCCCTCCTTTATTTTAGGAGGGATACTCCTTAGTATCCTAAAATAAAGGAGGGATACTCCTTAAAGAGTTAAATCATGGAGCTTTTTTTTTTTTTAAAGCCATTTCAAATACGTTCACTAGTCTTATCAAATTCGGGTCAATTTAGTGGTATTATTAGTATTACAGTGTTATTTGGACCTTCTATAATGATTAGAGCTGTTTAACAAGATAGTGTTTACAATTATGTGTGTTTTAAACTGGCTTATAGATGATAGGGGAAAAAGCACGTCAGCTAAGGCTGTATTAAAATAGCAAATAATCATTTACTTATGATTAGAGTTTAATATGTCCAAATATTAGCTTCACTAACAAAATGTATAGATGTTCTTAAGAACTGGGAAGCTTTTGGGAGTTTTTCTTGGGCGACATTAGTGTTGTCTTTCTTGTGTTAGGTAGACTATAGTAATACCTACAAGACTGCCAGAACCCAGAGCTGCATCCATCTTCTCAGTGAGGCTCATCTGCTGGTGAGAGCTGCCCTGATGGATGCCAGTCAGCTGGAACCCGGGGAGAAAGCAGAGCTGTTGGAAGCATTTAAGGAAAGCTGTGGCCACCTTGGGGAGTGTTACAGCAGGTTGGTGACACCTCTTGGAACCACGTTACAGAAGCCATCTTGAAGTTTTGGTTCACTTATTAGCTTTTCCATCTCTGGCAGTTACCTAATAAATGCTATGATGCGTGAGGGGAGGTGGTTCGTTTATTCACTTCTTCCATAAGCATTTATTGAGCACATACTGTTTGCTAGGTACTGTGCTAAGCTTAGAGGTACAAAAATGAATGTGACCCATTCCCTGCCTTCAAGGAGTCTCAGTTTATTTGATGAGCAGTAAATTTGAGGTTCATGCATCTTCCACCACATAATTTGGATTTTATAGACTTTTTGAGAACTTGAGGTGCCCATAACCAGTGAAAATCCCTGAAACAGCTTTATTACTGGTTTATTGTCTGTTAGCTTAAGAGAGATGCCAGTTGGACAGTCTGTGATTTTAATCTTAGCAGTCAGTGCTTTTATTAATGTCAGAAAGGAACACTAGGATGAATCATGCTTTTATTTTTGAGAAAGATGTTTTCACTTTTTTTTGTGTATGATTGTTTTAGAGATTTAGTTGACCCATATGAATGATTATAAATTAATACAACAGACTTTTCCTATCTATAAACACCATTATTTTAGAGCCACATCGTGAATATTAAAATTCACTTCCTGAATTATTATTTTTATATTTTTATTATGAACAAGCAAAAAGAAACAGCATTAATTGGAATAACTTTGTAAGATAAAACTTAGGAATTTCTTCTCATTACTAATGGCGGTAGAAAAGTATTTTGAGATCTATGTCCTCTGGAAAGTGTGATCTGTTATATTATCGAATGTGTTAGCTATCCAGGCTTAAAAATTGCAAATTTGAGTTTTTTTCATTTCCATCCCTTTAGGCTTGACACCCAGCATTCTCACCTCGCCTTGCCATACTATAAGATGTCTGGTTTGTCTTTGGCCGAAGTTTTGGCCCGCGTGGACTGGACAGCAGAGGATGCGTCACAGAAATATGAGAAGGGATTAATCTTTTATATTAATCATTCACTTTATGAAAACCTGGATGAAGAATTAAGTGAAGTAGATATGGTTTTTTATTATATTTAATATTTTTAACTTAATTTTAGTAATTTTATTTAATACCATGTAGAAGTTAGGTTCCAAATATTTTTATTCTTTGATTCTTTTATTCTTTTCTTAAAAAGTAATGTGCTTTTTTTCTTCATTAACAGTCATAGAATCATAGCTTGGAATAGAGATGTGGGTCATCATCTGATGGTTTCTCATTATGTAGGCAGGGAGATATGATCTTTCGTGGTTGAATGACCTGCCCAGTGGCAGCAGTATGTCTTTAGAAGAGTGACTCAGAATGTGGGCCTTGCCTGCCTTCTCATCTGCAGTCCTTCCCACAACCTTAGTTGTCTGTTTCTCTAAGTGTCCAAAACTTCACTTAGAGAACCTTGTCCTAGTGACCTTAAGACATTATTATCTATCTATCTATCTATATTTTTTTTTTGAGGCAGGCTCTTGCCCTATCGCCCAGCTAGAGTACAGTGTCCTCAACACAGTTCACTGCAACCTCAAACTCCTGGCCTCAAGCAATCCTCCGCCTTGGCCTCCCAAAGTGTTAGGATTACATGTGTGAGCCACTGCGCCCAGCCTTAAGACATTGTTAATGATAATTTTTAGTCCCTCATGTATTTTAGACATAGTTGAGTGGTGATATTCCAAGTTGGAAATTGTGGCATGAAATGTTTTAAGATTTTGAGAGAAATGAAATGTTTTCATGTAAATTACTTCATTAGATATGTTTTGAACTCAATTGTAGTTTTTACAATGGACTTTTGAATACAATTTAATCAAATATTTATTTTCTTCTTCCTAATGCCTATCAAAATTAGAAATGCTCGTCACAACCTAGTACATATTTTCATTGCTTTTTCTTCATTATAACTCAGGAAAGAGATCAGGTCATCCCAGATCTCCCATATATCAACATCACCTCTGTCTTTTCAGATCAAAACATAATACTCTAATTTTATCTTAATTGCAGTGTTTGTGTCTTGCCTTTGTGTGTGCGTGTGTATGTGTTTATATATAATTTTTTGGTGATTTGGTTGCTTTTTGTTTACTGATCTTTTATTCCTTGTTTCATGCTCAACAAAGGAATTAGCAGCAAAAGTGGTTCAGATGTTTCATGTGGCTGAGCCGAAGCAACTGCCCCATATTCTTTGTAGTCCTTCTATGAAGAATATTAATCCTTCAACTGCCATGAGCTATCTGAGGAAGCTGGATGCTTCTGGGTTGTCATCAATCTTATTGACATTGTCTAAGGCAGCAATGGCTCTGAAAATGGGAGATCTTGACATGTACAGAAATGAAATGAAAAGCCATCCAGAGGTATGATACCTACCTGGTCCACACAGCAGGCTGATCTGGGACCTCATGGTCCTGAGATGTTTAGCTTGCTTCTCTCTTTCGAGCTCATATTTTCTTAGTTGTAATGGAAAACAGACTTAATATTAGAAGGGAAGTGGTTCAAGTGGGCTTAGGGATTTGGTAAATGAAGAAGAAATAAGACAACTGCCAACAGTGGTATTCAAAGACCTTTCAACTTAGTGTCAGGTATGTTGAGAGCACTGAGTTTGGTACTGAAGAACAGCCTCTGCCCTTAGTAGACAGTCTGATCTAGTATGAGGGATATGGCTTGTGCACTGAAAAAGAACAGTGTGATGTGTATTGAAGTACAGCAAGGGGGATATAAACCATGAGCCTTAAGAATCTGGTAGTCGTAGAAAGCCTCCATTTGGGAAAAATCACAGATGACTTTATGTAGGATTGGACATTTGAATGGTCTATCAAAGAAGGAGAGGTCTTTCCCTTGGAAGAGGTCATTTAGGGACATGAGCCAAAGATGTTAATTATTCAGGGGAAGAAAATAAGAGGTTGATGTGAATTGAGCACTTATTATGTTCCAGGCCTATTCTAACCCCCTTGCATATGTTATTTCATTGAATTCCTACAGTAATACTATGTGGTAAGTGCTATTATAGCTGTTATACACATGAGGGAACTAAGACACAGAGAGGTCAAGCTCACACACTGGTGAGTGGTAGAACCGGAATTGAACCAGGCAGCCTGACTTCAGAACCTGTGCTTCTATGGGGTTGTTTTTGTTATCGGACTGTGGTCAAATGGCCATGGTGTGACTTTTAGTTTCTAAAACTAGGAGAGTAGAAGTGCTTTATCACTGTACAAATGACATGTTTTCTTATGATGAGAGCAAGGCAACATCGGGGTATCTTCTGTTTTAAAGGATAGAATTCTAGAAAAATAAATTTTCTTTCCTTAATTTTGAAATGACTTAAGATATATGACAGTTGTCCCTTGGTATCTGTGGCGAATTGGTTCCAGGATCCCCTGCAGATACCGAAATCCATGGAAGCTCAAGTCCCTCCTATAAAATGGTGTAGTATTTGCATATAACTACGCACATCCTCCCATGTACTCTAAATCATCTCCAGATTACTTATAATACCTAGTACAATATAAATGCTGTGTAAATAGTTGTTATACTCTATTGCTTATGGAATAATGATAAAAAATGTACATGTTCAGTATAGAAGCAATGTTTTTCTGAATATTTTTGATCTGTGATTGGTTGAATTCATGGAGGTAGAAGCAACAGATACGAAAGGCTATTTTCAGATGAAGCAGATCTAAATATAAAGCTCCCTATAAAAACAGGATACCTTGGTGCTTAGTTAAATATTAGTAAATTCTGTAAGACAGTGATGTCCTTAGTAAGAACTAGTCTTTATAGTGAAAGAAAAAATTGTGATTCAAGTAAATTATTAATAACTTAACCATGAATCGTGAATGCACTAGCATGTACAGTATTTCCAAGATGAACAACCTGAATAAAATATATATTTTGTTCCTAAATTTCTTTTTTATCTGAAGATGAAGTTGGTATGTGGCTTCATTCTGGAACCTCGACTTTTGGTTCGACAGAGGAAGGGACAGATTGTTCCAACTGAGCTTGCAATTCATTTGAAGGAGACTCAGCCTGCATTACTTGTGGCTTCAGTCCTGGGCTTGCAGAAGAACAGCAAAATTGGAATTGAAGAAGCAGATTCGTTTTTTAAGGTTGGTCACTTTGAAAATGTCATTTTTCCAGATGGTCTGATAAAATCAGTGGAGAGTAGAGAGCAGAATAAGAGAAGTAAATTTTCTATTTGTTTATTGAAAAAAACAGACATACATAATTTATAAAAGTACATATTATAAGAATATATCTGGAGACCCTCTATTCATGCAACCTGGAATCTGTTTCCTATTAAATATGTCTAAATTTGCCACTAATGCTAATGGTAAATTATTAATTGTATGGTCTACATGATGGTATGATATTCAGCCCTGCTACATCTTGATCAGTGCTACATTTATCTGGGATATCAGGGCTTGTTTTTGTTTTCAAGGTGCTTTGTGGTAAGGATGAAGATATGATTCCTCAGCTCTTGGTAGACTTTTGGGAAGCTCAGCTAGTGGCATGTCTCCCAGATGTGGTACTTCAGGAACTCTTTTTTAAGCTCACATCACAATATATCTGGAGGTTATCCAAGAGGCAGCTTCCTGACACCACACCGTTGCGAACATCGGAAGAGCTGGTAAGAAAATGGAATAATACCTTAAACTTAACTCATACTTTGCACTTTACAATTATGTACCTTCTTATTTTTAATGACTTAAAATCGACCTTGTTTTCTATTGCCAGATATCCTACTTAAGCAGGAGTTAAAAATGCACTTAAAATTTGTCTGTGACTAAAGTTGCCCACATTGTAAATAATTTTATATTCTAAAGAAGTCCCCTACTTATTGTTTTCCCTCTCTCACTTGCAGTGGTACCTCTGTAGCCAAAGCATAGGGCTTTCCCCAGAATATCATCATGTCTGTCCTTCCTCAGCAGAGGATTGTTAATTAGAACATGAGGGAAGAGACATCTGCAGACCATCCTGGTGGGAGAGGAACTGCAGAAACCTTGTGGGAGGGAGACTTCCCTACCCGGCCCCTGTTTCCTGTCAGCTGTACACACACAGCTGTTCTGTAGCACTTGAAGCTGCCATAACAACTCTTTCTACCCTTTTTGCTCCCTTCTTTCCTACCCATTTGCCCCTCCTGTATGCCATGGCTAATGTGGGTTAACTAGAAAAGTCACCAGCTTCTTGAATAAGGGGGGCTTCTTCAGAATTATCTTGAGAACTTATGAAAGATATTTTGCCTCCCAAAGAAAGTAGTCATAAATAAAAATTATTTCCAGTATTCTTAATTATTTTTAAGTATAATTAGCTTAAAAATATTATTGCTCTTTTTGCTAGAAAGTACCTCTTGGGAATATTTAAATTTAAGGAAATATTTAGTGCAGATTACATACTGCAGAAACAGCAAGGCTGGAACATTTAACGGGGCAATACACTCTAAAAAATTCCCTTCCTGTTCCCAGAAAACTATGTACCCAATTCTGTGACATAGCAGGGGATTAATGATTACTTGGTCTTTGTGAAATGGATAACGTTTTTTTTGTTGTTGTTATATTTTGTTTATGTTAAATGTTTTTACGTTTTAGATAAATGCCTGTGGTCATTATGGCTTAATCTATCCATGGGTTCACATCTTAATATCATCTGATTTCTTAGCTTATGAAAATTACACAGAAGATCTTTTAAAACTGCAGGTAAATAAAAATGCCTCTTTTTCTTACGAATATGCATACTACAGTGCAGTGTAAGATTTAAATTTGGTAAGACCTCAGGTGTCCTGTTAATCTGGAATGTATAATTTATGGGAAAGAAATCCATAATTAGGCATTCTCGGGGGCTTTGGAGGGAATTCCTGCCTCTGCCTGAAACTGCTGCTGTGTGAGACAACTGTGCCAAGGCGCTGGTTTCATGCAGACAGGCGGGCGAGCTTCCGCAGATCTCCTGACTGCCTTCCTCATTTTCAGAATGTGCTAGAAAACACTTTGTGAAATGAATGTGTAGCAAATGGTCAGTGGTATTTTTATTGATGTAATTCATTTTTTTAGTGTTGGCTTACACTTATAACTCAAGCCAACCACTACTATCTATCTTATAAGAAACTGGTCAAAATGTTATATCCAGCTCCTGAAAAAGATTTTTAGAAAGGAAGAGGGGCATGACTAGAGAATGTAGGTCATCCTGTAAGAATTCTGACTGTGAAAGTGTTTTAACTGACAATGAGAAATACAGTCCACATTTGACTTGGTGGATCAAGCTGGGCTAGATATATATGTGGTTTTATTTAATATATAGTTCAGGGACTATATATTAGTCCCCAAACTGTATATTAAGGCCCAAGGACTGAATACAATCCCCACATCTGTTTTGTTTGGTCTTTCCAGTGTAACTGCCAACATATAAAAATTAAGATATATTAAGAATTCTAAGTTTCAAATTACTCTTGAAAACTTCAGAAGAACTGGGAACCCCTGAGACCTGAGGGTTGGGGCTGACCCCTGGCTCCCCACCATGGGCAGAGCTCACACTGGCATCTCAGCACAGTCACCATCTTCACGACATCCTGGTCCAGATGCCAAGTGTCTTGTGTCCATTTTCCTTATCCCAGCTGCCTTCGTGCATCTTCATCATCTGTTTGACCCCTTTAGACTTTTGAGTTTGCAATCCCTGATTTACACTGTGGGAACTGGTATAATTTATTGCTGGTATCTATTTATTGCTTAAAAAACTAAAATGTCAAATTGGGAATGGGGGTTAGGGAGGGAAGCTCAAGAGCCCATATTGCTTAGACTCAGCCTCTAGAGAGGACTGTGTTGTCCCCAGAGATGGAGTTATTTATGTGCTTCTTTAAAAAATCACCAAAGAAGGTTCTTGTTGCCTCTGGTCTCCAGTCCTTTTGTGATACGGAGGCTTCTGAGGGCCTAGCCTCAGGTGTATTCGTTTCAGGAATATTGCCTGAGCATGTGCTGCAGCTGTGGTGGACAGCATCAGACAAGACAGGCAGGGCCTTGCCCTCCCAGAATGCACACTAAGTACAGATTTAAAGTTGTCATTGTAACAAGTCCTATTCAATTTCCCCGGGTAAAAGCTTCAAAGCATATTTATAGTCACTGTTTGAAAAGTATGATTCATTGATATTTTAAAAGTTATTTTAAAGTATTTTAAAAGGGTACATTCTTTGCTATTAAAGGACAGAAACATAGTGTCCCTAAATTTTTTCTAAGTCTTTTTCCTAATTATAGCTCTTTCTAAATTGTCTATAGGTCAATTAATCTAAGTCATTAAGAAGAAAATAATCGTTGATAAACAAAAAGATCTTACTGGTTCTCACCTAGAGGAATGGTGAGGTTCAGAATCACCTAGAGAGCTTTTTGAAAAGGTTATGACTCTCCCTGTACCCACTGGCAACATGGAGAGATGATTCTTTCTCTATTGCTCTCAATCGCTGTGATAATATATTTGTGCAATAACTAAAATGAAAATAATCTATACATCATCAACATGTCCAAAAGCTACTATTTGGAATGACACAATAACTAGTAAATGTCCTGCCCTTTGCCAAAATTGTCATGGTTCCCCTTCCCTCACCTCCTTGCCAACACCTTTCCTTAGAGCCACAGTCGTGGTTATCTAGGGGAAGAAGATCGAGAAGTCAGTGGATTCCAGTCCTGTAGTGTCAGGGCTGAGGGTGTTGGATTCTTGATCAAAGGGAACAAATAGTGCATGTGCTGAGGGTGGAGAGGAGTCCATTTCCAATATTGGGGAAAAAAAAGGAGAATGAAGCTCTTTGTTAAGCAGCACACCAACATTAACAGTGTTTTAAAGGGTAAGAATAACTTTTTGGACCATTTTTTAAATCCACTAACATATGTGTTGCTTAGTATTTCTTGGCTGTTTTACTTATTTTTAAAGTTCTTGATAATATTAATGAAACTAAGTAAAAGTTCTGGGGTATCCATTTTGTACCAAGTTTTGACTAGTTTCATTTTAACCATGGTTTGGCTTGGCACCTGTGCCTTACTTATTCCTACCTCACACCCATTATACTGATTAGTCAAAAGTTAAATATAGAAATAATCTGTTTTTCTTTCATGTTGGGAGATCTTACGAATTGGAGATTATCATCTTATTTCATCTTTGCCCCCTTATTGTCAGGAAATTATTGAGATGAGTAATTTATTAAACTTGGAGGAATAAAAGGGACCAACCTTATTCCCATAGCCATTCCTTGGTAGATATTTGGAATAAAATAATCATGCTGACTGTTAATGGATAGATTGCATGCCATATCCTCCTGTGAGTCTGAGAAGATGCTGTAGCAAAAAGAATAGAGGGATAAGAAAATCAGGACATGACCATCTCATCTTTATCCTGGAGAAAGGGAAATATGAGATTATTTTGGAGGTAGAATCAAGAGTAGTATATATAGTTTAAATTCTTACAAAATAAAATACTGGTAAAGTTCTAAATACTGAAATAATACCTGCTCCCTGTCATTCAGCTTGTCACAAGTGTTATTGACAGAAATTATTAGGTTCTAAACAGTCACTTTAGTTTTCTTAAACATTAAATTTTATTTTGGGTTATATATGTAGTATATGCTCATTATAGACAATTTGGAAAATGCAGGGAAATATGAAAAGAAAACAAAGAGTGGACTTTGTCCTCTCAACCAAAACTGCGCGATAATCTCCCAAAGGTATTTATGTATGTGTATGTACAAAGTAATCATGCTCTAAATGTAATTTTGTATTGAGATTTTTTACTCATTTTATCATAAGCATATTCTCATTAACTAGCCTTTGAAAACATAGTTTTGATGGCTGCATAATATTCTATCATATGAATATACCATAATTTATTTCCTCATCCCTTATCATAACACTCTTGCAGTGAACAACATTGGACATAAATCTTTGACCACAGTGTTGATTATTTCCTTAGGATAGAATCCTAAAGAATTCCCATTAATTTCATTTTCAGTCTATCTAAAGCAAAATTATGTTATTTTAAAAATGATTGCAGTTTATTAAACAGATCTTTATTCTTTAAACTGATTAATTCTTCATTCTACTTATATTTATTAAATAAAGACTGTATACATATGCTGTAAATTGTAGTCTCTTTCTTTTTTTGACAAGTGAGGTTTAGTCTTTTTTAAACAGTTGAATTCTATATGTTGTGTTTTAGTTTTTTGGGTGCTTCATTCCATAACATTTCACTTTTCTGTTCATAGTCTCTTATGTGTGGTCCTTCATTTGACATAGCTTCCATTATTCCGTTCTTGGAGCCACTCTCAGAAGACACTTTTGCTGGCCTCAGTGTCCATGTTCTGTGTCGTACGCGCTTGAAAGAGTATGAACAGTGCATAGACATACTGTTAGAGAGATGCCCGGAGGCTGTCATTCCGTATGCTAATCACGAACTGAAAGAAGAGAACCGGGTATGCTTTTCAGATTATGTCTTTAGGTTTGATCAGTGATAGTCATGTTTGATAACCTCGTTGCTTTTCCTGCAAAATGGGGACAACATAAGCTAGTCCAGCGTCATAGGGCTGTGTGGGTCCAATGAGCATGTACGTTTAATCTGTGTTTTGAGTACTGTTAAATGCTATTAAAATACATAGTGATGGTATGTTACCACCACTAAAAATCTCTTGTTTGGAAATGAAGTAGGTGATTACCTGAAGATTTGGGAAACCTAATATATTATGGGAAAATATTTTCTGTGCCATTTGGTCTTCTGTTTAGAAATTAAGAGTTTTAGACTTTAGTACTTTTTTTCTTCCTCCTTTTCTTTCTTTATTCTTGTTCCCTAAGAGATAACAGGACATGCCTGTTTCTTCTTGAAAATAACCAAGGGCATATGTATAATATATGTATTACTGGATTTTCCAATCACAAACCTGACTTTTATGTTACAGTTTCAGCAGAAGATTGGCTGCTGATACAACTTCTGTTACAGCAAAGTTTGGTACCTTAACCAAAATAATGTATTTTTGCCCTGTGCTTTCCTGCACAGTCGTTGTCTTCTCCTTGAAACTCTGAGTATAAAATGCAGCAAACTACAATGTGTGCATTTTTTCCTAAGATAGACTCTGTGGTGGAAAAAACTGCTGCCTGAACTTTGTCAGAGAATAAAATGTGGTGGAGAGAAATATCAACTTTACCTGTCATCATTAAAAGGTAAAATGATCTTTTTTGCTTGGTTATAAGCTTAGAGTCTCTGTTTTAAATTTGCTGAAGCCTCGCTTTATATAGTTTTTTCATGTGATTACCAAGTGAGGTGAAGAGGGCCTCACAGAATCATCCAGAGAGCTTATTTTCAGCATTCATTTACCATCCCCCATCACATTTGATATTCATTTCTCTTCTAGTCACAGAGCTGATGTTCTTCTAAGTTAATCTTTTCAAACACTAACAAATTATCAAAGTCATAGAAACTGACAACTTCAATTTTTAAAAATGTGAGTAGTGATTAAAGCAATCACATTTTTTATTATTGATCTAAGTGCTTAATTCATGTAGGAAGTTAAGATTATTATTATTAAACATTGTAAGCAAGTATTGACAAATGACATGTTCTCAAGGATTTAAAAGTAGAGTCTCTAAATTGTACAATATTTTATAGTGCAGGTAGTTATTGTTTGAATTCTCATAACTCATAAATAGTCATCTATAAATCTTTTTTTTTGTGGGGTTGGGTGGGGAGGCAGGGTCTCTCTGTGTCAAGGTGCAGTGGCATCACCACAACCTCAAAATCCTGGGCTCAAGTAATCCTCCTGCCTCAGGCTTCCGAGTAGCTGGGACTACAGACACACACCACCACACCCAGCTGATTTTTCTATTTTTTTGTAGAGACGGGGTCTCACTCTTGCTCAGGCAGGCTGGTGTTGAACTCCTGACCTCAAGTGATCCTCCACCTCAGCCTCCCAAAGTGTTAGGATTACAGGTGTGAGCCACTGTGCCTGGCCCATTAGTTTCTATACTGTTGTGTGTTAATATCAGTAGGTATTTGTTGGCCTGATGACAAAAAAGTATGGTTATGTCAATTGCAATGCACATAAAATATTAGAAATTGACAGTGTTGGAATCATATTTTCTAGTCAAGATAATTGATTTTTCAAATGTTAGGCAAAGCCAGTGCCCATTACAGCTTGTTTTTCTGAAGATTCCCATTTAATTAAAGCTGTGACTAAATTTGTGACTGGGAAGAGGTGGAGGAGGGGATTTTATACTCTGTTTGACCCATCTCCTAAGTGCTTTTGGTATTTAGAAGGTAGAAATGTCAGGTGTATGTTTGCTTTGCCCCACTTACATCAAACTGTTTACATAATTTATCACTGTTTATGTTGGTGGGTCACTCTCCAGTGCAAATGGGCCACATCTTCAGACCTCATCAAGTCCTTATCTTAATCAAAAGACTCTTTCTTTATCCTTTTCTGATCTACATCCACACACTCTCTATCCCTAACTTACCCATAATCATTTCTCCAGATGTTACATTTTTCTATATCTTCAAAATATATTTGTGTGCACACACGTATGCATATGTATGTGGCTAATGGGACTAAATGCTGTGTATGATTTACCTTTATTAGACCATAATACATTAAGAGCAGGCATAGTAATTTATTCATTTATCATGCTGTACCCTCCTCACAAGCAATGTGCCTCTCCCGTGGGAACATTCTGTAACTCTTTATTGATTGGAAGAGGAGCCACCTGAAGAACTTGAGGTCCATTTCACGGGAGGTCTTTTTCTTGGCAGCTGTCATACTCTGAGAAGAGCCCAGGATTGGGATCTGGAGAATTGGAATTGAGTTCCAGGTCTGCCACTTACTGAGTGGCTGGGAGCAAGCCAGTTTTTTAATATCCTGGGTCTAATGATTAACTCTAGAGTTCAATGTCATGCAAAATTGCAAGAGTGTAGGACTGGAATTGGGATTCAGCCTTGGCACTATTGACAATTTGGACTGGATAACCGTCGGTGTGCGTGGGGGTTTCTAGCCTCTACTCACTAGATGCCACCCTAGTTATGACGGACAACAATGTCTCCAGATTTTGCCAGATATTCTCTGTGGGACAAAGTTATCCTGGTTGAGAACCACTGCACTAATGTAGAACCATTGAAAACTGGGGTTAGTGGATGGCTTGTTTTTGTTTTTTGTTTTGTGGGTTTTTTTAGAGACAGTCTCACTCTTGTTGCCCCAGCTAGAGTGCCGTGGCATCAGCCTAGCTCACAGCAACTTCAAACTCCTGGGCTCAAGCAATCCTTCTGCCTCAGCCTCCTGAGTCTACAGGAATGTGCCACCATGCCTGGCTAATTTTTTCTATATATTTTTAGTTGGCCAATTAATTTCTTTCTATTTTTTAGTAGAGATGGGGTCTCACTCTTGTCAGACTGTTCTCGAACTCCTAAGCTCAAACCATCCGCCCACCTCGGCCTCCCAGAGTGCTAGGATTACAGGCGTGAGCTATTGCATAGGCCTGTTTTGTGTTTTTGTTTTTTGGGGGTTTTTTTCAGACAATCTTGCTCTGTTGCCTGGGCTAGAGAGCCAAGGTGTCAGCCTAGCTCATAGCAATCTCAAACTCCCAGTCTCAAGAGATCTTCTTGTCTCAGCCTCCCAAGTAGCTGGGACTATAGGCATGAGCCACTACGCCTGGCTAAATTTTTTTCTATTTTTAGTTGCCCAGCTAATTTCTTTCTATTTTTAATAGAGACAGGGTCTCCCTCTTGCTGAGGCTGGTCTTGAACTCCTGAACTCAAGCAATCCTCCCACCTCGGCCTCTCAGAGGGCTAGGATTACAGGCATGAACCACTGTGCCTGGCCCTGGCTTGTTTTAAGGAAATATTTATTACTGTTTTTGTAATAATGAACTGTGCTTATTTTTAAAAATTCTAGTACTGTAGTAAATTACAAAAGTAAAGTTTAAAAAGTCATTTAAAATCCCACCAACCAGAAACAACTATTTTTGGCATTTGACGAATGTTTTCTAGACATGGAGAAGGATTTTAAACATGCAGCTTTATGTTTAGGTAGGTCATTTCTGTATAAATTGTAGATTTCTGTGGCTGGTGAGTACATTAGAGCAAGGTATTTTAATCTTTTCTTAGCCTCAATTTTCCCAACTCTAAATCGGGATTTATACCTACTAGTATACCCTGTTTGGAATGGGGCTTGGATTAAATAAATAAAAACTTCAGAGAATTCTAGAAGGAATTAAATGAGAAGGTATATAGAAAGAACTGTATAAACTTTTAAAGTACCATATCTATTTAAGGTTTCAACCTTGCTCTTAGAATTACAACCTGTATTAGCCTCTCCTTGGTTGGGAGAAAAGTATTGGGCAGTGGCAAAATTTCTGTTGGCTCTGTAATGACTCTAAGCTAGACTTTCAATTCAATTTTTTGTATCTAGGAAACTACTTAAGAGGCTCCACGTTTGGATAAATATACTGGGTTGATAGGAAAACATCAATAATTGATGTTTTTCACATGGGTTTTATAAACTAGTTAGTAGTTGCTATTTATTAAGGTCCTAGTTTATGTTAGACATGTATCATTGAATTTTAATTTAATTCTCATAGGAACTCCGGAAGCTAGCAGATGGTTCCACTGTATTATACATGATGAACCTCAGACTTGGAAGTTTAAATGACTTTTTTAAAGTCACTCAGCGAGTAGGCAGAAGAGTCAGGATCCCTTGTTAAGTCTGTCTTATTTCAGGCTGGGCATGGTGGCTCATGCCTGTAATCCCAGCTCCTTGGGAGGCTGAAGTGGGAGGCTCTCTCCAGACTATGAGCTTGAGACCAACCAGAACAACATAGCAAGATCTCGTTTCTACATAAAAAAATGTTTTAAAACATTTTAAAACATTAAACTACAGGTGGCTCCACCTGTAGTCCTAGCTACTCAGAAGTGTGAGGTGGGAAGATTGCTTGAGCCCAGGGGTTTGAGGTTGCAGTGAGCTGTGATTGTGCCATTGCATTCTAGCCTGAACAACAGGGTGAGACCTGATCTCTAAAAAAATTAAGTCTGTCTGATTTCAGAGCTAGGAATCTTTTCCATAAGCCACTGCTATTCCATTCCCTAACTCTTTAGCAATAAGGGCAGTTGTTCTTTTGTGTAAAGGATGATTCAGGTTGCTGAATAGTGGACAAATGACTTTAGATGGATTTTATATTTGATTTACTCTGTCAATAGAGTAAGTGGTGGGCATGAGAGAATCACACAGGGAATAGCACTGAAGTGTGGATAGTTATAAGACCAAATGGATTTTTATTGGGAACATTGTTCTTAAGTGTCATCCTTCTCTTCTTGGGAGAGGGCAGCATGTATCTATTAAGAAGCAATAGAATCTTAGTGTTGCACAGTTATCTTTATAAAACGTGTGATACATTTTTTAATATTGAAATTATTCATTATAGCACCTTTGCAGTTTTGGAAAAAAAGGTAAATGGTCATGAAAATTGATCTGTGCTTATTAATAACACAACAGTTTTATAATAGGGACTGATTTAGGAAAATGTTGTTCTTATCCAACAATTAATGGTATTTCCTGTCCTAGCACACAATTTTTATAAATTAGCTTCAGTATAGTCCTAGCATTCAAAACAGTATTCAAACGATTGTATTTTTTTAGACGATAGTAGAACTCCATTGAAAAAAACTATAGCAATTGAGCAATGAAAGAATCCAAATTAAATGGGGTTAATATAAAATAAACTTCAGGCCGGGCGCGGTGGCTCACGCCTGTAATCCTAGCTCTCTGGGAGGCCAAGGTGGGCGGATTGCTCGAGGTCAGGAGTTCGAAACCAATCTGAGCAAGAACGAGACCCCGTCTCTACTATAAATAGAAAGAAACTAATTGGCCAACTAATATATATAGAAAAAATTAGCTGGGCATGGTGGCACATGCCTGTAGTCCCAGCTACTTGGGAGGCTGAGACAGAAGGATCGCTTGAGCCCAGGAGTTTGAGGTTGCTGTGAGCTAGGCTGACGCCACGGCACTCACTCTAGCCTAGGCAACAAAGCGAGACTCTGTCTCAAAAAATAAATAAATAAATAAATAAAATAAAATAAACTTCAGAGGATTCAGGAAGAGATAAATAAGTTGTTAAAACTATAAAATAGTCTATAGAGTTAAGAGACTGATTTTTTTTCTTTGTAGTTACAACATTTTGTTTCTTGAATGGCTTCTAATTGGTTGGTTAGGTAAGAGGAGAATTGGATGAAAGACAGACTTTCAGTTCTGACTTAGATATTCTCTCTGGCAAACAGAAACATTGTCAGTTGTTGCCGTGGAACTGGAACTAAAGGATTTCTTGAATGTTCTCCCAGAAGATGGCACTGCAGCATTTTTCTTGCCTTACCTTCTTTACTGCAGTCGAAAGAAATCATTGACTTGAAGGTATCATTTGAAAAACACCATAATGGCATTAGAGACTGAATTTCTGAAAGTTGAATACCAGGTAAAAATACAAGTAAAGGATTTTTTGGTTTTTGTATATATATTTCATAGATATGTATAAAATATATAAATAAATGCTTTTAGGCTGCTTACTTTACCATATAGTGGTAACTATGACCTGAATGCATTTAATTGTTCAGAATGTAAATAAATCTTTAAGACAAGAATGCCTTAAAGAAGCCAAGTATTTTTAAAGGCAGGGGCTGACTTTTATTCCAAGGAACAACATCAATTCACTGTTGTTGGAGACAAATTTTGATGTTAATGTTTTGCCACAGTAAAAAATTTTAAGCCTTTTGTTGTTGTTTTTCTTGTTACTTTAAGAAAACTCTATGCTCTGTTTTTTACTTAATTAAAATGAAGTAGAAGTTTACAAAGCTGACTCTCTTCTTGTCTGGCTATTAACATGATTTGTTTTGAATCCATGTTATTTTCAACCAAAGCCTTATTTCCATATTTTGTTGATGTGTACTCTTGTTTTAGCTAAAGTGTATGTGAAAATAAATATTGTGTTCACAACTGTGTCTTCCTTTTTAACATCCTGTTAAAAAAATGATTTTTGAGTCCAGTCAGCTCATTGATAGTGTCCTTTGAATTTAGGCAAATTTCCACTCGGTAGTGTCTGCCACAGCTGTATTTTGAAGCTCTTCTCCTGATGGCAATGCTTACCAGGATTTAATCTATAGAATTGTTTCTCAACTCTGCGCTTTTCTAGTTTCAGATAACATCCTTTTGACTGTCTTTTCAAGGGTTCACAGAACTGTAGACTGGCATCATTTTATTTTATTTATTTTTATTTCCTTCCTCCAAACTTTGCTACCCCATGTCCACTGGATCTTAGGAATTATGTCAGCAGCATGTTAGAAGCATCGATGGGAAGGCAATGATCAGAAACATTTCAATGAATCTTAATAGTAATCCTTTGAAGACCACCCAGGGGAACATCTGGTCATAGATATTTTTTTTCAAACATGGTTTTGTAAAGCCCCAATAGTGGTGATGTGAGTGGCCTGTGTGAATCAGTTCTGTCTCCTAGTGTCCAGGTGTCAGTGGTGTTTCATACAGTCTGTTGATCTTCCCATCTGCAGCTAGGCAACACACTTTCCCTCACAAATGCACAAAGTGGTCAGTTTGCAGTCTCTTTTTTTAAAATTATTTAATGTTTATAGTAAACATTCTATTCAACACTTTCACATACATTGTTATGAATCATTGGTCTTTCTTTTTTTTTTTTTCCACTTATCACCAATTTATTTCTTTCAGCCAGACTTGGTCTCTATAGAAAAAGAAATTTTAAGACCATTATTAAAAATAGCATATATTATATGGTTAAAGAATTATTAGATGGTGCTTTAAATGTATTCTAATTTTAAAATGTTACTTTGTTTAATCATTCTTTATATTTTTCCACTTTTCATACGTTTAAAAATTTCTCATTGCTGTACTGCTTTATTTTTTTTTTTTTTTTTTTTTTTTTTTTTTTTTTTTGTCTAAATTTGTTTGCTTGCTATTTGTGAAATAAGCAATAACTCCTGGGCTCAAGTGATCCTTCTGCCTCAGCCTCCCGGGTAGCTGGGACTACAGGCATGCGCCACCATGCCCGGCTAATTTTTTATATATATATCAGTTGGCCAATTAATTTCTTTCTATTTATAGTAGAGACGGGGTCTCGCTCTTGCTCAGGTTGGTTTCGAACTCCTGACCTTGAGCAATCCGCCCGCCTCGGCCTCCCAAGAGCTAGGATTACAGGCGTGAGCCACAGCGCCCGGCCTGTACTGCTTTATTTTAAACAAACTTTTTTTCTTCCTTACAAGATCCTTATTAATTACAAGAAAAAAAATAACTATGGGAAAACCTGGCAGACACCACCTTAACCAAATGCTCAGAGTTAACATAACCTAATGGAACAAACAGTACCTTGTGCCTCCTGAAAAAAAAAACATAATGTCATTCTGTGGTAGTCTTGCCCAAAATGTATAACCTGAATCTAATCATGAGGAAACATTAGACAAACCAAAATTAAAAGACATTCTACAAAGTGACTGCCCTGTATTCTTCAAAAATGTTAAAGCAAGACTAAGGAACTATTCCAGAGTCAAGGAGACTTAAAAGACATGCCAACAATGCAGTGCATGATTCAGGCTTTTCTTTTCCTGTAAAGAACATGATTAGGGTAACTGATGAAATTTGAAAAAGATCTATAGTTTTTAATTGTTTCTGATTTTGGTAATTGTATTATGGTCATGTACAAGAATATTCTTGTTTTTAGGAAATATGGTATATGTATTTACACGTGTAAATACATGTGTATTTACACGTGTAAATACATGTAAACATACAATATTTACATTTACACGTGTAAATACATGTCTGTGTGTGTATGTGGCAGAGGGAGGGAGGGGAGATAGGAGGCAGAATGAGAAAGCTAATGTGGCTGTGCAAAATGTTAGCATTGGGGGAATCCAGATGAAGAGTATAATGCAAATCCCCCAGAAAACGTTTTAAAAATTCCTCTTTATTGCATTGATATGTTACTACATATTCAACAAGCAGAATATTATATTGGATTTGTATACTTAGCTAGAAGTGCAGAATATAATATACAATCTCTGGCTATAAGGAACTTAAACTAAGCAAGATTTTTTTTCTACAAACTGTATCCAAAAGCTTATCTGAATGTCATAGAAATGTCACAGTCTAAAAATAGTATTATACCTTTTACATAGGAGGTCTTTGTATGCTTCTTCCAGTAGGGAAAAAGAAGCATTGTACTAGAAGTATGACAGGTTATCTGCCGTTCTGTTCTAATGATTTTTTTTCTTTGCCCAGGCAGTTATCTCCTGGTACATAATATTGAAAAATTCCATTCTAACCTCATGTACTCTCTTTTCTGTGTCATGGTAGGCAGAAATTTTTCTAAGACTTACAGTGTAAACTTGCCCAAAGCTTTGTCAAACTTTTAAAGATAAATCAGACTGATAACATAGCTCCCCATTTTTCTGTGTGTAGCTCAAACTATCTTTTTTATTCATTACTGCCTCTTTCAGTCCCATACATTACCTTTTCTCTTTGTAAAAGTCAAATTTCTCTTAAATCTTTTTTCCAGTGTGTTTTCCCTTCACATTTGCTATTCGTTCTACAATTTTCCCTACAGCTTTACAAACAATATCCCCTTCTTCTTAATCAAGCAGTTAGCTCCCTCTCTGCTTCCCAGGTGGTCATGCAGGAGGAATCCTCTCTGTGTCTGTGTGTGCAGGATTATCCTGTAAGCATCGTCAGCACGCCAGGCATTTGCACACATGAATTCCCCAAATTGCTTCCATGTTCACTTGCTCTCCTGTATTATCCTGAGCAGGACCATCCTTTTGTGCGGTTTACATGCAAGCTAGTGTTCTTTAAAGACTGAAGTTTTCTTTCTCATCATGTTTGGCTCTTTTCACTTCGTTCAGGTTACTAGCTGTTGTCAGTAATCCCTGCATAATAAAAAGGGCTTTCATGGAAGTAGTTTTCATGATGCAAGATGTTTGTGTAAAACCCAGGAGCAGAAATTAAAGCTTTTAATGTGCACTAAGGGTAGATCGTTCAGTGATTTTTAACCTCAGAATATATTTACTTTTATATTTTCTTACATTTATATGTGCCCTTTTATCCCAGTTTTGAGAAAGAAACACAGAGGGTGGTTCTCTTTATGCAGTTTCCCTCTGTTGGGCTTCCCATTTTCAATTCCAGCATTTTCAACTCAAAAGACCAAAGCCTGCAACCACAATGCAGGAATTTCTCTATATGTTTCATTGGTGTGTAGCTACAAAAAGGCTGTTTGCTTTTCTGTATTTTTGTGAGGGTGAGAGTGCACACACGCTTATATGTGGTAAGGGAGCTGTTGCAGGAGTTGGGAGAAGGGCATTTGAATTTTATTTCTTTCCTGGATCTTTCATTGTCTCCCCTTTCCCTGGAAGCACAGAAAGACACTGCTCTGCTTGATTGTTTGAAAGTATTTTAATTATTTGGCATTGTCTTGGGCTTCTCTTACATACAGGGTACTACTTGGAAAAAAAGTTAATGTTTTCTGTTAGGAAAGAATTAAATTCTAAATGTGTTCTCTTGTAAGTCCTGGTTTGTTTCTTGGTAAATAGCTAACTATGCCCTATATCAGCTTTACATATAATTATACTGTATCAAATTAGAGTCAATTTGTATTAGCCTGGAAACTACTATTGCAGTTATAAGTACTGGCTGTCAGGCAATGGGCAGTATCCCACACCATTTAGTAGTAACAGTCCTGTTAACAGGTAGAGAAGGAAGAAATCAGGGCAGCAGATTCACAAATGCTTCATATTGGGGGAAGTATTTAGGCAAAGTTGTACATCTTGATTATGTCTGTTATATGTGACTTTTAGGATTACTAACTGGATATTCACCTTCATTTGGTAGAACGGTGTAAGTAGTTTCCATTCCAGCATGAATGTGGTCGGTCACGTGGCAGTGAAGTAACCAGATTCCAGGTGTTACTGGAAACATTTCTAGGGTTTGGTATGTCCCAGGGAAAACATCAAAGACATCAGAACTATAAATGCCCCTGTGCTTAATTAGAAAAATGACAAATATTATATAACATATGGGAGCATTCGTGCAAGTAGTTTTTCATTGGTCAGTTCAGGAATATTAGAAAAATGGATAAATCTGTTTTTAAAAAATGGGTCCCTGCCTGTTTCTATGTTCAATGCAAATAGTAAGATATGTGGTCCTTGTATTCCTACAGAGCCCTGCACTGTGGGCCATAAGTGGGTGTAAAGGAAAGATGTGATGAGCAAATTGATCAGTCAGGATCACCTGTGGCTTCCTACCCTACGACTCTGGTTTGCCTGCTTGCCAGAGCACAGAGTTGCACAAAAAAACTTAGCTGTGGCCCCATTTCAGCCCTAACCTCAGTTTTGCCTGCACCTACCCTAGTCTAGATTGTGAAACTTTAGGGCAAAGAGAGTAATAGAGAGAGCAAAAAAGGAAGCCAACAGAGAAGCCAAAAACCAGGGACAGTTCAGGTGGAGTCTCGGCTGGAAACAGTCGTTGGGCATATTTCTGCAGGAATAGAATTGAAACTCCACTAAGAGTATAATATCTATGTAAAACAAAATGCAGATAATGAAACAGACTTTCTGCAATGTAACTTCTGCATTTTATGCATTAGCTCAAAGGTAAGAAAAAAGCCAGAAGGGCTATTGGCTTCTGCTAAAATCGGTGCTGGGTAAGGAATAGAAGTATGATTGAGATTGAGGGACCACAGCAAGTTGCTTGTCACCTGACCAATGATCTTGTTTACCCCAGACCATTTAAGACAGAACTTAGGCAGGCAACGGTTATAATAAAGTCTCGCACGAGTCTCCACTACACCCTGATCCATCATTTACATGACCACTCCTACCCCTCTCTGCTAGCAGTTCCACTCAAATGCCTTGAGGGGATGTGTGAGCAGAACTCCATGAAAATCCAGTAAAAAATACAAATCCAAGGAAGAGCCCAAGGTGTTAACAAAGGCTGGTATGTTAATTGAAATTGCTGTGTCCTATACAGTCATCTCTTGATATCCATTAGGGATTGGTTCCAAGACCACTCCCCTACCCCAGAATACCAAAATCCACAGATGCTCAAGTCTCTGATATAAAATGGTATAGTATTTCCATATAACCTATGCACATCCTCCCATACACTTTAAATCATCTCTAGTTTACTTATAATACCTAATGCAGTACCTATACATCACTTCATTTGAGTGGATTCAGTGTAGTACTTGGTGTGGCAAATTCAAGTTTTGCTTTTTGGAACTTTGGAATTTTTGTTCCAAATATTTTCAGTCCATGATTGGTTGATCCATGAGTAAGGAACCTGTGGATATGGAGGGCTGACTGTAGTCTTTGCAATTTTCGATTTTCTGTATATCTCTGTGAGGAAATATTTTCTTCATTTGTATGAAAACATTCTCAATAGAGCAAGAATATGTGCCGTGAATGGCTCTTACCTTGTGTCGGAAGCTGTGGCCATGAAAATGCACAGTGTGCAAGTCGATTTCATTGCCCATTCCCATCAGATACCAGTTGACTTCATCGCCCACGTGCATCGTGAGACCTTTTAGGTTTCCAAACATTCTTCCATTAATAGCTGGTGAAAGCACATGAGTTTATATTATTTCTCAGGATATTTTAAACTTGACAGAAAATATGATTATTAAGTTGATGTAAAGAATTTTTTTTGATGTAAAGAATTTTTTATGTAATAGGATTTATTTCACTACAAATGTAGGAAGTGAATTCTTTAAGATCAATAATATCACACACTACTTTTCTAGTCACTTTGTACAAAAATATATCCTAATTGTGTATATATTTAAAAGGGAGTGAGATTTTAAAATTGGGAGAGAAATTAATAAATGATTTTGAACATGGCTCCCTTTTTGTTTTGAACAGAATTCTATGTCACATACAAAGTGAAGCAGGAGTGGTTTATTGTAAACCAAAATGAATAGTCTCCGAAGTAATTTTATTTGAAAGAAGAAAAGGGTGATAAAGGAAAAAAATGGTTTTGAATAATGTATCATACCATGCATTTTGTTGCTTTCTATGAATTCCTCACTGTCTTTGTTTACTTTCTCAGGGTGAGCAGAGTATGTCTTGATGTTGTCGTCTAAGTACCAAGATTCATTCTCATCAAAAACTAGAAACAAAAGGGAAAATTCCAGTTTCTTTTGGGGATTGAATACTCTCATGTAGTGTCTTCGACAGACAATCAGCGGGCCAATTAATCCACTGTAGAGATCCTGGAAACAAGCAAAGACTTCAGTCACCCTCGTGACAGAGGTTTCAGGGAACTGGGACCTTGTCACCCATCACCTCAGGAATTTTGGAGGCAATGATTTAAGTAGTAGACTTTGCCCAACGTGGTGCTGCCAGTTCAGTAACTTTTCACTTGCAGTAGTTAAATTGGAACGGTGGTGAGTGATAGGTGGGACATGGGGGCGATGCTGAGGTAGCAGAGGTGCGTGGAGGCAAGAACTGGCTCAGCTGACGGGCAGCAGTTTGAAAGAGCCCCAAACGAACCATGTTGGTTTGTTTACTCCATATGCTCATCACCTCTTGAGAATGAGCCATGCACTATGCTAGTCACTAAAAATACAGGGATGAGTGAAATGTAGTAAATAGTACCACAAATACCAGATCTACTCATTTCTTCGAACTAGAACTCTGCAATATCAAATACCTGCTTCCCTCTGGCTCAAGCAGGCAATTCACCTACCTACCTGTAACTCAATCCAGTTCTTCTCTCCCTCCCCATAGTTGATTCAGGTCCTTGAAATTTGCCTCAAACTACCGTGTTTCCCCAAAAATAAGACCTACCCATAAAATAAGCCCTACCCATAAAATAAGCCCTAGCAGGATTTCTAAGTATTTGCGCAATATAAGCCCTCCCCTGAAAATAAGACCTAGTGATGCGCGTGGCTACGCAGCGTATCTGCACAACCCATGCATTTCGTTGCAGACCCGGTAAAGAAGATGAGCAGCCCTTCTCATCTGCTCCATTGTGACAGCTCCTATCCCAGAGGTGACCGGAAAGGTGCAGGCAGCCTCACCAATAAAGTCAGCTCCCCCTGTCAGGTCGTGGCCATCCTGTGCATGCTACAAGCTGAGGCTTTGAGGGGAAAATAACACATCCCCTAAAAATAAGCCCTAGGGTGTCTTCCTTAGGAAAAATAAATATAAGACTCTGTCTTATTTTCAGGGAAACATGGTATTACAATGGCCCCTGCCTCCTCCCCCTCCGAGCCTTCCTTCACTCCACTAAGATGTTGGTCTGAAATGTAAATATGCTACCATTCACTGTCCAGTTTTTCAGTGGTTGCCTATGACACACAAGACAAAACCCAAAATTCCCTAATATCTTAAAGGGCATTTGTACTGTATCATATTAGGGAATTTTAGACTTGTCTTGCATGTCATAGGTAGCAGCATATTTGCTAAAGTAAATCTCAGAGCAGTTTATTTTCCTGGGATTTTAACATAGAATTGGACCGCAGGAAAACGCTAACCTCATCTTCCTTCAATTGTGTGTCTATTTTCGGAATTGTCACAAAACATAAATGATTTAAATTTTACCTTAACTTGATCCACAGTCGAATAGTAAATCCATGGAATACAAGCGGAATCCTCTGTTCCAGCTCCAGATCTTTCTGGGATTTCCCATATGTAAGTCCGAGTTTCACCTAAATTAGTCAAGTGTTAAAATATCTGGTTATATTTAGTTTATATTTGATATACATATACACACTAAGCCTTGATACCTCAATACTGGTGACCCAGGAACTGGCAATGTCAGGATAATTGGTTTTAAAATATAGTGGTACTTGAAATTATTTTCAGGAATTTAGTTTTAAGCAAACTGTAAGACAGGCTGGGCATCTTGGCTCACACCTGTAATCCTAGCACTCTGGGAATCCGAGTCGGGATGATCACTTGAGCTCAAGAGTTCAAGACTAACCTGAGCAAGAGTGACTAGACCCTGTCTCTACCCAACAGAAAAAATTAGCCAGGCGTGGTGGCTTGCACATGTGTAGTTTCAGCTACCCAGGAGACTGAGGCAGGAGGCTCTCTTGAGCACAGGAGTTTGAGGTTGCTGTGAGTTGTGATCACACCACTGCACTCCACATGGGGTGACAGAGTGAGACTCTTGTCTCCAAAAAACAAAACAAAAACCGAAAGGCATACTTTCATGTCATTCTTGGGGTCAATCATGAATTACCTAGCTGTGACACATGTGCCATATCACAAAGCTAGGAAGTGGCAATTCCAATATCACAATTTGAAGGAACTTTGCAACTGATCTTTTCTTAGCTTGACATATGTTTTCCTAATACACTTTTTTTCTCCTCAAATACCAAGTGATTTTCCCCTTGTGCTAGCACCTTCCCCATAATCTCTGTGTCTGTGTATCTGGACTATCCTGTGTAATTCCCTCAGCTGCACCATGGCCTGCCTTTCCTGCTCCTTTCCCATCATCATCCTCAGTGAGCTCGTGATTCCTGCCAAAGAGTGATTAGACCTCTTAATCTCAGGTTACTGACTTGTTCTGTTTACCTCCTCTCTGGTCGATCCCATTCTGTCACACCACATACTGTTCTGTCATGTACAGGACATAACTATAGCCGGGGCCTGGGAACTTTGAAGACAGCTAGTTGCTCCACCCTTCTACCTTGCTACGGCCCCTGCCCTCATCCCACGTGCTCCTGGCTCTTCTCAGTCTGATCTCCATTTCCAGTACCTTCAGATTTCTTCCTTATACCTCTCCTGTGTATTTGGGGGGGGGGGTGTACAAGCATGTACATGTACATGGAAATGCACAGACACCTCTCTCCATCCCCTCTTAACAACCATCTCCCTCTTCACTTCCTCAAGCCACGCTCATTCCTAAGGAATACTTTTATGATGATAATCATTGTGGAAAGGCTGTAGAGTTTGTAGAGTCTATTAAAATGCATCCCCACTCCATGAGTACCTGGTAATGTTGGAGTAACTGTAGGACTCTCCGTTCTCACCCCATGGGCGTGTATTGAGTAGGACCTTGTGGCCATGTTTTTAAAGATAATTTTGACTCTTTCTCCAACATCTGCGTGAAGTTGTGGACCTGGCAAGAGTGAAACAGAAGGGTAGCTTATATTCCTATCAAGTTGAAAGTTCTGACTTAGTAGTAAAAAGCACAGATCAGATAGCTTGTTTTTTCCCCTGCAGCTTCCTGCCAAAATACTCTTGGATTTATACTGGGTCCTGGGGATTCTGGATCAAACTGCTAAGGATGGAGACCACCGTGTATCGCCTGAGTTCCAGGGAGGTTTGGCCTGCAAGTCTCTGGCAGGGTACTGGTCAAATCCTGGCGTGTTGGATGTCTGGCCAGGAGACATTTTGCAGCCTTTGCTCTCATTTCTCAGCATTTGGACTTCCAGACCGTCCTGAGAATGAATTTAGGGCAGTACCATATTTGAAAGGGCGGGATACCCCTCCCATTTCTACAATTTATCCAATCTTAGCTTTTCTGCTGTCTGGTAGAATTTCTGTGATGTTGTCTTAGTCTAGGGCCTGAGAATAACAAAGTCCCAGGGGGAACTCTGCCAGTGTGGAGACATGGTGAGATTAGAGGGGCGGTTCCCTGCACTTGATGGTTTTCAAAAAAATTCTCAAGAATTGAGAACCAGTGTTGCTCACGTTCTTACACATTCTGTCTTACAGTGATTCCTGAAAAACTGAAGGCAACTTTTCCCCTGCCTTGTGCATAGTACCACTTTTTCTTTCTCATTTTTTCTTTTCTTCTCATAATTTCCTCTTGTACATTTCTTGTTGTAATTAATCATTTACATCTTAATTTTAAAAGTAAATAACTATAATTTGGGGGTTAGGCAGGATAATAGGTAGAATTTGCTTAAGAATTTCATTAGCAGCCCAGAATAGTGGCTCACGCCTGTAATCTTAGCACTCTGGGAGGCCGAGGCAGGAGGATCATTTGAGCTCAGGAGTTCGAGACCAGTCTGAGCAAGAGCGAGACCCGGTCTCTACTAAAAAAACAGAAAGAAATTAGCTGGACAACTAAATATATATATATTAGCCAGACATGGTGGCACATGCATCTAGTCCCAGCTACTTAGAAGGCCGAGACAGGAGGATCACTTGAGCCCAGGAGTTTGAGGTTGCTGTGAGCTAGGCTGACACCATGGCACTCAAGCCTGGGCAACAAAGTGAGACTCAATCTCAAAAATAAAAAAAATAAATAATTTCATTAGCAAGTAGCTTCTTGGAAATTCACTAAAACTATAGGCATTAATTTGATAAACATTAACTATATACAGTTCCATCAGTATGTGGGATAATTCATTGTTTCAGACAGAAATAAGTAATATCTTACTGTGCCATTCTTTAGTAAACATAGGCTTCATATTTTTATTAAATAATTGATTTTTATTTTTATTTGAGCAACTTTGGTATACGAACTGAGAAAATGAGACCCATAGATAGGAACTGACAGTTACTGCACATGGCATCACATCATTTGCCCACACCTGATGCACTGGTGTTATTAGCATACCTAGAATTCCCATGTGTTCTTCTTCAGCTTTTCTCTCCACTGGAACTCTGAATGTGCTATCCTTATATTGCCGATACACAACTTTCTTGTACTTTGAGCCTATAAAAAACTCTCCCTTATCTAAAAATGCATTTGAAACACTAAAAAAAAAAAAAGTAAAACTCAAATTAGTATTTGTCTTAATGAAAATAGAAGTCAGGTTTTAAATTTTAAATTTTGAATAAAAATACAGTTTTTATGGAAGTAATTATGATAGGTTTTAATCATCATTCTCCCAACCCAATAAGGAAGGATGAGACTTTTAAAATTAGTATGGCAGAAAGCACACGTAGCTTCTGAATGGAGCCGTGTGGTCCTGGCCTGACTCTGCCAGTCGCTAACATGACCTCCAGTTAGTCACTGCCTGTTGGAGCCTCAGCTTCTTCACCCCTAAAATGAGGTATTCGATAAGATAATCTCTACGGTTTCTTTATAGCTCTAAAATTTTATGAGTCCAATATTACTAATCTATGGGAACTGAAATGGACACTTTTATTAGTCATTCTCTTTTTCTGAAGTTTTCATTGACTCCTAACATTGCAGTCAAACTAGCCAGTTAACCACTGCCTGGCTCCAGGTCACCAGTTGTGCTGTGCACCCCGGAAATGAACACCTGCCTGTCCCAGTCCCTCAGATCATTTCCATGCAGGGTCCCTGTAGGACGTGAGTGAGACGGGGGAGGGGAATGCATGTGGAAAGCATAAAAGGGCTAACTAGAAGTGTCAGTAATGCTTCTGAAGCCCCAATAAACATCCTTTACTCACATTTATTCATAGAATTTATTTTTTACTTTTTCATAAAGCATGTGTTATTGGTGGGTTTGAACCATATTTTCCTGTAAGTTCTTGGGGGACAGAGACCATATCTGCAATATTGCGCTCAAGCATTTAAAATATTCCATACATGACAGTTTTAAGAAAGTGAAATGACTGATTTTTAGACTAATAATGAAATCTTTGGAGAAAAAATAAGACAAGCAGCAAATGGTTGGTAAGGTAAATAATATTTCAGCTTTGAATTGGGGCATTAATTTTGGTCAAGTTTGAAAACAAATGACAAGATGAGGGCACATGAATGTGAGAAGACAGTCTAATAGAAAAGAAAGCCAGACCAGTGACTCCAAAGAATCAAAGGTGATAAAAGAAAATTTTTCTATGTGGAAGTTGAGAGAATCAGAAATGAATGAGATGAATTCCTAGGAAGTGTTTTGTTGTTGTTTTTGTTCTTACTGTTTAATGTACCTGTTTGGTTTTCTAAAATTTAGTCTAATTCTTAGTTTTCTTAAAGGGAAACCTAAAGTTATGGCTAAACAAAATGGGAATTAGAGTCTAGAGAATTACTTTTGCTCTTGTAAAAGATGCAGCTCCTCTTCCCATTTCCTGCTTGGGGAATAATCCCATTCCACCTCCACTGCTGCGATGTAGTAGGTCTTCTCTCTGCGGTACAAGGTGGAATGCTCAGACAGCCGCCTGCATTGGTTCACAGTGTATTTTTGCTTCATGCCACCCGTATAGTGATCAGTTGTAAGGCACTCAACGTTAAAAGTCCCTGGAATGATAAATAAGAAAATATGTCACTTTTTTGCTCAGTGCCCTCTGTGGCTCCCACCTCACTCAGGATCAAGACCAAAGTCCTTATAGTGGCCTTAGTTAGATGTTCTGGCTTCTGGTGATATCCTCTACTGCTCACTCTGCCCCCGCCACATAGGCCTCTTTGCTATTCTTGGAACAGTCAAGTGTGTGCCTGCCTCAGGACCTTTGCACTTGCTGTTTCCTCTTTCTGGAACACTTCTCCCCACAACATCCACCTGGCTCATGCCCTCACTTTATTCAGGTCTCTCCTTAATTATCACCTGAGAGAATCTTGACCCCCCACTATCAGTCACCATCCCCTTCCTCTGCCCTATTTTTCTTCATGTGCTTATAATCATTTGACATATATGCATGAATATACTTATTTGTTGTCTCCCTACATTAGAATATCGGTGCCATGAGACACTTTATCTCTTTTGTTCATTGTTGTTTTATATTTGTTAAAGGAAGGAAAAGGCGACACTGGATCTGCCTTAAGTTTTAGTGCCACCTATGAACCAAATAAAACCTGAAACAAGTTAGCATATTTTCACATTTTGATTAAAATTCTTTCTTTTTTGTTTTAACTTGTTTTACTCATTCAGAGGTAGGCCTGTAGCTGTCTCTGGACTAGCATGGCTACAGTTATAGTATAGGATATTCAATTGGAAGCAACAAACAAGCCAACAGTATATCTAGGCTACAGAGACATGATGAAAAGTTAGGTGCAGAGCCTTTATGGGCGTCGTCCCTCTTCTAGTCTTATTTTCCTGCTGTATTCAAAAGGACCAAATTTAAAAGGGGATCGTCTTGAGGATTCTGTGTGGAAATAGAGGACATCACAGCTCACCCTTTCCTTGCTCCTCATCCCCCAGTAAATAGGAATCAGACTTATGTGGTATATACTTCAGCTGACAGTGGCCCGGACTTGCTCTTTCAAGGGACAGACGGGTACTCAGGAGGCTTGGGGAAGGGATGAGTTTAACACATTCTGCCTCAGAATTTTAAACACAAACCATACAAATCGATCCAATAGAGACTTGTCTTGTTTTTAAAGATATATACCTTCCGTGTCAGGTCGCATGAGCAGTGTAAGGCTTGTTTGAGGGAAGAGGTTTGCTGTGTCTCTCGTTTCTCCTCTTGACAGATATGTGTTTCCTGAAAAGTATATCCCATGTACATCAGCCTCATTTCCAGCACTGAATAAGTACCACACCACCGAGTCTCCTTGGCACATACTGAGACCAGGCAGATTCCCATACATGAATCCATTCATGGCTGTAAAAGTTGGGGAAATGATATTTTGAAAGTGGTTTAAGTCCTACTGCATGACAACTGATCTTGACATTCAGCACCAGTGTCCCTGGGACCCTGGGAGTCTTTCTGTTCTTGTTCTTCCCAGCTAGAATACTGAGGTTCTAGCTATTATTCCTAGTTCTTTCAATGGTCTTATTTGTGAGCACCCAGATCTATGAATAATAACAGCTTTTCCTGGGCACTATGTACTGGGAATGTGTTGCTGTTCTAGCTTGGAAGAGTATATGCAGGAAGTTTTCTCTCATTGCTATTTCCAATGGATAATATTCTTGACACCTCTAAAATGCAAAAATGCAGAATCAAAAGAAATATTTTAAAGATTGTGGGTGGTGTGACTCAGTCCAGCTTAAAAAGAAACAGCAATAGTTTGTAACACAGCTTTAGATTTTTTTATTGTACTAACTACAATAATTTTTACTGTTGTCCGTTGCTCTTTTGAACAATGAGCTTACTGTCTCTAAACCCTAACTACTTTTTAGAATTACACTGGGAGCTAAAAAAACAAATCTGATGTTAGGATTAAATTAAATAGAAATCTCCGGGGGTTGTTCTGGGCACTGGTAGGTTGTTAAGAGCTCCCAGGTGATGCTAATGTACAGTCAAGGGTGAGAATCATTGAGGGCAGAGATCATCTCTTTCTACACATTGAATAATCAAATGAACCTGTTATTATTGAGCCACAGATGAGAAATGCATTTAATCCAATAGTTCTCAAACTTGAGCATGCATCAGAATCCCCTGGAGGGTTTGTTAAACACAGCTTGCTGGGATTCATCCCCAAAATTTCTGATTTATTAGGCAAGGGTTGGGGCACAAGAATTTGCATTTCTAACAAGTGCCTAAGTGATGCAGAGGCTGCTGACTCAGGAACTACACTTTAAGGACCATTCATCTAATTGACAAGTCTAATTACCCTGAATTAAGTGAAATTATGAGGAATTGACTGACACATCAAATAACCAATATGATCCTCAGAGCACTATTGCATTTAATCATTTATTGAAAACGAATCAATGAGCAAAGCTATCTGCACTTTGGTTTAATTAAAAGCATTACAGATGCAGTACTGAAATAACTTGACAGAATGGTGGGTGATGCAGTACTTACAGTGCATCTTGTTAGATTCCTGAAAGTCTGCATCTTCCTTATCCACCTGATCAGGTGTAGTTGTAAACATTCTAATATTATCATCCAGGAGTAAACTCTCATTCTCATCAAATACTGTGGGAAACAAATAGAACTCCTTATCTACATCTTTCTGTGAACAAAAACAAAAACAATGAGGTGAAGACATAATAAGTAAAGCAGAAACTTCCATGTACACAATATTATTTGTGCACAAACATGCCTAAAGGAAGGAATGAGAACAGAAGTTTCTGTTCCTCTTTGTAAAAATAGGGCTCATGAAATATTCCAGTTGCCCACGAAAGTTTTCAATGGTTTCATTTATGGTTCAACATGGTAATCTGAGCCTCTTCCTGAATCTAAAAGTTCTAACTCCCTCCCCTCCCCCACCTTCTTGTCCATACCAATTGAAGCCACTAAAAACAATTGTTAAAATAGGGGAGAATATGGATCTGTGCTGGAAATCAGGGAAGATCCCATCCACATTTATGAAAACTGGAAGGATTTCTGTAAGGCAGAGCAGGGTGGAAGCAGATTGAGGTAGAAATTAACTGAAATGAAGAAATAACCTGCCAATGAATTGAAACAGAGAGTCACATAATTTCCAGCTACCTGGACAAACATTCTCACCTCCTACTCCTAGTCCCAGTCAAAACTAAGAAGCAGAAATGCTATCCGGCCTATGAAATTATTCAGTCATTCAGAAAAAGACAATGAGTCTAAGGAATCAAAGGAAAAGAGCCCCTGAGAGTAAGTGACTCTCTCAAAGGAGAGAACACTTTAAAGATTCTTTTTTTTTTTTTTCAGATACAAGATCTTGCTCTTGCTCAGGCTGGTCTCAAACCTGAGCTCAAGTGATCCTCCTGCCTCGGCCTCCCAGAGTGCTCAGATTACAGGTGCAAGCCACCGTGCCCAGCCTGAAAATATTTTTATTTTAAGAAAAAACAAAATATAAATAAATATAATGAAAATTTTGGAAAATTAAATGAAGAGAACAGGAATTAATAAAGATAAAAGCTGAAATTAATAAATTAAAATACAGATAAAATAGCTAAGCCTAACTATGTATTTTTTAAAACCAACAAAATATATAAAACTCTGGCAAATCTAATGAAAAAAATTGAGAGAACCAAGAAATATTACATTAGGAATGAGAAAAGAATACAACCATACATATGGCAGAGAAAAGTTAAAACCATTGTACTCAATAACTGTGATCAATTGATTTAGAAAGAGTTGCCTGAGTAGATCAGTACCCATGGGTGAAAATAAAAAAAATCCTGTGCTTATCATGGTCTATTTTTTGAGAAGCTCAAGTGATTTGGTTTTAATAGAGAAACATTCACAGTAAACTACAAATAGAATAAAGCACAACTAATAGTTTATACTTAGTGGTAAAATAATACAGATATTCTCATTAAGATCCTACACAAAACAAAGCCACTATTATCACTATTACTTAATATTATTAATATTCTACCCAACACAATAAAGCAAGGAAATAGCACAAAATTGAAATACTAACAAAGAGAAAGTAATTAGCATTATTTGGATATAATATAGAACCTATACAAATCAGTTGAAAATTATTTGAATTAAGAAATGACATATTTAAGATGTCCAGTTACAAAATAAATATTAAACATTTATATTACAGCATTTCTATAATGACAGTAAGCAATTAGAAAATACCGTGTAATGCATTATATTAAAAAACAGAAACTTAATAAAAATATGCAGGAATAATATAAAAAAGCTATAAAAATTTACTGAATAGTCAAAAAGACAGCGTGAAATAAAGGGTTACTAAGTAAAAGTCTAAATATAGTTAAGAGATTAAACTCTCTCCAACAAAAGCTGTCCATTTAATGAAATTCCAATAAAAAATACCATTGGCAGTTTTTTAGCTTGACAAAATTATTTTAAAATTGATCTGGAAGAATTGTGAAAATATTTAGCTAAGAATAATTCAAAGAGAATAATAACTCTTTAAAGAAAAACTCTTTACAGTAATGGTTGATCATGTTCTATCATATATTAAAAACATATTATAAAGGTACAACAGTAAAAACAATGTGGTACTGATACAGATAGAACATGTGATAAACTAGAAAACCTAGAAAAATGACCCTAATATATATAAAACGTATGACATGATAAAGATGGCACTTCAAATCAGTGGACAAAGAATAGATTGATTAATATGTAATGTTCAGGTAATATGATAGTTGTTTAGAAAAAATAAAATTAGAGCTCTACTTCTTACCAAATTTGAAAATTAGTTTACAAGTAGCACCTCTAAGGTACTGACTAAAATATAGATTAATATTTATGTACTCTTAGAATAGAAAATAACTTTTTAAGTATGATACATAAAGAAAGGGATTGATAATTTGGCTATATAAAATTGAAAATAGCTATAACATCACAGGCAAACAAAAAAAAAAACAAGAAAAAACACCTGACCATAAGCAATGATGGAATGCTAGAAAACACCAGAGGCAAACAGCAAAAAACAAAAAGGTACACATACCTTTTTATGGATTTTATATATATATATATATAGCATTATACATTATATATTATATGGCTTAATATATAGATAATTTATGGATTAATAAACATAATTTATGGATTATAAGACTATAGAAGATTTTTTTATGATATGGAAGGATATTCGTAATATTGTTATGACAAATTATACACAATATATACAATGTGATCTCTTTTTTGTGATAGGAATACTTTATTGTCTTTTACTTTCATATATTTTCTTAATTTTCACAATATTCATGAAATGCTTGCATATTAAAATGATATTCAAAAAAAAATAGTTGTAGAGGTCAGGAACTTAACGTTGGAAGCTGAAACCTACCTACCAGGTACAATGAACATTATTCAGATGATGGGCACAATTACAGCCCTGACTAAAGCATAATAAAAGCTATCCATGTAGCAAAACATTTGAACCCTTAATATTTTGAAATTAAAAAATTAGTAGAATGCTGATTGGTCTCACCCTGTGTTGTATGCAATTAGACAGTAAAACTTTTTTGTTGGCTCAATATGTCATAGCTTACCCAGGGTTTTCACCTATATTCATTTCATTTGTTTCTTTCAACAAGAAAGAATGCAGCCCATCAAGATAGGTCAGCAGGGCAGGTATTGTCTCCATTTTACTGATGAGTCAGAGGGGCATGAGAAATATCAAATAACCAATCTGAAGTCACAGGGCTAGTACCAAAGCCAGGATGAGGACTTCTAATGCCTCCATAGAACTTCTTGTGTTGTGGCTTTTTCATTTGCAAAATGAAGGTGATGAAATATGTGGAGGCTAAAACTCATTTTAAATCTCAACTCACTGAGCATGTGTTCCTTGCCCACAAAAATTAGGATTACAATACTTGGCTTCTTGGGTTGCTGTAAAGGTTAAATGAAGTATTATATGTGAAAGTACGTGGAAGGAGTTCGATAAACATTAATCTCCTTTTATCAATATTTCTTCCCAAAGTAAGAACAAGAATGAAGAATAGAAATTCAAACCATCTTTTTTTTCAGCTACATGTTTTAAAATGGATGCATAAAAGGGCATTTATTGAAACCTTAAAATCTGTACCCCCATAATATGCCAAAATAAAAAATAAATAAATAAATAAAATGGAAGCATAAAGTAAAACGAATGTTACCTATAGTAAGGAAACAGGGACTAGGTGAGAGGAGAGAGGGGATAAAAAGCTTGACTTCTTTGAATAGGCTTCCTTTTGTGGATTTGGTGTTGGAGCCATGTAAATGTTTTGCATAATTATAAAATAATGTTACAATTTTGAAAGCAATTTCTGAAGCAGAGAAATAAAATGAATAAACTTGTACGTCCAGTGGGTGGCAAAACTATGTAGAGAACTTTTTTGTTGTTTCAGAATTTTATGGGGTACACACATTTTGGTTATATAATTTGCTTTTGTACAGGTTGAGTCAAAGTTCTAAGTGTGCCCTTCACCCAGTTAGCGTGTATTGTACCTGTTAGGTGTGAATTTACCTATTCCCTCCTCCCTCCCAGCTACTTGATTTCCCTTGAGTTTTACTTTAGTATTGAATACATGTGGTGTTGGTTTTTCCATTCTTGCAATACTTCATTAAGAAGAATGGCAGAGAAGAACTATTCCAAGAGATTTTAAATATGTAGTTTGACAGAAAATCCCTAGTGGGATCTACTATAAGAGCAAAAAGAGTAGCAAACAGATTTTAAACTGTTTTCAGTAATTGTACTGTTGTTTGTAATTGTGCTTCTGAGGCTGTTGTGTGTATGTTTTGGAACGAATCAAGTGAATATTTATGTTAGTGTCATTAAAAACTAAGATTTGTCAGTGCAGTTGAAAGGTGATACAGATGTAAGATCAATGAGCACAATAGCAAACAAAAGAAATCTGTAGACTCAAATTTGAATTTGAATAGAAAATACCAGTATGAAATCCTAATGAATTTATCTTAAACTTTTCCCATTTCTGTTCACTAAAAATGCCCAGAAAAAATGATTAACCCAATAGTAATGAGCATCTCTAGTGCCCAAACTGTGATTCTAAAAATAACTTTTCACCATAAAGAACCAAGGCTTTTGGGAACAAATGGCTGATTGTAGGTCTGGCTCAGAAAATGTACAAGATGAGCCTGAAATATCTTATTGTACTAAGAAGCAAAGAAGCTTCAAAGACTACTAAGTCATGTAACAACAGTGGAGTCAACCCAAACAATTCCCCCAAAGGTGAAAAGGATACTTTGAATATCAATAGGGATATGAATTGAGACACACCAACTATGCCTAAGTCCATAGGAGTTCACAATACTACTTAAAAAGAAAAGAAATTATTGAGAAGCTTTAAAGTATGCTAGAGGAAAGTGATTAGTTTCAAAACTTGTAAATATGGGGAAAGAATCAAGTATTTGTTGTTCCCTTTCTGTAGAATATATACCTCAGGATAACCAAGCAATTCATTCAGGGAATTTTCTGTTTATAGTTAGAGGTATATGCTAGCTAATAAACAAAGAAAGAATGATGGAATTAGAAGGTTACATTTTTTTGTTTTGAGACAGGGTCTTGTACTCTTGCCCAGGCTACAGTGCAGTGGCATCACCATAGCTCACTGCAACCTCGAACTCTTGGCCTCAAGGCATCCTCCCACCTCAGCCTCCGAAAGTGCTATGATTACAGGTATAAGCCACCACACCTGTCCTAGAATATTACTATTATGCAACCACTGATTAGTTTATGAATCTAGGAACTGGTCACCAGTGGGTGAGAACATCCCCAACTGAGAGACAACTATAAATTATGTACTCATTCATAGAAGTACCCAGTACCACATTTAAAGTAGTATTTTTCTTGCAAGAAAAAAAAATTAATGTGAATCTGAATCTGATCAAACCTTTAGATCTAGCCATTGGTTTATAGGAAATAGAGGTGGAGAGAAGGAAACATGTTAAATGACACCGCCGGGATGCAATGAGTAACATACCGATGCGGGAAACTTCTACAGCACCAACAACTCTTGCAACAGAAAAACTACAAAAAAAGTCTTAAGAAACATTTCAATTGATTGTAATATGTATAATTATCTGGATACTGATTCAAACAACAAACGTAACAATTATAAGACAACTGGGAAAATGTGAACATCGATTGGATATTTGGTAATATTAAGAAGTTACTGTGATATGTGTGATTATTATTTTAAGGTATGATTGTCTTGTGGGAATTTTTTAAGGAGTTCTTATCTTTTAAAAGTATATACTAAAGTATTTATTTTAGAGATTAAAAACAGTGATTGGGCTAGGTATTTCTATGCCAAAGAGTCATTTCTCATTTCTAAAAGATATTTTAAGCAATGTTTTCCTTAGTAAATGTTGATTGAATCATTATCAGTAATAGGTGATAATTAATGTGTGCATTAAAGTCTAGTTGTATCGTAAATGACCGTAAGTCCTATGGAAAATCTCTTTTCCAGCCCAACAATCATGTTAGCCAGAGAATCTCTGCACAATAAAGATCATATAAGCCTGAGAAAAATTTATAAGAACTATTATATGTAGAATCCTCACTGCCTCAAACCCAGGATTTTCCTTATGATGATAATTTAGAGAGATTGGAAAATCATTTTCCTTTTTCCCTGACTGGACTTACCTGTCTTCCATTTTCATGTAAACTTCCTTTCTTGCATATTTTCATTGGCCCAATAAGCCCAGTGAATATATCTTTGGTGGGATCCACAGCAGAATAATACATCTTAGATAGACACACAGGATCTGCATAAGTGGGTCCTACTTCTTTGGGAACAGTCCATTCGTATGTGAATGTTTCTTTGGGTGCCACATGGGAGGCTGAAGAAGGAGGTACACCTGTTGGGAAGGTCACATTAGAGAGGTTAAGTGTGCTTTGTAGAGCAGTCATTTGAGCCACGAAGTAGACTAGGTTTAGTCTAGAATGACCCACTTCTGAGTTCTTTGTTATGAATTAGAATGACAACCTAATTGTGCTGCTGTGTCAGATGTCAGATGGTGTGATTTTCTCCAGGACTCCTTTATATGACTGTCTAGGATTGGTGTCCCTCTTGGTGCTCACACACCTCCTGAAAAATGTCCCTAGCACCTTTTATGTTATGTTGTGTATATTTCTCTCTCAAATAGAACTTAATCTTCTTTAAGGCAAGCATTGTCTTTATATTTCTATCAACTAGAACAATGCCTGGCAATCAGGAGTAATCAATGCATTTTTCTATTGAATAAAATAGAACTGAAAATAACTGTAGAACTGAAAGGAATTTTGCAGATGATCCTGCTTAAATCTTCCAAATTTACACTTGCAGAAACTGAGGCCAGAATGACTGAATAACCTGTTCACAGTCACACTCTAAGTGCTGGCAAAGTCACTAGTCTTCATTGGTCGAACTTGATCAAACATGTAAAAATAGGCAAAAACATCTACATGATGGAATATTTTGTATCATTAAAATTATAAAATGCTCATAATGCTAAGAGAACCATTTCTGGGTACAAAATTATAATAGTGTATTTATATGCTATGATTCAACCATATTTAAAATATATATTGTATGTACACAGATGAAAGTAGAAGGATTATATAAAAATATATTATAATAGTAGTTGTCTATAGAACTAAGATCATTAATATTTTTGACTATACTTTTCCATATTTTTCAAATATTATAAAATAAGAATATTTTATAATATCTAACCTTCTTGTATTATAAGAATATTTTCTAATTAAAGAGTACTGCAGAAATGTGTAATTGATACAACCCAACTAATTTACTATCAGCATTGCCAATAATCATCCAAGTAAGGCAGGACAAACTTCCATAAACCGATTGGAAATGGTAGGAGAAGAGGTTTATTTGCTTCCTGGCATGCTGCCTAAAAATAATATATGAGCACTTTCCTTGGGAGTTCCTGCCTTCGGTTTTTTCAGGACACTGAAAGTGACCAGTACAGTGAGTTAGTAAACATTGCTGATTGTTTACAGAGTGCTGTACTCACTTCCACTCCGGGAGTTGGAATGCCGCGCATAGTATGTACCCTCGTTGTTCTTGCTGAATCTCACCCCAGTCGGCTCAATACTGAGGGGATGTGTTCCTTTGTTATGGAAGGTGACTCTGATGGTATCTCCCACCTCTGCCCAAATGACAGGACCTAGAGACAAAGAGAATTATTACCCTTCCTTTAAGGCAAGCATTGTCTTATTACAACTTGGTATACAACGCACAGAATGCATAAAACAGTTACCGTGTTTCCGGGAAAGTAAGACCTACCCATGAAATAAGCCCTAGCAGGATTTCTAAGCATTTGCACAATATAAGCCCTACCCTGAAAAGGACCTAGTGATGGGCGTGGCTACACAGCATATCTGCACAACGCACGCATTTCGTTGCAGAGGGGTAAAGAAGACGGAACAGCCCTTCTCATCTGCCCCATCGTGGCAGCTACTATCCCAGAGGTGACCGGAAAGGTGCAGGCAGCACCACCAACAAGGTCGTCTCCCCCTGTCAGGTCCCGGCTATCCTGTGCGTGCTGCAAGCTGAGGTTTTGAGGGGAAAATAACACATCCCCTGAAAATAAGCCCTAGGGTGCCTTCTTGAGGAAAAATAAATATAAAACCCTGTCTTATTTTGGGGGAAACACAGTATTTTCTTTGGCTGTATCCTCTGGCAAGAACCACTGGAAGCAACATGCTTATTTGTGGTGAATGGAAAGTTTGGTTTTTGAAAAGTCCATTTTCAATCTGACTTGGTGAGGTTGGAAGGAGATGAGAAGGGCTTTTTGATACAACTTTAGATTAATGCAATTGTTTATCATTTTTGTCCAAGTCGGTTAATAAGCTTTATATATCTACAAAAACTATTTGGTGTCCACAGTCTCTTCACCCTAGTCCACTGTTGTTGGCTAGATGTGTACCATTTGTCCCAGGAGCCAGGGGTGCTATAAACTTTGACAACCCAAAGCAAGTATGTTAAATTGTCTTAGATGTGAAGGATAAAACTGTTTTGGATTTTCCATCACCAAAATTAATATTATTACCAATTATATTATAGAATAAAAAGTAGATATATAGTACATAAATATTTTATGTAGTATACAAAATGACATTTATCCAGAGCTTCCTATCTGAGTGTTAGGTAGGAACCATTATTGTTCTCATTTTATAGAAGGGGAGCAGGCACAGAAAGTTGAGTAACTTTCAAGTATCACACAGCTAAGAGGTGAAGAGTGAGGACAGTCTGAATCCCGACTCGGTTGCTCCCCACTGTGCCACGTTGACCAGTGCCTGGGCGAGAATGGGTCTCTGGACTCTGCCTGAGGGCAGCCTGCGGAGGGCTCTCGGACAGATGCAGCCTCTCATTAGTAGCCTGGATTTTCTTCCTAAGGGGATGCACCTTTAGCTAAGAACAAAAATTAACAACTTAGTCATCTATTTAAACCAAGTCACAAAAGCACACAATTCCCCTTTCCTCTTTAAAGAAAAAGAAATCATAAGAAGTCAGCATGGCTTTTAATGATGAAGACTAACTTTTGGTAATTTACATTTGGAAAAGTAAAAATATTTAGCTGCTGCATTTTATGGATGTTTGATCTGTCACGTGCCTACTTTGTATATAGAAATCATGCTGTAGGTCCTGAAGCTTCTGTTCTTTCTGAGGGCGGTGTAGTCCAGTGGAAGAGACTCACCCAGTATGCCAAGATGCTCCTCTTCAGGGCCTCTCTGCTTTCGATTTGTGAAGGAGGCATCTGTGTACTCACGATAAACCAGCTTTTTATAAGAGCCTCCAATTCTTGTAGCACCTTGTTCAAAAAATACCTCTGAGTCACTGCCAGAAGAAAAAGTGTTTAATGCTGCAGTTGAAGTGGAACAGAAGCAGGTACTCACATAGGGTACTAATTAAAGAGAAAAATCCTTCAATTCTAAAATTCAAACAATCCTTTAATCTGTCAATCTCTAAGACCAGTGCTTAGAGATGAATATTATCCATGATTTACAGCAACCCATGCCAATTACTCAAACAGAAGAAGACAGTTCTAGGCCACTCATGGATGTTCAGTTAAGAAATACAAAATCATGGAGGGGTCCGTTCACTTTTTCAAATAAAGTGAAAAAACTTCAAGAAGGTCTGTGTCCACCCCTGACAGTTAATAGATTGTTCTACAATAGAATCTTTTTATCAAATTGTAAAGTGTTTAACAATACAGTAGCTACTCTTTATTGTACATTGACACCATCCAGGTGCTCTGGAGCTTTTATTTATTAGCTGAAATTCACAAGACAATGCAAGAAAGTTGGTATTATCCTCCCCATTTTACAAATGAAGAAATTAAATTTCAGAAAGGTATTCAACTTGCACAAAGCCACTCCATTCATCTCTTCCTTCACTTAACAAATATATTGAACACCTGCTCTTTGCGGGAAACTCTGTTATATGTTGACGATGTAACCATAAACAAGCTTCACTTGTCCCTGTCCACATGGAGCTTGTATCTGTCAAAGAAGACAGACCATAGTCTGTTCACGAACCAGTCAAAATAATAAAATGTAATAAGCGCAGGTATTACAGAGCATTTCTCCTGAGGTTAGGAATAGTGGTGGGGAGAGGCCACAAAGACTTTCCAGAGTAAGTGATTATTTAAAACCATCTAGGCCGGGTGCGGTGGCTCACGCCTGTAATCCTAGCACTCTGGGAGGCCGAGGCGGGCAGATTGCTCAAGGTCAGGAGTTCGAAACCAGCCTGAGCAAGAGCGAGACCCCATCTCTACTATAAATAGAAAGAAATTAATTGGCCAACTAATATATATAGAAAAAATTAGCCGGGCATGGTAGTGCATGCCTGTGGTCCCAGCTACTTGGGAGGCTGAGGCAGGAGGATTGCTTGAGCCCAGGAGCTTGAGGTTGCTGTGAGCTAGGCTGACACCACAGCACTCTAGCCTGGGCAACAAAGCAAGACTCTGTCTCAAAAAAAAATAAAAATAAATGAAACCATCTAAGGAGAAGTAGAGTTAGCAAGGTGAAGTGTGTGTGGTGGGGAGAATAGGGAAGATAAAACAGCTTGTGAGAGGGCTCAGGAGACAGTGAGCATGACATGTTCTAGAAAATATGGCAGAAGCATAGCATGCAGGGCAGGGCAGAGAAGCAAAGAATGAGGCTTGGGGACTTGTGGGGTGAGCAGCAGGACCTAGTTAAGGTTTCAGGATTCCATCCCAGGGCAGTGAGAAGCCTTTGAAAGACTTAAGCCTTCAGAATTAATATTTTAGCATAGCTGCCTGGAAAATTTGTTGGAAAACACGAGATTACAGTAGGGAGACCAGTCAGTAGACTGCTTTTATAATCTCATTGAGTGGTGGGGGTGATTTCAGAAGTTCTGGCAAAGAAGATGGAGAGAAGTAAACAGCTTTCAGAGACATTTAGGATATAATGAGGCAGTACTCAAAGAGAGAAGGAGGGATGGAGTCCAGAATGGTGCTCAGCTTTTAGACTTGGGCACTTAGATGGATACATGGATAGATAGTGACACTATTCACTGAGAGAGGAGGAAACTCAGATTTGCAGAGGAGACAATGGATTAAGGTTTCAACATGTTGACTTGGAGGGAGCTTATTCAAGTGGGAATGTCACTAAGAAGTTTGAAATGCAAATCTGAAATTCACAAGAGCCTTATGTGAGAGGCAGCTTTGGGAGTCATCATGTTTAGATACCAATGTAGCCTCAGACTTAAATAGATAGTTAAGGAGTCAGTCACACAGGCTTGGGTGGAGCCAGGGCCCAGCTATCAACTTGTGTGTGATATGGGGTATATTAATTAACCTTTCCAAGGAGGTTAAGATGGGTAGCAAAGAGGGCTTCTCTGAGGAGGTGATGTACAAACAGAGACTTGGAGCAGGGGAGTGGCATAAGTCCATTGATGTTTTCAAAAGATCACCTTGGCTGTTTTGTGGAAAATGGATAGACTGAGACAGAAGAAGGGCGGGGAGGCTATGGAAGTCATCAGACCGGTACAAAGAGTAGCTTTTGTGCATCCAAGAGCACTATTAAGAGAGTGAAAGACAACCTACGGAATGACCAAGTATTTGCAAGTATCTGATAAGGCATTGCTATCCTCAATCTATAAAGAATGCCTACAAGTGAACAACAACAAAAAATAACCCAATAAAAATGGGCAAAGGACTTCAATAGACAGTTCTCTGAAGAAAATATGCAAATGATGAACAAGTACATGAAAGGGTGCTCAACATCACTAGTCATTAAAATGATGCAAATCAAGAGTGCCATGAGATACCACTTCACACTCACGATGGCTCTTATAAAAAAACAAACGGAAAATAACAAATGTTGGGTGAGAATGTGGAGAAAATGGAACCCCTGTACATTGCTGGTGAGCCTGTAAAATGGTGCATCTGCTATGGTCATTCCTTAAAAATTTTTAAATAGAATTACCACATGCTCCTGCAATTCCATTCCCAGGTGGATATGCAAGGAATTAAAAGTTGAGACTTGAACAGGTATTAATACCAATTGTTCACAGCAAAATTATTCACAATAGCCAAAAGGTGGAAACAACCCAAATGTTCATCAACAGATGAATGCATAAACAAAATGTGGTAGGTATATACAATCGACTACTATTCAGTCTCAAAGAAGGATGAAATTCTGATACAAGATACAATATGGACAAAGCTTGAAAATATTGTGCTAAAGGAAATAAATTAGACACAAAAAGACAAATAATGTATGATTCCACTTGTATGAGTTGCCTAAAATAGATTCATAGAGACAGAATGAGAATAGAGGTTATCAGTGGGTGGAGGAAGGGTAGAATGGGGAGGTTATTGTTTATTGGATACATTTCCATTGGGATGATAAAAAAAAGTGCTGGAAACCAATAGTGGTGATGGTTGTACAACACAGGAAATGTACTTAATGCTGCCAAATTGTACAGTGCTATGCTTTCAGAAATAGAAAACAAATTAATTGATTTATTTATTTGTATTCAATGTTTTCTTAGGACTTTGTCAAGCATTTGATAACTTTTGAACCCAGCTTTTTTTTTTTATGGACTCAAATATTATAGTTCTCAAACTTGGACTCTTACACCAGATACCTTAACAAATATTTGCCAGACCAGTTACTCAATTTCAGATACCAGAGAACATTTTAATTGCTGAATCAGCCTTTTGTGGTTCTTTAGGGCCTGGGAAGAGCATATTTTAAAATATTAGTCTTTCTTGAGAATTACCTTCCAGGTGCTGTTAAGTTTTCTTTTGTGAAGACGTCTATATCGGAGGGAGCATAGTTCCAGATGATTTCCTCAGCAGCAATGTAGTAGTGTCTAACCTGTTTGTCAGATATGTCATCCTTTGATGGAGACTTGTTACAGTCCTGGACCTGGAAAAAGGCCTGCAAACCAGCTGAAATGAAACAGAAGGAGGCATTGGCTAATGAAGCCAAAGTTTCTCTCTCATATTGCCCTGTAAACACCACTAGTGAGAAGACAGATGGCAACTGAAGAAATAGACAGAAACAATACAATAAACTATGGTAAACAGCTGTAAATAAATTACTGATGGAAAATTCAAGTTTTTAAAAAGACATATATCTTTTTATGTATATATAGCGTAGAGATATTAAGCACACTCTTTTCAAAATATGGCACAAGTTTCTGTGGGGTTTCACTTGGTGGTTCTTTTGATGAGAGAAAAAGGACAAATTCATAGATAAGCAAAGAATAGCAGCTTTGACATATTTTAAGGGGTAGTGTTGGGAGGAGGAGGAGAAATAGGATAAGCATGTATTGCTGCTCTCTCATGTAAAACAGCTGTGGCTGGGTGACTGTGGCCCAGAGCATATTTGACAAAAACAATTGTTTGCAGGTCAAAGTAACATATCCAAACACAGAGATTAAACCTAATTTCTTAATTAGACCAGTATTATAAAACTGATATTTTTCAAGAACAAGGAATGTTTTTATTGCCCAAATTAAAGAGAGAGAGGAAGGATTTATCAAGTTAAATCAAGGATAACCAGACTAAAATCAAGAACAAAGTTGGGTGCAATTGATAAAATAAGTAATAAAAAAGGCTACTTTCCTGCACAATACACAAACATTCTGGTTTTTTCAATATTGTGTATTTTACAAAGCTGAGAAACCATACACGGTACTATATTTTCAGGGCCCATTGTTCTTTTCCCAAAATTAATATATTTTCGGATCTCATTACTTTATAAATGTTGCAGTCTTTCAGTTATTTTTATTACATTATGATATGTTCCATCATAAGAATAAAACTAAGATACCAGTTCAAAGCTCAGATTATTCCAAAGATATTTAGCTTTTAGATTCTAATTCCCAGTAATCACTTTTCCTTAGCTGGTGGCTAACTTTAGGTGAATTACCTTTCAGATGGTTTAGATTCTGACAGCTAAGCATCCATTCTCCAGGGCTCTGGGCCACCATCAAAGCATCAACAAGGGTAGCAGAAAAGAGATTGATTGTATCAATACGGTAATTCTTGTTAGTCAATGTTTGTCCATGGAAGAAAGCTGCATGCACATCAACTTCATTACCCATCCCAAAAAGATACCATTTCACTCTGTCTTCTGCACACATGGAGAGGCCTGGGAGACTTCCAAAAGTGTATCCATTCACAGCTGTAAGTCAAGAGCAGTTTGTGACTGATAGGCATTGGTGCTAGAGATAGTGTAGTTACCTCCACAGAAATAGAATCAATTTGAGATGGAAAATATCCGGCACACATGCTGGTGTTCCTCCCTGCTGTACCCATGTCAGACATTGCGAATCAGTCACATAACTCTTTCATTTTGGACCTGAATTCATCCTGAGGATTCTTGTCCACACCATATTACAAATGAACACAATACCGGCGAGGAAACCTATTTGCTTTCTTTGTTATAAAACTATACACACTGTTTGTATGTGTCTATTTTTCTAAATACAGATGTGTGGATATATACATAGCATACACACATATAGTGAATAGAAAATAGATTGAAGGTTAGTTAGTAATCAATCAATTATTAATCATGCTGGTATTGGTAGTATGAATATTTTATATTCTTTTTCTTATCAGGACTTTTTCAATTTTATACTGTGAATGTCTATTGTAATAACAATATAAGGAAAGTTTTTTTTTTTAATGTTGAAAGACAAAATTGGAAGCGAAGGGAAGCAGGAAAAGAAAAGCAGGGGAGGAACAGGAGGGACCAGTACCACGAAGACCTAAAAGTTGAAAAGCAGGATGGCTTGAGACCCTTGGAAGAAACTTAGGGTAATTGTTCAAAATGGGTGGTCCTAGAAATTTTCTGGGTGGAAATTAATTCCGGGAAGAACCATGGATGCACCAGATGCGACAGTGGCATCAAAGCAAATGCGTCCAGAGGAGAAGTTTGAGTATCTTTTTCTATTGTCTATTTTTGTTACTACATACCAGAGACAGGATTAAAGTACGGAAATGGGACCCTCCAGCCAGGTATAAGCAAAAGTTGGAAATAAAAATCTGTACTTTATTAGTTTATTCTTCTCCTTTGGTAGTGCAGTTACTTTTGTGTTCTTACTTTTTGAGTAAAGGTTATTTTGAAGAGGCTAACCACAAACAAATAAACAAAAGTCTATACTTATTGGTCTAATTGGTGTCAAGGGATTTGATGTCTAATGAAAATTCTGAGGGATAGAGAATCATTATTTTGTGTCTGAGAATGAAAAGAAAGCCCAGGCTATAGAGAAAGCATTTCTAGAAAAAATAAAGTGAACTAAAATATAGAAAAGAAAGATGAACCATCAAAGGTGAAGTGAGGACAACATAATATGTAAAATGAATACCTTTTAGAACAGGGATCTGAACTATTTTCTTAGGTATAGTTAAATGCTTTACAATATGAGTATAATTTTAAGCACTTAGTTTAATAATTTCATGCTACCTAAAATACTTTTTTAGAATGAGTTTAGAGGATAAACAAATACATTAATGTAACATACATATGCATTTCATGCTGCCTCAAATAATTTTTAGAATGAGTTTGGAGAATAGACATATTAATGTAATATACATGTACATTAAACCATAATTGATATTTTATCCTTATCACTTTGGGAATAAATTTGGTGTATCTGGCTTTACCTGGCTTGGAGTTTTGATTTTGACCTATTTAGCTGAATATCAAGTTGCATATCCAATATGCCTTGTTATCAGGGCCACAGATTAAAAACACACTCCTTATTCATATGAGAGAAGAAGCTTAGCACAAATAATGGATCAAGGAAAAAAAGTAAAGTTAACATGTCTTCTGTAATCTTACAATACATCCTGTTACTCTCCTGGAAGTCTTCATTGTCTTTTTCAACTTTCTCTGGCTCAGTGCAGTAGGTTTTAATGTTGTCTTCCAGGTACCAGCTGAGATTTTCATCCACCACAGAAAACATCACCACAAATTCTTGGTCAATATTTTTTTCTTTTTCATCATCCAGAGAATCTAAAGTAAAAATTACTATTTTAGTAGAGCTGAATATTTAGCATGTATTTTTGTTTATGTTTTTAGGTGATTTATAGGTTTTTAAAAAAATTTTAGTATTTATTTCCCTATCTAACCACAAATCTGGACCAGATTACTCCTGTTTTACAGATGTAAAAACAGTCAGGGAATTTCGTGTCAGTATCCAGGGCTTGAGAGACATTCATGTATCTAGATATCCACTGACCACACAACTATTACATACTTTTTGGCAAATGAGAAGGTTGGAATTCAAAGTTATGTGTATATCTTCTGATGCATATAGCCATAGGCTGAGGCAAATCTCTGCAGGTAACTATTGTTCAAGTAAGAATTACATTTCAAGCTCTTGAGCTATATTGTCTTTTTCATTATGCTAGAAATAAATTCTATGATATTATGTTTACCAGTAAAATACAGATAACTATAGATCTGTCACCATGTAATGCCACTAAAGGAATCATATTTGGTAAAGCCATATGTCTCTTCAACAGCACTCTTGGAAGTTAGATACAGCAAACCTATCTCCAAGGAGAACATATTTCTTGCTGCTTAGCTTCATTGGTGTTTTCCCCATATGAATACTTATTCCATTGATCCCTTCTTCTCCTAGTTGTGATCTGCTCTTCTTTTCCATTTTGTCTAGACTCATCACCTCTCTACCTTACCTACTCAGTCTCAATACAGAAGACTTCACTTACATTTAAAAAACAAATTGTCGTGTCCCTTGTCTTCTAGTCACATATTGGGAGCCATAATGAGGAAATGTACCTTGTTTACAGACTATTAAAGGTCCGATGAGTCCTGAGGCAATATCTTTTGGAGCATCAATGTGGGAATGGTAAATCCTAGTCACACAATTGCTATCTCCCTCACCAGGACTTTGTTCTTCAGTGGCATGCAACATGTATGTATACTGCTGTCCTGGATACACCTTGTCATCTGCCCTGTGAAAATCCGTGGTGTTATCAGGGTAAATGGCCCCTAGAAAGCAACATGCAATGAAGTTACCAAGTGAATGCGTTTGAACTTAAATGAAAGAATACATAGTCCATTAATTCATTCAGCAAACATTTGCTCAAACTCAACCTCTGATATATGCTCTTTGGGGATGAGTGCTGTCCCATTTGTACAAGATAAATAAGAGGCTACTGGCTAGGGGGAAAGTTTCACAAAAATTTTTGTTACCTTTTATACTTGACTGAGTGTTCAGGAAGCAGTAATAGATATATCAGGAGAACAGTGATGTTAAGTTTGCAATGTAAAGAACAACTTTTGTCCTGGGGTCATGGTATGGAAGTCTGAATAAATGGCACCCTCTTCTATAATTTGAAACTTCTTATATGGCATCAGATTTTGCTCATGAAGTAAATATGGGATTTAAAATTTTTTTACCTTGAATTTTGGGAAAATATGCAAAAATCAAGGGAATAATATGATGCATGTTCATGTACCCATCAACCCAGCTTAACTGAAGGTCAGTCTTGTTTCATCTATACTCTCTCACTCTTATGCCCAGCACCATCAAATTAGTTTAAAGCAAATCCCAGACATCAGAGTCCATTCATGAATACTTGAGTATATATCTCTAAAAGATAATTCATTTTTCTTTTAACAAAACCACAACACCATTACATACCTTTATAATGAATGCTAATTCATACCATGAACTTATGCTATTAACGTAACTGTGTGGTTCAAAAAACAAAAAAAAAAAACAAAAAAGATATAGCCAAAACATTCACCTTCTATAATAATACCGCTTTAAAAAAGAAGACTAATAATGAATCACATCTAACTTTAAATTCATTTCAAGATCTGATCATTATAATTTCAGTGACCTGTGGCATGACCTCAGCATTTCTGTTTATGATAATAGCTGACTTTTATTGAGCTATTACTATGTATTATCATTGTCCCTATTTAATAGATGAGGAAACTGAAGCTCAGAAAATTTAAGTAACTTGCCCAAAGTCAATCAGCCAGTAAAAGGCAAGGCTGGGGCTCGAACCTTGATCATTAATTTCAAAGCTCTTGCTCATCACCACAATAAAATACCACCTCTTTTCATCATCATCAAGTACTAAGAATGAGATCACAGGCACTAAATCTTACTTTTGTTTTTCATGTACCATTTTTAAAGCTTCCAAGTCCTACATTCAAATTACCCTTTTGGTTAATTAATTATATCTCTGTTGTGACCTGGGGTCATCCAGCCACATGTACCATTTGACAGATGCGTGAGACTACTCATGCCACCTTCGTGGGGACAGACTTTATCCAAAGTTAGGAGGGGAGGTGACAACAGCCACGGAATGTTCACATGTAAGAACTTCAGAGATAAGACAGTCCCCATTTTGAGTCCTTCTTTCTCTTACCGCTGGATTTTTGCCTCTTCTAGGCTTTAACACACATTTCTCTTATTCCGTCTATTTGGACAGAAAGGATTGGGCAGTGGGAAGGAAGCTCCAGCTCTTACTGACTCTCACTATCTGAGTCTACCTGGAAATCCTATCACATTCACACTTGATACAAACAAGCACAACCAAGAGAAACACAGCATTATTATGAGGAAACAAAATACTTATTAATAAAATAGTTTAAAACTAAACGATGTCATTGTAAGTCTAATCCAGGTTGGAAGTCCAATTAAAAAGTTCTACTAACATATTAAGAGGATATTCCAGCTATAACATGAGATGAACTTACCCTCATGTTCCTTATAGTAAGTCACTCCATGTACATGAAAAGTGTAGGGCCGAGAGGCAAAGTTTTTTAAGTGTACATAAACTTTCTGTCCAGTTTCAGCTTTGATAATAGGGCCTAAAAATCCTAGCCAGACTGGCTTTTCCATAGTCGTCGTAAAGGTTTCATCTGTATACGGAAGATAAAGGGCCTTCTTGTATATCCTCCCAATTCTATCTGTGCCAGTTTGAAGGTAGATGTTGTACTGTTCCCTGCAAAGGAAAAGAAGACAACTCTATCAGAAGCCATCATTTCTGGGTCATTTTAATGACTGCATCACATGAAACATTTGCCTGTTGTAGGGATGCCTCCAAAACTGAAGTGGAGAGCTGGCAGTTAACCTTGTTATTTTAATTACAGGAGGCATTCCACATCAGGAGGATGGCAGAGAACCATCTGTGAAGGTATTGTAAAAATACGGTGGATCCTATTGGAGTATTTTCTCCACGGTTTTTATTTTAAAACAAAGAGGCATTATGGAATAGAATACAAAATTAAACTGAAATATTAAGATGAAGCTGTTAACTAAGACATTTCTCACGTATAGCGTACCTCTGTTAGCTACTAGGAAATTTGACTTTATAAGCAATGAATCTGGATATTTGAGACTTCAAAGTATGCGTGTGTGTATATATATTTTTCTTAAAGTAAAACTAACGAAGCTAAGTTAATTCTGTCATTTTTATTTCTTTTAACAGCACTAAATTAAGGCTAGAGTTGATGCATGCAATGTATGTGAGTTTTAAAATTAACTTTGAATTTAAATTATCTCTGTTTTTTTAATCCCTCACTACCACAGATACTTAGCATGGAATGTTTACATTCTGGTTAGTGTCTGTTTATAATTGCTTAAAACTTTCCTCAAAATATCATCAAATTAAATAGTAATCAGAAAAAAAGAAAGTGAATTAGTATTCAAACTTTTGAACTGATTCTTATGTTATTAACTTTAATGAAAGGTCTGGAGAGCTTGATGGGATCTATTTATGGGGGATGTCATGTAGCCATTTGGAGGGACTCACAAACCCTAAACTTTGACAAGCGCCCCCACAACCATGTCTTTTCCAAAAAACTGCTCAAGATGTTGGGTTTGTAATTGTTCATGTGTGCACGTGCACATGTGTGTGTGCGCACGCGTGTGTGTTTGTGTGTGTGTGTGTTTTGCCTGCTTTCCTCTTAGTGATTTTGACATTTTACCATTTTCCACCCAGCCTTTGTGGGGCTGGATAACCTAATTGAGGAATAAACTTTGTCTTGTTTACTCAGCTGAAAGCTCATCGGAAAGAGTGAAATATATTTTTCCTTCCATTCTTCAAGACAAGAAGAGGGTTTGTCCTCGAGCTTTGGACTTTCATTGCTGCAGAGTTTAAAGACCTAGTTTTTCAAAAGTCTAGGGGTCAGGCTAGTGCAGCGGATCACACTTGTAATCCTAGCACTTTGGGAGGCTGAGGCAGGAGGATCACTTGAGTCCAGGAGTTTAAGGCTTCAGTGAGCTGTGATCATGTCACTGCACTCTAGCCTGGATGACAGAGTGAGAATCTATCAATACAAACAAACAAAAAGTATAGGGCTCCAGCCTAATGTTTCTTAAATTCTGATGTGCATGGTAATCTACTGAGGAACTTGGTGAAATGCAAATTCCTGGGGCCCAGCTCTACTCATTCTGTTTCTGTGGGTCAGGGGTGTGGGTCACACATCTGCATTTACTGACCCACCTGCTGGTGTGTTCTGATGGGGCAGGCTGCTCTGGGCTTACAGGTAACCTGAGTGGGGAGGCTCCACTGCTGAAGGTGAAGAGAGCAGCCCAATCCCTGGGGCATGAGATGCCATGAGACAGAATGGTGGACAGTTTTGTTTCTAGGCCATACCTGGTGGTTAGACGTCTGCTGGCAGTAGCTGCATAGATTAAGCCTGAGTGCTGGGGATAGGGAGTATGGCTGTTTGACAGAGGACCTGGTAACAGAGTTTGGGTGGAGGGAGCAGGTGTTAGAAATAACAGAGCCACCACCCTCTGGATTGACCAAGGGGCTTTGATAATGAGCATCTCATTGTTGCTACCATATACTGAGGACCCCAATTTTCCTGGATTGCATAAACCCTAGGATTCCCAAAGGAGGCAAAACTGTCCACTAAAAAATAACTGAGAGGTTGTTTCCCTGTCACAACCCCCATCCTGGTAGGAGGCCAAGCTGGACGTTATTATAGAAAAATAAACTAACATTTTTGCTCCCAGCGTGGAGCAGCAAAACCATGGGTATGCCCTCATTTCTCCTATTTGTTTTCACTTTCTGGTTGTTTGTTGCAGTTTCCCATTTTGTCAGAGCAAAATAGAAAAAAAATTAGGAAGGCTGAGAGAGACTTCAAAGACACAGAAATGCATGGAAAAAAAGCAGGACACAGGTGTGAACTCTGCCCCAACCTACAGCATCAGTGTGGACAGGAGGAGTGTCAATAAATATATGTTTGAACAACAGCAAACCTGGGAGACACTGAAGACCACTGCGGTGAAAAGCAGAGATTCATCCAGTACACTCTGGTGAGAGGGGGCAATAAGAGTACAGTTTCGGTCAGGCACACGGCTGCAGCTGCAAAGTCTACAGTGCAAAGAGGTGATTCCTCTCTGATCCCACCAGAACCCAGGGCCAATCAATCTCACACGGGCTTGTCTAAGCCTCAGGATAAATTGTCTTGAGGATATGAACACACTTTTATTTCTAAGAGACTGATCTGATAATATTTAGACAGAGATTCTAATCTGTGCTTGCCATGTCCTGTTTATACACATCTTACATAGCCCAAAGTTAAAAATTAGCCCTCAAATTCTTAAGGCTTCATTTAAATAAATTGTCTATTTATATTTTCTGAATGTGACTCTATAGAGCTTTGCAATAAATCACATCCCATTTCAATAAACTATAGCAGGCTTTGTCAAAATGCTTTCATTGCATTGAAATTCTCCTCTATTAATCATTTCCTAAAATAGGAGGATCATTGCCTAAGCTTTGTGACTTATTTTTTCTACACAAAGATTTTTTACAGAGAGAAAATTACTTTTAAAATAATTGAGCTGAAGTTCTAATATATCTAGGTTTTTTAACATTTGAAATTCCTTTTATATACATTGTAATATGCAAACTGGTTTTCTTCATCTTCTCTTTTATTGTGAAAAAAATATGCTTAACTAAATTGGGAAATATTTCACATCATGTGATATGATTGCTTATGATCTTTCTCCAAAGGAACATCAAAAGGTCATTAGGGGATGTCTATTTAATTTCAACAGCACAGCTTGGGTACAAAAGGTCAGTTACTGAAAGCTTGCAGGAAGTTTGTTGGTCAGATATTCAGTCACAAGAATCTATTATAGTTGTTCTTTAACCAAACAAATAATTCACATTTAATTGTAGCTCTTCCTGTTGACGACTGTAATATGCTCCTTTCTATTCATTATAATAGCTGTGTCCCCCTCTCAGTAATCATATTCCTTCTTTTTAGCTCCTCATTTTCAAAAAAGCCAACTCCTATCATTTATGGTAGACTCAGACTCAGAAGTGAGTTTTTAATGGTAGGGGAATTACATTTTTAGATATTACATTAGTTAGATAATAATGCCATTTTCTCCTATGAATTCAGAATTAACTCAAGTGGACTAGACATGGTTACCAAAATTTGGGTATTATAGGCCCATCCTGATCATCTCCCTCAAGTCAACGGTGCCACTGACTAAAACATAAATCATGGGAGTGACGTCTCACCCTATTCCTAATTTCTGCAGATTCAGGGTAGGACATCTTTTGGGGGACCATTTTAGAAATTTTGCTTGTCACACACAAGAATTATAAAGAAAATAGTCAAAAATTAACTGGTGCAAGAAGTTGGCAGAGATTCAACCTAGGTATATATAGCACAAATTTAAGTGAATTATAGGTCCAGACTAGCCTTGCTTCATTGGCACAGCATGAATAATGTACCTAATGGTCTATCTTCTTTTAGTTCTGTTCTCAAAAGAAATAGAAACTATGATCATAAATTGTAGAGTTTGCAAGGTGTGAAATGTTATAATCACTTAATTGTCCCTCCCCTTCATACAAGATGTCTTATATGAAGTGTTTGTACCATGCTAGCTGTTGCTTGCTACTTTTTATTTGGCAACCCCAGAGAATGAGTCATAATAAGGTGATTTTTCCAGATAATTTTACCTAATAATTGTGTGTATTTGAGAATCATTTAAAAATAATTTTTGAAGGGGTGTTAAAATAATTAATTAGGAGGCCATTAGGCTGAGACAGCTCCAGTGCCTTGGGTTCCTACATAAGCAAACAGAAGCCTGGTTCAGTGTAAACGTTAAAATGAAACTTAAGCTTAACCAATCAGGATTAGAAACCACCAACTAAGCTCTAACTAGGGACTTTCCACTTTAACCAATCAAATACATTTTCTCAATCTTTCTTCTGAGAACAACTTATAAAAGTTTCCTCACTTGTACATTCCCCCCGCCTCCACCTAGTGGAGAGGGCTAACGGGTCTGTGGTCTTGTGCTGCCCAGTTGATGCATGGCTGAATTCTCAAATAAACTTGTTAAAATTGTAATGTGTCTAATTCATCTTTTAACAAGAGTAAAACAAGGGCCTTCAGTGCAAGTTTTTTCTTTAAAAATATTTTATTTGCTTCCCTGTTTTTTTTAAATGGAGATATGCTGAAAAAGTCAAGTTTTTGGATAATAATAGTGAAAGTGAACATTTATGGAATACTTGTATGCCGATCACTCAAGATCATAATTACAATAAGTATGATTATATCATGGTTTGGAATGTTCTTTGTTGTCTATTTCTCTGGTTAGGATTTGAGCTGTTTATTTCTTATTGATCATTGGGTCTACTTAGAGTAACATCTTCACTATACAATTTGTTTTTTGAAACCTACAATGGAATAAAAAACTAGGTAACAAAGTTTGTAGGAACTGTATATTAAGAAAGTCACCAAGCCTGAGAACCTATGAAGTCAAGTGTAAAAGTGTTTTGTGATGGTTCTTGTGCTTAAAGAATTTTTCACTTATTTCTAGCTTCCTAGAGGTATCCAGAAAAAAAAGTAACCTGAAGATAGCAGAAGCATTATTTTTTGCTATTATATAGTCAATTAATTCAGTAAATAATTAATTAATGCCTACTATGAACCCAGAACACACTATTGTGTTTACTAGTTGTTATATATATATATATATATATGCATGTATTTTATTCTTATTTAAGTAGAAATAACTCAGGATGAGGACTATATCTCACAGAATTGTAACTATTTATTGACTTGTTGAAGTGACAGACAAGGCACTGATACAAGTAAATGGCAGTACTGAGTGTAAGGAAATTATTTTCCACTTCACCCTCTTAGAAATAAATATTACTGGCATTAAGACCAGAGAGGTAAACTCTATTTTCCTAGGCACCCCTCCCCCTGCAAAAGAACCCTATACATTTTTATCTTTTAATATCTGTCAGTCTTTTCAGTTCCACTAACTCTGCTTATAATCCCTTAAACTGACTTTCTATTTTGTTCTAATGCCTGATTTATTCCACAGCACGAATCTTTCCATACGAGGAACAAGGAAAAGTTTTTACAACACGGCCTATAATTTCTTCTAGTTTCCTACACATCTTTGATTCATTCATTTCTATTTATTCGCAAATATTTATGTTGTGTCTCCTATATGCTAGGTACTAGTGACAAACAGCGATCATAACAGATGGAGTTCCTGCCACGTCAGCACATATTTTCCTTTTCATCATCCCAGACCTACAAGGTCAACATCCAGTTTAAACCTTATTCTCTACCTAACACTCATCTTGTACTCTTTTATACCTTATTGTTCAGCCAGTTTATTTCCACTCCTTCTGAGCCAACCATGTCTCATGATACCCCATTATCCTTCGCTGACTAGGCTGAACATGCTGCAAATCTGGGACAAAGAAAGGATCAAAACATTGCTACCTACATTCATCTATACAAAAATTTTAGCATAGTGTGGGCAAAATTGCTGAAATTCTATTCAAAACTCACTTTTCAGACATAGAAGAAAAGAAATCACAGACCGAGTGAGCAATCCTGTCTAGAGTTTGCACGATTCTAGGCTGTTGTTGAAGATGCAGAAGATTATCAGGGCAATGACAGAGAGCTGAATTTAACAATTGGAAGATGCTCCACTTTCCCTTTTAAGTATCCTTTTTAAGAATAATGGAGTAAACAAGCTTATACTCGTTGGATAGCCTCCCTGACACAGGCAGGCAGGAGGATTTTAAAAAAATGAATTTCCTCTGGCCCTCCCCCAAATCCTTAACAAGTTCTTTCACTTTTCTATTCCCTAGTTTCTAGGATTAGAGGCTTCTTTAGTGAAGCATAGATGAGGCAATGTCTTGCACTTAGTTTATGCCCAATAAAGCTGATTTGATTTTTGATCATGAAGAGGGCTTATTGGTTAGGGCATGGGGCAGGACAGTATTTTTATTTTTTTAAGTATCTGACTTTTTCCTTGGAAATAAAAGTCACATATAATTTACATTATATTTAATCAGTAAAATACTGAATCCATACAAAATAATGCTTTTGGTGAAGCTATAAAAATATGTCATATTCCTAAGAAGAAAATACTATCTCAAAACCAAGTTTTTAAAAAGAAATATTTGCAAGATGTACTAGTTTTATTTACAACCAGTTATCTTTAAGTCAGAAACTTTCCTTTCTGTATATTACTAAATTAATAACTTAATAATTAGATATTATCAGCTATGCATTTATTTTTTATGGTGAAAGGAATTTCAACCTTACATAAAATTAAACAGAATAGTGTATATCCACCAAGGAGAGTCAATAATTATGAAATTTGGCATACTTATTTAGCTCTTTTTTAAAGATAAAATCTTAGCAGCTGATGGTCATTGGGCTTATTTGTGTTCTATCACCATTAAAATACATTTTTAATGTAGTGGATATTGGTTTTGAATGCCAAATTTCTACTTGATGATAAATGTTTAATTAACATTCTTAAAAGTGATGACCTCGATATAGATAAACTTCCATAGCAGAAACCTTCAAAGAGAACTATATTTTTGGTTTTTCTATATAGTTAGTATTGCTTTAAATAAGAGAATTTTCAACAGAAACATGAAGACATTTAAGTTACATGAATTTTGAGGGCCATGATAAAAATGTCTAACATGTTTTGGGGGGCATATATGACATGCCAAGCACTGTACTAAGAGCTTTGCGTACATTCAGTCTTTGAACAATCTTACAAGCTATGCTTATTGTCCCATTTTACAAATTATGACTCTGAAGCTGTGAAGGATTAACCCAATTAACTGTTCAGAGTCACCCAACAAATATTAGGCAGAATCATATTTGATATATAATTGTATTTTATTTCTATAAGCAATGTTTTGAGAGATTAAAATTATTTTATCCTTACAATTAATAATTATTAAAAGGTATAATAAACATAACATTTTATATGGTCATTATTTAAATAAGAACTTCTACATAAATAGAAAAAAAGACAGAATCCTGATGGGAGAAGCAGTGATGACCAGGGAAGGTACTAAGAGGGGCAAGACAATTCCCCAGGGCCAAGGAGGGCAGGGCAGCCTCTCAAAAAAATATCCAGGAATATAAAAGAGATTGATTAAAATGTCCGCATTTGCAGTTTCTGTATATAACAAATTAAAGAAGTATTTCATCTTGTTGGCTTTATTTTTTAAATTCATAATTTATAAATTTGGTCCACAAACAATAAAAATAGTGACTTACGTGTCAACTGAAATAAGTTTCTTTTCCCCATTGTCAGGGGCGTAGTTCCAGGTTGTTTCAATAATTCCAATGTAATAATGCTTATCTTTCGCCCAGGCTTGGGTGCTATAAAAAAACAGAAAAATACCAAGCATCAAAATCTTCATTTTTTTCCTCCTCCTGGAGCCTGAGAAGCAATGAAGTGAAGTCCGAAGTAGGCAATTTTATAAAGAAGGTTTTCTTCCTTTATTTGCTTGATTGACATATTTAATGTTGCACAAGAGTAAATTGTTTCATTAAAGCAAATATTTTCCAATTCAGTTCAGTTCTCGTAAACCCAGTGAAAAACTAGTTTTCGGTTGCCAGGCTTCTCTGACTACAAAATAAAAAGTCAACAGTTATTGTTGGAGGCATTAGTGAGTGCATAACTCTGTGCTTTTTTCCATTCATCGTGTAAATTCCAGGAGGGCAGAAAACATCTCTAAATGCTCCCTTTGTTTCTCCAACAATATGCCACAGTACAGTGCCCTGCATGCAGGGCGCTTATAATAAATCAGGACAAGGATTATGTAAAATGAGTCAAAACATGTAGCTCTTTACTAGTCATCCCTTAAGCACAGGGATACATTCAGAGAAATGCATCATTAGGCAATCTCACTGTTGTATGAACACCATAAAGTATACTTACACAAACCTAGATTATATAGCCTACTACACACCTAGACTATGGCATTGGATAGCCTATTGCTCCTAGGAGAGAGAGCAAACCTGTATTGCATGCTGCAGTACTGAATACTTTAGGCAATTGTAACACAATAGTAAGTATTTGTGTATCTAAACATAACTAAACATAGAGAAGGTACAATAAAAATATGATATCATAATTTTATGGGACCACCATCACACATGTGATTGGTCATTGATTGAAATGTTGTTATACGGGGCATGACTGTATTTCTAAAAGCCTAACAAAAACTTAATTGCAGCTTTAAGATAGGAAATATGATGTTCAGCATGGCAAATTTAAGTAACCAAAAATAAGAATTTCATTTTGAAAAATTTATCTATTCTATGATTTTTTTCTTCCTCCTCTGAACACACCTGCATAGAAATTTTACCAGGTCATTCTGTACTACTATATGCAGATAACTAGCAGAGCATACAAAGGTTGATAATTTTGTTTTAATAATCAATCAACCACAAATAAGCCTGTCTTCAAAGGCAAAGATTAGGCTTAGTAAATAGAAAGTATCCTGGTTCATTATTAGTGTGGGATTTCTTCCTTTGAAGCGGACATGAATTTTTGGGTGGAAGACTTTTTATTAAAACCCTGTCTTTAGTCATGAAGTCTGTGTCACAAAGTATAAAGTGGCTTTTTTTTTAGCTGAAGAAAATCCTGATAACAGTTGACATTTTGTGTTAATATAATTTTTTCTCTCAAATACCTCAAAGCATTGTGTAAGTATTTGCCAAAGGCTGTTTTTTGAAATAGTTTGTTATAAGGAGAAAGCACCCTGGTGTTTGAACAGTTCATTCATTTAGAAAATAGTATTGAATGAGCCCCACTGTGTGCTGGGCTCTGTTCTAGGTACTGGAGATACAGCAGTGAATAAACCATCCACCTCATGGAATTTATATTCTACTTGGAGGAAACTGAAAATATACAAATGAAAAATGAAATACACAATGGGTGAGGTGGCTCATGCCTATAATCCCAGCACTTTGGGCAGCCAAGATGGGAGGCCAGGAGTTTGAGACCAGCCTGGGCACCATAGCAAGATCCTTTCTCTACTAAATAAACAAATAAATTAATTAAATAAATAAAATAAAATTTAGCCAGGTGTGGTGGTACGTGCCTATAGCCATTGCTACTGGGGAGGCTGAGGCAAGACGATCGCTTGAGTCCAGGAGTTTGAGGAGCTATAATTACACCATCCCTCCAGTGGGTGACAGGGCAAGACCCTATCTCTTACAAAAAAAAAAAAAGAATGAAATAAATACACAATATTAGAGGTAAGTGCTATAGAGAAAAATAAATCAGGGAAGGAGTATATGAATGCTGGGGAAAACATCAGAACAAAGGCCAAAATCTGATGCCACCATGTGACCTCAAGCAAGGTAACCTCAGCATCAGTGTCCTCGTCCGTAAAATCTCAGATTCACTGAAATGGCCCAGGTTAAGGGAGATAGTGGAGGAGCCCCTCGCACCAGCTGGCAATGATCTAAACTAAATGGCCTGATACAGAAAACAGAGTACACAGCCCAGGATGACTCAAGACCTCCTTGTAGAGCTGCCTTGAGTGATTGTGCCCTCATGTCTACTAAGAGGACTGGAAAGGGACTAAAATCTTGCCTAGACTCCACTGGCCAAACCCTGTGTCTCGCAAGAAGCTATTTTTCCTCCAATGGTCCACACAGACAGTAACATCATTTAGAAGTTTATTCTTCCCGGTTGAGGACAGGACTTTTTTCTAATTAGCATGAAGCCACCATATGAGCCAGCGGCTGTCCCAGCCGTTTCCTTCTCACTTTCTACTTGATACTCAAACTCAGTGCCAAGGCTGTGGGATGGAAGCACCGTGACCACCCCTAAAGTCACTTCTTTCAGCAAATTCTACCAACCAACCATCCAATAAACCAACCAGCCTGCTCAAATGGTTGCTGAGGACTCCAGAATATATACTTCTTGCACTTTTCATATTGGTGGTAAAATGAAATGGTTAAACAGTAACACCCTGACTGGTGACGGTAAACATTTTATGGGGAAACGCAGGAAAGGTCGATATTTCTGTCCCTTTTTATGGCAGTTCCTCTTCCAGTCAAAAGGCAGATAGCTACTGTGTGGCAGGAGGTGGGGAGAATTTTCTGAGGTTAGGATTTTTTAAATAAAAGAGAGAAGCCACTGAGGGCTACTAAGCAACCAGCCATTGGCAGAGTCATTTAACACCACAAACCTCATTACGGTGACTCCAGAGGTGGTACTTAACCCTTTGCACTCGCTTGCTTTTTTCTCATTATCCACTCGACATTATCCACACTCAACATCTGAGTGCAAAGGGTTAAAACAGAGCTTTGGATAATGTTGCAGTTGAGAATTTTCTGCACACAAGAAATGCACCACAACAGCATAGACTGGGGTGAGACGAGAAGGGACAGGAGGCACCAGAAGAAGCTTGGCAGACTTATGTGCATTACAAGAAAGAAAAGAGAAGAATCTAGACTGCCAAACAGCCTGTCCTCTTAGCTGTGCCTGTCAAAAGTTTTTAACCTCAGAATCCCAGGGTATACCTTTGTAGTCTATTATAAACAATTACTGTATGTCTAAGTTAACTGCTTAGTAACCTGAGTAAAGTGAAATAGCACAAGTTTTAATTATTTTCCACACTTCTTTTTTGTTCTTGTCTTAAAGATTTCTGGACTGGATGAGTCTTATCTGCAGTTGGCAATCAAGATTCTGAGACTGAGAATGGCTAAAATCAAGGAAGCAGTCTCCTTTATGGAATATCACTTCTGTTTATTTCTTTCTGGCATTATGCAATATCCCTTTACCTCCAATGTTCCTGCTTATACCTTCCAGTTTCATTCTTGTTGGTCCATGAGAATTGGCTCTTAACCTCTATTCCATGCCAGCAGAATTATTAAGAAGCAAACCAAGGACAGTCCTTCACCTCGTGACAGAAGGAGACTCTAAGTATAAAAAACAGGTCATTCTTTCATTGCCAGTTAGACCAATTTCCTTTTTACAGGAAATTGTGTAACTCTGGAATTTTAGCAGTAAGTGTGGTCACGTAGGTCAGGTACAGAACTTTGATAATGAGTACACAGACTTGCCCTAGAGTTGAATGCAAATTACTGATCCTTCTCGTCTACGGGTTTATTCAGGACTATTTAGGAGATGATCTCTCAGATAGGTCTTTGGTCACACTGTCCCCGTTTGATTGCCCATTAGTGGGTCATGGCCTTGCTCTTCAGTTCCTGGCATGTAAAGTGGTCAGAGGCAAAGGAAGAGAGAAAGCCAAGATGCTAATCTACTAAAAGCCTGATGATGTCAAAGTCCATAGTACTATGAGAAAGGGGCTTTTTTTTTTTAATGGTGTAAGGATTTCATTTAAACCTTTATTCTTGTTCTCTCACTACCTTGAATGATATAAAAATCAAAGCATGTGATTTATCAACAGTAAAAAAGAACCACAAGAATAGAATTAGTTTTTTAAAAGATTAAAGCATAATTTATTCATTAATCCTGAGTACATAGAAATTTAATGAGTGACTTTCTTAAAATGCCCTCCTCCTTTGACATTCATGACCCATTTTCTCTGGCTTCTACACCATTTGGGGTTTATGTATGCTGCATAACTCTAACACTTTGATTTGTGCCTGGGTTTTAATTTATAAAAGGTGACTGGGTGACTATATGGAGAAGCCAGTGCTATTAAAAGTAGAACTTAATGCTGCTCACAGTTCCCCTAGAAATGACAAGCATGCCATGCCATGCAGGGCCACGTGGGAGAGCACCAGAGTAGCTCCAGGCTGAGCTTCCTAGTCTCTCTGCAGTTTGGAGGGATTTTGTGTGGGGTCTGGTTGTCATTTGGCAGATTCAGAACCCTCATTTTGTCAGTTTGGTTAAAGACGACTAGGTTTAGAGGGACTGATAGATTGTAAAGAGCTTGAAGAATAAATCAACATGATAATTTATTCACTTAAAAGTAAAGCAAGATGAGTATAATTTATATTATTGATCTTTTAAAAATTTAGAGGCACTCCCTCCTTGTTTATAAAATCATATTTGTTTAGAAAATCATATTACGGAACAGTTTTCTTGGTGAGTATGGAGTATAAGCAAAAGAGTAGATATTCTTAATGGCTATTCCTTCTCTTTTCTTCTTTAATTTTTTTACTAATGTTATTTCTAAATAACATTAGTAAAATTCTAAAATTTTTTTACTAATGTTTTAATACTGGGTGTTCACCATTAAACTAAGAGCACCTTCCCACAGTCATGTCTTCCCCCTGTAGAGGACGCATGCAGAGAACCACCTGATACGGCTTGCACGTGGGGCCCCTCCGAATCCCAAGTAGAAAGTGGATCCCAAGTGTTGGAGGTGAGGCCTGATGGGAGGTGTCTGGGTCACAGAAGGCAGATCCCTCATGAATGGCTTGGTGCCTTCCCCATGAAAGTGAGTCTAGTTCTCGCTTTATTAGTTCATGGAGAGCTGGTTATTTAAAAGAGCCTGAAGCCCGGCACCATCTCCTCCCTCTCTTGCAAATTCTCTTGCCATGTGACACACCTGCTCCCCCTTCGCCTTCCGCCTGGATTGGAAGCTCCCTCAAGCCCTCACCGGAAGCAGATGCCGGAGCCATGCTTCGTGTACAGCCTGCAGAACCGTGAGCCAAATAACCTCTTTTCTTTATAAATTCCCCAGTCTCGGGTATTTCCTTGATAGCAATGCAAAATGGACTAATACACTACCTTTCCGTTCAACTCCATTTACCAGATTGCGCTTCACACATCTGTTTAGTAAAAGTTTGGAACTGTGTTCTTTATAAATAAATGAGTTAATGAGTTAGACATTATTCTTGGTGAGATTTGGACAACACCTTGTGGTTTCTGAAAGAGCATTCTAGTTTTATCAACAACACCTTTAAAAGACTCAGACAGGGATGTTTTTATGGAGGAGTTAGTTGCAACCATGTTGTATAGGTTCTTATTAGTTTCAGTATCAAAGGATGAAATATTATTGGTAATTTTGTCCAATGTTACAATAATATTATTATATTAATTTTAAAGGTTCTCTGCTGAAGACACATACTGGAGTATTTTGGGGTATTTTGGGGTGAAATAATATGATATCAGGAATTTTCTTGACAATACTCTAGGTATTCATGTATTACACAGCTAAGAAGTTAGAAAGTAAAGAAAATGAAAAGTCTAACTTTGGTTCCAAGTCTCATGCTGAAGCTGTTTGTTTAATCAATCCCTGCTTTCAAATATCCTTATTGTCTACAGCAGAGGCTGTTGGTTAGCCAACCCACAGGACATTTTTAACCCCTTCTTCCTTGTTACTTCCACTATAGAGGATAGAAAAGTTTGATTTTTTTTCCCAGTCTCCCTTACAGTTAGGAGTAGCTAGATAATATGGTTTTGACAAATGAGAAATAGGCAGAAATTGGGGGAGGATTCCTCAGAAGACTTTACTTCTGAGGAAGTAAAAGAGGAAGATGTGATTGGTGCTACCTCTTTTTCTATCTTCTATGCCTTCAATATTGATGTAATATTTGGAGCTACAGCAACCATCTTGTGACCATGAGGCAACAGTCATGAGGAAATGGCCAAGGGAATCAGAGATACTGGTCCTCATATCATCAAGTTGCTAAATCAACCCTAACAGCTACCTTCCTCCAAACTTTTTCATGTTATGTGAGACAAACAGCATTGACAATTCTCTCTTAGCTGGGTTTTCTGTTACTTAGAACACATTGTAACTGTTAGTATTGCCAGAAACAAGGTCAGAGCTTGAGTTTCTATTTTTGGTTCTGGAAAACTGGCAATTCTGTCACCTGCAGTCTGCCAATCCTAAAACACAGTATAATTATGGATTTACATTTCAAAGATGAATTTAAATGTTTACCCATGCTATCAGAAATCTGTTTTTTAAATGTTTACAAATGTTGTAGCTTAGGGTAAAGTCTTGGATTGTGTACTTTTGATTTTTTTTTTCTAATTGGGCAAGACTTCAATTTGCTCTTGCTCTCTTTGTCCCTCTTGCCTGACCCCACGGCCACTTATTAAAAGCCTTGTTATACCACTACGGGGACAGTACAGACATCACTAGGAAGCAGCTGACACACAAAACTTACTAGGAAAACCTTTATTTCAAATTAGTTTTTCTGGTACACTGCTGTAGAAGTCTTTAGCTGGTCCTTCCGGATTCCTTCATTCCTGGCATTCTCTTTCTTTGGTAGCTTTGTCTCTGCTTGTGGGTTTGTCAGTATTCATATAAGGGAGATATTTATTCTGTAGAAAAGAAAGTTTCAAAAGTTAATTTGATATTATATAATAGCATGCAGTTATACGTTCGAATATGAAAATAAAATGATTACATACATTTAAGAAATAGATACAAAATTAATTTATCTTAAGGACAACCTTAAAATGACTACCATCACTTTTGACACAAAAAGTTTACATATTAACAGCAACATCACTTTCATCCTTTTATGGGGACAACAGATGACCTGTTTAGGTTTATATTATCTGAAAAGCTGGATCTAGTTTCCCAAAGAAACAATGTTATAAGTGGGGAATCGATTTCCTAGAAAGTGCACCAAAATATTTTTACTAGGAATGTGCATGAACAATGATAGAAATAAGAGCAATGATTATTATAACTGTATTAATAATCATATTATTATTGCTACTAATAGGATATTATGGGTAAAAATCATATTTGGGGCTAATCAGTTTGTGATTTTGTGAGGAACGCAGTTCTTATCTCCAGAGAAGACTCTGAAGAACTGTTCACACTGACTCTTCCTCTCCTATTTTAGTCGCTTCATTCCATCAGCCCTGCAAGGAGTCTCACAGAGAAAATATCTACATAACTCGAGAACTGCATAGCATATTTTAAACAGTGTAGAATACATATGTTTAATAGTTTCCCTAATTTTATAAGAAATTTAAACTTGACAGAAACCTTGGAAGAATCAGAAAACCATAAAAATAAAATAAATCTCACTCATAATTTCACTGCCTAGAGAAAGTCACCATTAATATTTCAGTAAATTTCTATTCAGTCTATATATATATTTCAGATACTATAATATTTTGTAGGCTGCTTTTTTAAAATCACTCAATATGGTATTATAAAGCATTTTCCCATTAAAAATTTTAAGGTATGATTGTTAAAGTTGGATAATACATTAAATGATAAATGCAGCAAAATGTATAGTAAATCATTTGCTTGTTTTCAATTTTCCATTAGCATAAAATAATGTGGTGATAATCTTTTCCTGCATTGTTGGTAATTTTCTAAGGTCAGCTGCCAGGTGGAGTTACTGAGTCAAAAATATTAGGATCAGCCAGGCATGGTGGCTCACGCCTGTAATCCTAGCTCTCTGGGAGGCCGAGGCGGGCGGATTGGTTGAGCTCAGGAGTTCAAAACCAGCCTGAGCAACAGCGAGACCCGGTCTCTACTATAGAAAGAAATTAATTGGCCAACTAATATATATACAAAATATTAGCCAGGCATGGTGGCGCATGCCTGTAGTCCCAGCTACTCGGGAGGCTGAGGCAGTAGGATTGCTTGAGCCCAGGAGTTTGAGGTTGCTGTGAGCTAGGCTGACGCCATGGAACTCACTCTAGCCTAGACAACAAAGCCAGACTCTGTCTCAAAAAAAGAAAAAAAATTAGGATCATTATTTAAATTCTTTCAAGATCTGTGGAACCAGTTTATACTCCTGTCAAAGGACATGCAATGCATCCAATCTCACCACACTATTGATACTATCATTAATAAAAGAAATATTTGCCAAAATATACTCAAAAGATATCTTATTGTTGTTTATGTGTGGGTTTGTTTTTGTTTTTGTTTTTTTTGAGACAGTCTCACTCTGTTGCCCAGGCTAGAGTGAGTGCTGTGGCGTCAGCCTAGCTTGCAGCAACCTCAAACTCCTGGGCTCAAGCGATCCTCCTGACTCAGCAACGTGCGGTTTTTAAGTGACTTGATAATTAGCAAGGTTGGACATTTTTATAGGTTCAAACGAGATTTGTATTTCTTCTATGAATTGTTTATTTAAACCTCTTATGCATATATGCATTTAAATCTAGAGTAACTCCTATCAGATCATAAACAGTTACCTAATTTGTATAAAGAAAATAAAACTAGAGTATGTTGGTCATCTCAAAGCAATAATCTTTGAATGAATGAGTGTTGCGTCACACTATGTAAATGTACAATAGATCAAATATCTTTATATACATGCTGCATTTATTTAAATATGATCGTTTCTAATTAATTTGACTAATAGCTCTTACTTACTTTTTCTTTCAAGTACAGTGTAAGTGCTTTCCATTCCAGCATCAATGTGCTCACCAACATGGCAATGAAATAACCAGGTTCCAACATCTCTGGGATACATTTTTACAGTTCGATAGATCCCAGGAGGAAGGTCATAAACATCAGATCGATACAGTCCCTGATCCTTAACAAGGAGACAAAATACCATGAAATGGCTTATAAAAAATATCAGTCATTCACACATCTTACCATATGCTATAACTCCCCAATTCTAATATACTTTGTTAGGTGACAGAAAGCATTAGGTGCCATTGCACAGATGCAATCACTGGGGTGATTTTTTTCTCTCCTCTGAGTATAATTCAGGGTTTGGAGGAGAAATAAGTCCTAGAACATTCCAGTGTTAGGATGCAAAGAAAATGTTTCACTCTGCAAGGGAACCTGCAGTCCGTATTGGTGTTAGATATCTTGCCAGCATCTCATACAGCAGAATACTCTAGATTTCAGAGGACCTCCAGTCTCACAAATTCCAAAGGTTTTAACAGAAATATTTCTAACTAGGGATGTTGTTGATGTGAAGGATGATCATTTCTTGAGATGCAGCCCACCAGGAAAACTCAGGTTTACAGGAAAGAGAGGAGGAGAGGGAGAGGAAGGGGAGGAGAGCTCCCCTGGCACCTGCAGTCAAGTCTATCTTCTGGGGCTTGAGGCTGAAGGCTGAAGGCATTTAATAACTAATTTCCCTCTAAGCAGAGAACCCAATGTTTAGGAAACTACCTCTGTAGGCTACTTTGAGTTTGAGAGATGAAGTCTCAGGCCCTGGTCCACATGGATTAGGAGGAGAGTAAGAGGGAGATGAATTGCTTAACAAAATAAAATGGGAGGTATTTGAAGGGTGGAGGTGGGGATGGGTTGGGGACTAAAGCTCAAGAGCTCAGAATAATATGAGGAGAGAAGAGATGTCCAAAGAGTCTGGAAAGGCAGAATATGGAGAAATGAGTCCTGACAGTGAGAGTAAAAAGTAGAGGCCAGAGGGTCTCTCTCGGTGATGCAAAGTGAAAGGGTAATTGGGGACCCGGCATTAATGCTAAATGGTAAGTGCTTTCATTATGTAGTATTGAAAACAATCTTATTTTCCTCTGAACTTTCACTAAAAGTCTGTGACTCAGAATGGCCTTGATTTTGTGGTTGCTCAAAAATATCAAAGGAAATGGGGTGTGTTCTGTTTTTGGAATTGCACAGAGAGATGGAAAAATACTAGCCACAGGAGGTGAGAGACAGGGAGATGACCAGAAGCAGGAAATTAGAGTTGGGGTGACTAGAAGAATTTTAGGTTCTCAAGAGGCCCTGAAGATATTGGAAGGCAGCAGGAAGAAGGGCTGAGCTGTTTCCTATGGGATGCAGAGTAGGAGCTCAAGCCATTGTTATTTAGGAAGGTTAGTTTTGCATCTGAAGTGAAATAATACAGGAGACACAGGATACATTCCTTGAATGTCAGACAATGTAGAAAACAATATGAAAAATTGTAGCTACACATTGACAATATCCAAAGCACCAGTAACTTTGCAAAATACACCTGGAGCCCTGGCACCCCAGGAGACCATAGCTTTAGGGAACAAGCTGTGACTGACTGGCTTGTCCCGGGACCAGGTCAGTAACCACAAAGGGCTGCTCTGCCACCCCCAGGAGTTGCAGGAGTGCAGCCCAATGGCTGCATCCAGGCTGGAGTGATTAATTTCTGCTTCAATGTGGGGAGACTAGATGAGATCACCTGCGAGGCGTTTAGAGTGAGTGGCTAGAGTTGAGAGCCGGTAAACAAGGCCCTGTGGTGCAAATAGGGTCATACTAAAGGGAGGCTGTTTCATGAAGCAGTAAAGAGTTTGGACCCTAGAGTCAGAGCCAAGATTTAAATCCAACTTCCACCATGTCCTGCTTGTAGAAAAGTTCTTTATCTTATTAATTCTTTATTTCATTCCCCTACAGTCACCCCTGAAAGATGAGTCTTTGATCTCGTTTCAGCTCCACCCAACCCTTAGCATGGTTCTAGGCATATTAGAGGTATTTGCTAAACTAAACGATTATATTTGACAATGTCAAATAGATTGTAAAACACTGTAACTAAATTTTAAATATCTCTTTTGCCCCAATTTTAAAGTCTTTAACATAACTAGTTATGAACTTAATAATAATCCTAATATGTAGGCTTTTCCCTAAAAAATATGGAGAGCATAGATGGAAGTATACTGGGGTTATGGTGGTTGTAGCTGGATCATGGGTAGTGGGAGTTTGTTATATTAATTTGTCTACTTTATTATATAAGATCCTCTGTAATAAAAAGAGTTTTTTTATGCCAGAAAATAAAGCTTAAGAAGAACAAATTTGTTCATTAGAGGATGGGGGGGAGGGAAGCAGCATACAAATAAAGCTTTGTGCAAACCAAGTCATGCAAGCTAATTTAATTTAATTCTACACTGTGCATTAAAGAAGCTATGAACATAATACATCTGCAATTCAAGAAAGCCTAATGTCAATGAAACTTTAGTCAATGCGAAGAAGGACTGTACTAATGCCAAGAGGTTGGGTTAAATGTCTGAGGTGTAAAATGCAAAGAATATAACTGGTCTGAAATCAGACACTAATATTTATGCAAGGGATTAGGATGAAGAAATAACGAAAATGCTCTTTAATTTAATAAGCGTTACTAACTTGGGAATTGAAAGTAGAAGAATAAAATTTTAAATACCTAAATCACAGAAATGATGAGTCAAAAATGGTCATGAAAAACAAACGTAAAGAAGTATAACTGGTGGGGTGAGAGGAAACAATTCAGACGGAAGATATAGAGACTGACTAAAAATACACACGCCCTGTGTGTCTCTTCCTTCTGGTGCTCACTGGTATCCTTTGTAAAATCCTTCATAATAAACCGGTAAACATAAGCGTTTCCCTGAGTTTTCTGCCACTCTAGCAAATTAATTGAACCCAAGGAGGGGGTCATGGGAACCCCAATTTACAGCTGGCTGGTCAGAAGCACAGGTAAAACAACCTGGAGCTTATGATTGGCATTGCAAGTAGGGGACACTCTTGTGGGACTGAGCCCTCAGCCTGTGGGATCTGATGCTATATCCAGGTAGATAGTGTCGAAATTGAATTGGAGGACACCCAGCTAGCGTCTTCTACAGAACCAATTAATGAATTGCTAATGGGGAGAAATCCCCACACACTTCTTGGTGACCAGGGGTCAAAGAAGTCTTCTGTGTTGATGGCTGGGACTGAGAGAATGGGAAAAGCACTCCGGTTTGGTTTTTTATTCCTATATTCTCAGAATCACCTTCATCAAGTTATCAAACTTAGCCTCACCAATATTAGGGCTTATTGCCATCATGTGCCTTTTGATGTGATGCATTGGAAGTACACATCACCTATGCGGTGATCTTGCCAAATTTGTTTAGCATGGATCCAATCATGAGAAAACTACCAGACCAATACAGACTATGGAACATTCTATAAAACAACTGGCTTATATTCTTCAAAAATGACATGTAATAAGAGAGTAATTAAAAAAAAAAAAGGCAGGGGGTCTCTTCAGATTTTAGGAAAGCTATGACAATGGCAACCAAACCCTATGTATGAATCTTAACTAGATCCTGCATTTTAAAAAGTTATAAAGAGCATTTTGGGAATAACTTGTGATATTTGAATGGATTATATATTAGATGATATTATTGAATTAATATTAAATTTGGGGATGTGATAATGTTAGTGTGGTTTGGGCAGAGATTGTCCTTATTCTCAGGATGCTTCACCATTTAGGGGCGAAAAGTCATGATGTTTGCAATTTACTTTTAATTGGGTTCATAAAAAAATATAGGAGAGAAAGCAAACATGGCAAAATACTTATGAACATTCAGGGAATTTTTCTTTATGTTACTAAACTGTTTGAAATTTTTTAAAAAGTTGAGACAGAAGGGTGGAACTAGAGATGATTACAAAAGCCTCATTTACCTATTGAGTAACAACAGATTAGAGCAATAAATACACCTCATTCTTCCACTTGCATTTGCCAACGATATAAGGAGCTAAATGTACAGTTATTTACTTGCACCTGGTAGTTTATAGATTGCATGTATTGAACTTCTGGCTTGGTAATTTCCTTTCCAGTCCTGTTATCTTTCCATCCTGCTCCAATAACTGGTTTACAAGGTACCACCGTAACTAAATGGAACTGCCAAAGGCTCTTACCGTGAATTGAAAGCTGTGGCCGTGAAAGTGAACTGTGTGCAGGTCAAATTCGCCCCCCATGCCAATCAGATACCAATTCACTTCATCCCCAACATGCACTGTCAGGCCTTGGTTATTTCCAAATAGTCTTCCGTTAATTGCTATGAAGTGAAGGGAGAGGTACGGTTTATTATATTCAACAAAGATTGAGAATAATGTGTGTATGTGTTAACAATTTATAGACAGTATCACAGATGTTTTCAGAGGCTCTATGTTGAAGCCAGCCTGAGGAAGCTGTTAAACATGACCAAGCCATGTAGTCATGAATGTATCTAATTCTAGAGAGTTCTTCTTACCTGAGGATGAGGCACTGATTTAGCATTAACATAATTGGGTTGGACTTGACTATTTCACAACTAAGCATACTTAAATTGATAGATACTTAAATATATCTATATATTTAAAGTATTATATATTTAAAATTATCACAAGAGTCTTAGAATATTAGGAGCATGTGTTCCCATTTAGTTGCCCTAAGTCAGACCTTTGTGACCTATCACTTGTACATCTAGCATGGCCATTTGCCTGAGGTCCAGACCGCCTCTAATCCTATACAAATGTGGTCTCCAAAGGGTAATAGGAATAAAATATTAAGATTTAAATCATATACATACACACACATACACCTCCTCTTTATACTTTTCTATTTTGTGTGCATCTTTAAAAACATGTAAAATGCATCGATGCAGTGGTGCAGGTATATAATATACAACTATGTATCTATGGCAGTTGGACTCTGATACTTTTAGCTGATGAAGGGATATAATAGAAAAAACTAAGAGACACTGCTCTAGACTATTGCTTATCAAATGTGCATATGTCCTGGAGATCTTGTTAAAATTCTGATTCTGATTCAGTAGCTCTGTGGAACCTGAAATTCTGCATTTCTAAAAAGCCCCCAAGTGCTGTTGACACTGCCAATCCATGAACCACACCTGGAATACAAGTGCATAGGCCAATGTTGTTCCTAAAATGCACATTTATCCCCATGATGCCCTAGCTCAGTGCACTTGGTGCACTTTTAGCACAGTGGTTCTCCACAGGAAGTGATTTTGTCCCTCAGGAGACAGTTGGCAATGCCTAAAGATATTTTTGGTTGTCATAACTTGTGGGGAGGTGCTACTGGCAACTAGTAGGTAGAAGGCATGGATGTGGCTAAACATCTGCAATACACAGACAGCTCACTAACAAAGTGTTAACCGACCCAAAGTGGCAGGAGTTTGAGAGAGCTGGTTTAGATCAAGTCTGAGTTCCTAAAACAGGGTGAGAGGGCTTCCACAGTTCTGTTGGCTCTTTCTTCCAAGTGCCCAGGTGCTGTGTGATTTAGCTCATATTCTTCCATCTACCTGGAATGTCATTGCTCTCCTTTTCTGCTGATCAGACTTCTACGCATCTTGAAATACTCAACTCAAATGTCTCCTCCCCATCAGGAAACCTTCCAAATAAGCATTGAAAACTCATCCCTGTGTTTAAATTTCTGTTATAGCATCCCCCCAGTCTTTGAATTGAATTAATAGCAATGCACAGGTCTGCTGCCCTGTTGGCTATGAACAGCTTGGAAGATGCCCCATCTTATGGCCCTTTGTATCTCTTTAGGGCCTAGTGAGGTGTTTCTGCCTCTATGATGCTTATTAAAAAACTATGGGTAGAATGGATATAGCCCTTGAATTAATTTTAAATTTACATATATTTTTACAACAGAAACAACAAACCTAAGAAGTTGAAAATTGTCATATTTGGATTTGCCTTAGTTAAGGATCCCTTATCTAGTTGTTTGTATCCCTGAGCTTCCTCAGCTGAGAGGATTGGGACCAGAAATTTGACTAGTCATGAAGGTGATTAAGTGAGATTGTTTATGTGCTTTTTCTGTGAATAATTATCTTATGACTGTGATGTGCCTAGTCACAATCAACCTATAAAAGGATTCTGGATGATGAGCATGGAGTTTCAGAAGTTTTGCTGTGCAGGTAACGTGATGGGGAAGGTGGGCAGGGCCATGTTCTCTCTGGTCTGCCTCAAGCCCCACCACCGCTCGCTCTGTTCATTCAGGTAAATCCTTAGAAAAGTGTGCAGCAAGGCCCTCCAGAAATGAGAGCTGATGTTCCTGGTTTTACATTGTCCACACAGCTCTAGAAAGCATGAAAATTTGCTATACTGCTTAGTCAGTGGTCTATGGCCTGTGGGCAAGATCAAGCCCACTGCCTATTTTCCTATGGCCCATGAGCTAAAAATTGTTTTAAAATTTTTAAATAATTGGGGAAAAAAATTTTAAAGAATACTGTTTCTTGACATGTGAAAATTTTGTGAAATATAAATTTCAGTGTCCATAAATAAAGTTGTATTGGCTCTCAGCCCCTTCCATGTGATTTGCTATTATCTGTGACTGCTTTTGCTTTACCATGGCAGAGGGGCGTATGGCTTATGACAGAGATCACACAGGCCTGAAAGCTTAAATTCTTTACAATCTGGCCCTTTATTAAAAAAATTTACCAACCCCTAATCTAGATGATCTATACCACACTCTACGTGATCATGGTATAAACCATGCTGAGCTTGGCAAATGTGAACCTTGATTTGTTCTGTTTGTGTGGAACAACTTGCGGGCTACATTTTGCAAGTCGGTTACTGGACATTACCGTGCATTTGGTTGCTGAAGACAAAATCATCATCTTCCCTATTTACATTATTTGGCTCCAAAGAATAGGTATTGATGTTTTCTTCTAAGTACCATGATCTGTTCTCATCAAAAATCATGAAGTGGAGAACACGGTGTACTAGGTTGGATTTAGTGTTTTTGCGACATACGATCAAAGGGCCTACTAGTCCACTGTTAAGATCCTGAAGAGGCAAAGCAAGATTATTAGCTGTGTACACAACCCAAATATTCCCCCAAACAATAAAAGGAGTAGAACCAAGTTTTGGTTTAAGTGAGGTCAGATCCCAAGTTTATAATTATTAATATTTTAAGTCTGAGAGTGAGGAACAAAATGTTTGACATGCTCAATCCTTGATTGAAGAAAGATTGTAACCTCACTCATTAGAGCTGAAATCTAAAGAGAACAACAAACTTCACAAAGGGGTTCTGGGTACATTCTTCAGTGGATTTGGCTCTATTTTTGAAATTTTAATTAAAAAACAAAGCTTTAGTTTTAATTAGAATTCCCTGGCATTGGAGTTGGCTGTCAGGGAAGTCGAAAGGGCTCAGTCCCTTTACCACTGAGCCTTTGCCCCTGCAGCAGCTTTTAGTTGAGAGTCTGGGTTTGCTTATCTTCCTTTTGGTTTTGGGTTAAATCTCTGTTTAAATTCTTATTCCAAGCAGGGTGGGTCAAGATAAATAAGAGTTCAAAAAGAGCAGTTGTTCTGGTTTTCTTTTTTTTTTTTAATGCAAATAAACTTGAATTCCAGAGTTGAGAGTTTTAAATATACATATCTATAATTCCACATAATATGTATATATTTATTTCCCATTATATATAGAATTTTTAAACTCTCTGCAGTACTTTGTTTTCTGCAGTCCAAATCCCATTCAATGGAATAAGGTATAGTAGTATATTATTTGTATAGTTAGGTATATTTTTCAATTTACAGTGAGATTTTATAGTGTCATAAATCCAAGTAATCATAATGCAATAATTCATTTTGCTCTTGAAAAAATGCAAGCCTATGTAGGAATAAAAGCTGAGCAGTATTTAGTTTACTTAGTAGAAAGTTTACATAGAACTAAGATTTTTTTTAAAACAATGGTAAACACCTTCTTCTTTTCATTACAATTTCTAGGAGAAGATAGGATAAAAACTTTGATTTGATTTACCTTAACCACGGACACAGTCGAATAGTAAAACCAAGGTATGCACTCAAAGTTTTCTGAGGTAGGACCCGTTCTTTCAGGGATCTCCCAGATATAGGTTCGAATCTCTCCTAAAATAGGCAAATTAAGTGTGTTTAAATAGAGCCTTTTAAATCAAACTTCTTTATGGAGAACCAGATAACAAGTGAAAAACTATAAAAATATTAGGCATCATAGTCCTAGCTTTCACTTCTAGTTTCACTTTTCCATTGTTATCTTAGTCAATGTGGTAATTACTCAGTGTCACACAGCCTTGAATCCTAGCTCTGAACCTTCCAATTTGTGGCTCAGATGTATCTCCTCCCTGCCCCCAGGGCTGTTTGCATTAGTCCTATTGAACTTAATTGTATATTCTCCAGTAAAGTTCTTTTGTTCCCCTCCCCCCCCATAATCCTAGATTTCCCAAGGCCTGGGTTAATTTTCTCAGGCTCCTGTGACATAGTCTTTCTCTTCCACTAACCAACCCCAGCTTTCCTGCTTCCAAATCCTCGGTACTAAGCCTCAGTTAGTATTAGGGTACTAACCCTAATACTTGGTACTAACCCTCACCTTTCAACACACCACACAGTGCCTGGCATATAGCAGACATTGTACTCAGAAGTGTTTGTGGAATGCATGTAATATGATTCTTTCCTGAAAAATCAGAACAGAGGGCTGACTTTGCAAACTCCCTTGAGAGGAGATTCAGATTGATACCATTATAGGACTGTTTTCAAAAACAAAGGGGAATATTTCACCCACCACCAAAGTCTATCTCCAGTCCTTCTGTTTCACAAATCTTTCTTTTCTGAATTTGGCTCTCACTGATACTCTTAATTTCCAAAACTACTTGTTTTGGGGGGCAACTATGTGGACTTTCTGATGTCCTTCTTGGGTACCTCTTCAAGAATAGAGGACTTGTTGTGCCAGCAGGAGTCAGCGTCCTCAGAGAGAGCATTGGCTAAAGAGAGCTACCTCGCTCAAACCTGGGTCTAATGACTGGTGTGGGGACAAAAGGCCCAGCTCACTTGGCCCAGCTCCCTCCGCCCAGCTTGCTCACCCCGGCTCAGGACAGCCGAGGCTCACCCTATCTTCAGGACTTCTCAAAGGGTTGGCTGTGACTTGTGTTGAGGCAGCATCTCCACTCAACCTTGCCACCTGCCCAATCCTACTTCTTTTTCTTTGCATAATCATTGATACCCAGCAGTACAGCCTGCACATAAATCTTCATGTCAGAGTCTGCTTACTGGGTGTTTTTATTAAGAAGTATTCATTTTCTTCTGAGTCGAGTATGCTGAATGGCATGCTGTAGACTGGTGATGCTATAGAAATGTTATTATATGGGGTTCATCACTTCCTCTTACTTACTCCCTCCTTGAGTATCTCGTACTCAACTCCCACGGCAGTATTTGAGTTGAGGAGGAGATTGGACACAGTACAGAGGTAGCAGGGAGGATGACCCTAGAGGAGAACCTGTATACACTAGGGACATGGGCCCTGAAGACCAAACGCTCACTTCACAGTTTTGCCCATGGTGCCCCAACTTGCAAAAGGAACTCCCTCCCAAACGATTTCTCCAAGCCCTAGTCATGAGTCCACTGGTCTTCTTCATCTGGAACTGCACCTATAATTTAAAAAGAACAAAAGCCCCATAGACTTGCAAAAAAGCTTTGGAGATTCTTTTTTTTTCCTCTCAAAGTAGTTACCTGGCCTAGTGGGAACAACAGTGGAATTGTTCGTTTTCACTCCATGAGCATGAATAGAATATAGTCTTGAGGCTTTATTTTTAAAGATAATTCGAAGTTTTTGACCAGGGTTGACAAATATTAATGGACCTAGGGAGTATAAAAAGGAAAACACATGCATAATTGTTATTTATTTTAAACTATGAGTCTTCTGACCTCTTACGTATTTATACAATGACTTATTCTTATCCTTTTACTTATTAATAACATGCAACCAAATAAAACAAAAACATTTAACAAGTAGATCATTGCTGATTTATGAAACATGATTTTTGCCTAAAAAACTTAAATCATCTAGAATTTTTATAAGTTCCTTCTCTAGAAAACTTGCTTTAATGAGCATCAGTTAATGCTTAGGAAACTATACAATTTTAAAATGGAATCCTTTGTTTTCTTTTTTGAGCAACCTCGTCTTTTAAGCATTTTATTCTCTTGCCCCTTTGCCATAGTGGAGGATTGTAAGAAGCTGCAAGGTCTTTTATTGACCCAGGGTGATTTTTCTCTCTCACAGGCTGAAGACCCCTTCATTTTATTCTCTCTCTCTTCTATCCCAGGCCAAACACTGCAAATATAAAATTTATTTTAAATCTTCCTTCTGTTTGGAAGCAAATTAACACATTGTCTGCCATGTGAGTTATATTTAACTCAAGCTAGTTTTGAGCCCGGGGCCTCATGAAGCAAAACCCTGCGGTTGGTTTGTGAAAATCTTACTTGTTGATGTTCTTATTGTTACAATTAATATTGATGATTTAATTCTAAAAACGCAGATGGCATTGTATATAACTCATGATGCACAGAAAACAATAATAAATTAGAAGGAATTGTTTTGTTTTAATAAAACACTGTGGCCCCTGGGAAAAAAAATTTTTTTTCTAGTGTGGCAGTGTGTTAAATTGGTGGCCCTAAAAGTTCTGAAATAAGTTGAAATAAGCCATGAGAACTCTCCTCAGACTTGTGCTATAATTACTAAAATCAGAGCCCTGAAAATGTCCAGTGGATGCTAGATGCCAGTTAAAGACAGGCTTCTTTACCTCCCATGACAATTCCACCTTCCCAAACAATATACTTGTTTTTCCTTTTCCCTAAAGTCTTTTCCCTAAACTCCTTTTCGTTTTTGCATAAATAATAATAGACTCTAGAGGGTCATGTTGAGTGATTTATCTTAGTGCATTCAGGGACCCACTCAAAAGCAGCAGGAACTGCACAGCACAGACTTCCCTCCAGGGCTCACACAGAGACAAGCTCTGGAGGCTGATGAGGAGCCAGGAAGAGTGAAAGTTCCTCCTCTTACAGGTAAATCCGTCTTCTCAGCGTCCTACACTGGAAAATGACCTCTAATATACACATAGACATCAGTACTCAGATAGGAGTTGGGCATGTGAAAATGTCACATGTGTGTACCTGAGTGTGATTCAGGTTTCCTAGCTGATCTGTCTATCAGGGGTGAAAGAAAGGGTTGTACTTTCCCTCACTTGTGGGTGGAAGATGAGAGAAGACACTTAAATTTAAACAAAGTTCCTCACCTAGTCTTGTTCCCTGGCCTTTGTTTTAGTTTTGTTGAAATTATCCTTAAATGCTACTTCTGAAGTTCGTTCTGGATCTAGAATTCTTGAATTCTGAAGGCCAGAAGCCAGATCATCTGAAACCGAGCACATTAATTTTCTATAGTCTCTATTTTGGGGAAATAATACCTGAACCAATTTTTTTCCCCAGTAAAAATGCCTATCAGGAAACGAATTAGAATTATAGGCACTTTCCTCTGTCAGGGTGGAGGTGATAATGTCCTTCATATATACAACAACATGTACTAGCTGAGGACAAGAAGAAAAACCGAAAAACTAATCTTATGGTATATCAATACCTAGTATATCCAGATGTTTTTCGTCTTCATTTCTTTTTGTCTTTTTTGTGAATGTATTATCATCATATTGACGGTATACAACTTTTTTGTATTTGGACCCAAGATGTGTTCCATTTCTATCTACATATACGTTTGTTTTGCTTTATAAAAATAAAAACAAAGAAAGACAAAAACCCACAAAGTTAGTTAATTTAATCATTAAATTAGACAAAGAACTCATATGGAAGAACTTCTTACACCTAGAAGCTATTTTACCCAGGAAAGTAGGTCTTCTTTTTTAAAAAAAATATATTAATTCTAGCAAGATAGTTGGATATTCATTCTGTATTTTAAGACATATTTCAGGGTAAAATTTTAGTTTGATAAATGAGTAAACAATAAGAAAGAAAACCAGAGAAATAAATAGAATTTTATGAAAAGAGAAAAATCAATGTCTTCAACTTGAAGTTCCCAGAAAAATAGAGATAGAAACAAACGAAGAAGAAAAAAATCTGACTGATTCCAAATGTTGAATGTAGCTGAAGTTGTGGTGCCATTCCTGTGGTGAAATCATATGGTAACACATTCATAGGAAGGAAGAATACAAGAAAGGAGAAGAAGAGGAAGAAATAAAGTCTGGACCTAAGTTATGTAGATATTTAGAAAGATTTAAAGCCCTTTTCAATTGAATATGCACACACACAAATTTTGAAGTGATTTATAATTGAAAGTATCCTAAACACACACATACCACACTCACATCCCTCCCATCCACACACATACACACACTCCATACCAAACAGAAATAAATACATACCACACACACCACACATATATTGAACACACGAAGTTTCGACGTAATTTATCATTGGATGTATTCTATTCTCTCCACACCCCGAAAGACAGAGAGGAAAGGGAGGAAGACTGGAACGAACACTTTCCACTTAGAAATTAGGCTATCACCATACTTCTCTCTTTGTAACCAGCGCAGTTCTTTCTCCCACTTTCTGCTAGGAGAATAATCCCATACGATTTCCTCAGCTGCAATGTAAATAGTTTTCTCCTTGTATGGAGTTTGATCAGGTTTTGGCTTTGAACACTGATTCACTTGGTATGTATGTTTCATGCCTCCTAGATAGTGCTCTGACGTCATACAATACACATCAAAAATTCCTACGGGTGAATAAGAGAGGAATGCTTAAAGCTTGGCATGCAGATGTCTTTCCTCTGTAAAGTCATTCATCGGATACCACCCCCAAAAGAAATATAGTAAGATCTTTCATTCATTTTTTCATTAATTCAACAAATATTTATTGAGTACCTTTTTTGTGCCAGACATATTTCTAGGCACTTGGGAAACATTGTAGGACAAAACAATGAAAACTTCTTTCTCTCAGAGTTTATATCACACGGTGTTGTGGGGCTAGGCAGTAAACATATTAAGTAACTTTCATGTATGTTGAAAAGTGGTAAGAGCTACAGGTTAAAGAACAAATAGAGCAGTAGAAAGGAGGATCAAGAATTCTGAATGTGTGTTGAGAGGGGCTCGAGGGAGCAAATAGCAATATTTTATAGGGTGATCAGGGTAGGCCTTGATGGGAGGGTGACATTTGGGAGAGACTTATAAGGAGTGAGGTGGATATGGAGGAAAAGCAATCCAGGCAGAGGAAACAGGAGCCAAAGGCCCCAAACCAGGTGCCTGTTTGGGGGGTTTGTCGGAAGCCCAGCTTTTGTCGGAAAAGTAAAATTTAAAATTTTGAAATGTAGAAAATGTAGTCAAATGAATCTTTGGCCTCACAAGGAGTCAAGATACCAGTTCATGGTATTTATAGAGTAGCTGGTTTATTGCACAGACAGTTTTTCATTGGTGTCAGTAGTTTTGGACCAAGACAGATGAATTTTGGGGGTGGAGGGGGATGAGGGGTAGATTCGCAGGATAAAGAAGGAGATAACATTTATGGAATATCTAATATATGCCAGGCACTATACTACATTTATCTCATTTGATTGTTGTCTATTCGGCTTTGTGTATTATAAGTTATCACAATCCCTATTTTACAAATAAGGAAGCTAGGTTCAGAGGGAAAGCTGGTTCTCTCTGATCCCCACACAATTCTCCGATGTGGGGTGACTTCTTTCAAAAATGTTGCCAGCAAGGATCAACCTCATTGAAGCTAAAACATTCACCTAGAGAGCAAAACTAGTGAGGAGAAGGATGAGAGAGGAAGGCAGAAGAGAGTAGGGTAAGGTCGAAGCAGGAGGAAGGCCTGGGAAACAAATGGACAGAAGAGTAAGAAATGCAGAAGGTCATAGAATGAAAACAAGCTAAATGGTTTCAAAACCTCTTAATCCCTTTTGAAGAGCATGGGATGATTTAAAGCCTGGAGGCCTGGGAAGAGGACCAGGAGAGGCTGAGGGGATTTGTGTGTACAGGAAAATGAGTTACTGAGGCTCCCATAAATTAAATGGAAGAGGACAAAGCTTCCCAAGCATCATTTGTATGAATTCCATTTTGTGTGTGTGTGCAGAATATTCAATGCATATAAAGACAGTGGTTCTGCGTATTTTGGTGTTTCAGGCTGAATGAGAACATCCACTACTCACCTATGGAATCAGGTGTCATAAAAAGCGTCTCAGAGGTGTGGGGAAACACAGTTATAGTGTCCTTCCTTGCTCCTAAGGAAGTGAAGGTATTTCCTGAAAAATATATCCCGTGTATATCTCTCCCTGATCCCACACTAAAAATGTGCCATGAAACTTTGTCTCCCACACACATTTTCGGTCTGGGCAGATTTCCGTACATGTATCCATTTATGGCTGCAAGACATTTGTGATAAAGAAAAGAGTGTTTAATTTACTGGTACTTGATACCCTTTGAAATTCAACAAACCACTAATTATGAAACAGTTCATTCATGTAAGAATAGCAAGGTGATTATTTACAACTTTTCTCTCTCCCATTGTTATTTAATCACTTCATAGGAGGCTAAAATGACATGGAATTAGAGAATAACAGAACTACCATGTTTCCCTGAAAATAAGACCTACCCATAAAACAAGCCCTAGCAGGATTTCTAAGCATTTGCACAATATAAGCCCTACCCTGAAAATAAGACCTAGTGATGGGCGTGGCTACGCACCATATCTGCACAACCCATGCATTTCATCAGGGAGCAGTAAAGAAGAAGAGCAGCCCTTCTCATCTGCCCCATGAGAGCTCTATTGCTCGACATGAGAGATTGGGGCCAATGGTTCTAAAGGAAATAAAGTTGCAAGAAATTCAGGATGGAATTTGGGGTTTGGAGAGTTATGATGATGTTTCAGAAGAAGACAACTTAACTATATTTGAATAAATGTAGATTGTTGTACCATACTTAAAAATAACACATCCCCTGAAAATAATCCCTAGGGTGTCTTCTTGAGGAAAAATAAATATAAGACCCTGTTTTATTTTTGGGGAAACATGGTACATGATGCTTTCACTAGGTCAACTCAGTCAACTTCTTCCTTTTACAGTTGAGGAAACCAAGGCAGGAGAGGCAGTTACTTGTCTAGTGCCAATGCATAGAACTATTAAGACCAGAGTCCAAATCTCCAGATTGTAGACTAACTCTTTTCCCACTACACTGTACAGTCTTCCAAAACCAACAACCACCCACCCACCTACCCACCCAACCAGCTCAACAAATAACCCACCTCACCCACTGTACAAATTTAGCGATAGATAAAGACATGACTTTTCTTTTCACATTTGGCTACAGATAAAACAATATATAGCACCAAAAAGATTTTGGTAAGTATTTGGTTAACTAAATTTAAGATAATCACCCTAGTAGACAATATTCTTATTGTAAAATTATATTTAAAGGAAACATAAAATGTATTGGCCAACCATCATGGGGAAAATGTAAGTCTTTCAATTTGCAATTCTTTAGGCAAAATGACATTAAATACATGTTTAATGCATCTAGCTTATAAGGTAAACTTTCCCTTACAGTACATTCTGTTAGACTCTTGGAAGCCTGGATCCTCTTTATCCACATTTTCAGGCTGTGTAATAAATGTTCTAATATTTTCATCCAAGAGAAGACTTTTGTTTTCATCAAATATTGTAGCAAGCAGGTAAAACTCTTTGTGTACTCCTTTCTGTGGATGAGAATGGAAAAACGAATGGACATGAAATATAGGTGGCTCATTTTCAAAATCTAGTCAGATGATTGATCTGCATACAGGATTTCCACACAAGGGGTTTGTATACTTGTGGAAAATCTGATCAATTGATTTTCTGACTGTGGACACGTCCCAGAAAGGCATGAATCCCAGCAAATGGATTATCATATTAAATAGAATTAAGAAGTTGAGAGAAATCTCTATAGCTTTTTTCATGTAAAACTTACTCTAGAGATCACTACATCTAAACTCCATAAACTAAGCCATTTAATCACAGATATTTACAGTGGCTTTTAACATAGGATGCTCTGTGGAAAGCAAGTCAAATAAAGACTTTTTAATTCTACAAAGTCTGCATTTTTAAGGTTTTTGAATAAATTATATATACATATAGTTGTATATAAAATATAAAAATGATATGCACTATAATAATTATGGGACTATTAATGACTTTTATTATATATATATGAATATAAATATATGTTCATTCCTTCTGTATGCTTTCTAGAAACTTACAGTCTAGTGGCAGAGACAGGCCAGTAAAAATAGTTGCATGGATAAATGCTCTAATAGAAACATACACAAGGAACTATGGTAACTTGTGGGAGTTTCAATTAACTTTAGTCAGGGGATATTGTCCAAAGGAAGGGGCCCTCAGGGTGAGTTTTAAAAATGCCTCCCCTTTTTGGCAGATAAAACAGTGAGGAAAGGCCATTCCAGATGGAAAGAAAAAGGCAAAGTCAGAGATGTGAGATAGCCTTCCTAACTTGGGGTCTAAAGAGCTAATTCTGCCTTACTGCTATTCTAATTTGCTGATTAGAAGAAACTAATTCATCAGTACAAGGGTGGACTAACTACATTGAAGCAGGAAGAGAGTGAGGACAGAAGTTAGGAGGTTAAAGGAATTCAGAAAGAGAGATAGTGCCTAAGATAAGGCAGTGGTATTGGAGACTTAGTGATTAATGTGCAGGTGAGAAAGAAGGAGCTGTTGATGGCAGTCCAGGGTTTGGTGACACCATTAACTAAGAGACAGAACAGAGAAAAAGAGACTGACAGAGGAGGGAGGGGCAGTAAGTGGCTGTTTAGAAAGAAGTTAAGGGTAAAATAGTTTCTAGATGTGTGTAGGACATGCCAGGGTGTGGGTGCTCATTGGGCTGAGGAATATACAAGTCTGGAGTTGATGAAAGAATAGAATTGGGAAACATCGGTACACAGAAGTTAAAGCTGCTGATTCCTGTGGCCCTGAGACATCTCCATTCCTTTGCAGTGGCATCTCTCACCAAGGCATACCCAGACATAGGCCTCACGACTCACCTGTTTGCCATCCTTTCCAAGACTTCCACTTCTGCACACGAGGAGAGGCCCTACAAGGCCACTGTTAGTATCTTTTGACCCATTTACTGCAGAGTAGTAGAACCGGGTCAAGCAGCTGGGATCCGTGGAGGTAGGACCTACATCTTTTGAAACTTCCCATGTATAGACAAATGTTGTGCCAGGATTTACATGTGCAGACGGTGGAGGGGTACCTAGCAAGAAATAAACCTTTATAAAATAAAACCTAAGACCATAAGTACCCTTATCTAGACTGCGGGATCTTTGAGAGCAAGGACTATATCTTGCTCACCTTATAGTAATTTGGAGACAGTTGAAAAGGGACTAAAAAAATAAAAAGTACACAGAGCTGTTACAATGTGACAAGTAGGCTGCACGCTTTAGGAGGAGTTTTATTTTCTTGTTGACATTATATGAAAGTGTGGCTCACGTGAGTGCTACTTACTTCTGCCAGGTGTTTTGTAGAATGAGCCCTCATTGCTCTTGCTGTAACGCAGTCCATGAGGCTGCATGCTGAGTGGCAAGGAAGCATTGTTAAAGAAAGTGACCTTGATGATCTGTCCCACCTCTGCCTTAATGACAGGGCCTAGAAACGAAGAGTCATAACGGGAATTGTCAGGTTGTGTTACGTGGATACGGAAGGTTCTATTAGGGAGAAATTAAAAGAATTACACCATGAACCCAGAAAAGGATCAAACTGCATGAAGTCTAGATGATTCAGGGTCTTATAAAGTCACTTTGGAACACATGAAGATATTCATCTCATGGGATTTATAGGGACAGAAGAATGTAGTTAAAATCATTGGGTGAATCAATATATTGATTTCATAGGGTTATAAGATTATATCTAAAATATCTATAACTGTGAGTTGGTGAATACTGTTTTGAGTGCACAGAATATGTATAATATAAATGATTTATAAGCCCATAAGCTATGAATAGAATTTTACCAAGAATTCCAAGGTGTTCTTCTCTTGCCTTCCGTACTTGGAAGTAAGCATTTGTATATTCACGGTAAACTAGCTTTTTGTAAGTTCCTCCAATTCTGGTTGGGCTTTGTTCAAAATATGGCTGGGATTCACTGTGCAGAGAAAGCAGACACACAAAGAACTTTTATATTTACAGTGATCATGTGAAAAGAAAGCAAGAAGCTAAACACATCTATATGTTTTAGAATACTTGTAATTTATTTCTGATTATAAAAATAATGCATGCTCATTTTATAAAATTTGGAAAAGAAGGAAAGATACAACAAAGAAAATTAAAATTTCCATAATCCTACCATTTACATATAACCACCATCAATATTTTCTCTAGATATCCCTTCAGTCTTTTGCTTATGCATGTGTATATAATTATCTGTATGTATCTACTTAGTCATTTGTTTGCAAATTTTCTTTTAGAATAAAAATTAAAAAGACATTGTCTGATTATTTTTAGGCAGGTAATAACAAATATTGCCATTGAAGCAACTATTTCCAGAGATGCTATAATATTAAGAAGAGAGGTATCATTGTTATCTTTTAAATTCTAATTTAAAAAGGAGCCCCTGTCGGCCAGGCCTGGTGGCTCACACCTGTAATCCTAGCACTCTGGGAGGCCGAGGCGGGAGGATGGTTCAAGGTCAGGAGTTCGATCCAGCCTGAGCAAGAGCGAGACCCCTGTCTCTACTAAAAATAGAACGAAATTAATTGGCCAACTAAAAATATATAGAAAAAATTAGCCGGCCATGTTGGCACACACCTGTAGTCCCAGCTATTTGGGAGGCTGAGGCAGGAGGATGGCTGGAGCTCAGGAGTTTGAGGTTGCTGTGAGCTAGGCTGATGCCACGGCACTGTAGCCCAGGCAACAAAGTGAGACTGTGTCTCAAAATAAATAAATAACAAAAAAATAAAAAATAAAATGGAGCCCCTAAGAAAACATATTCCCTAACAGTGAAGTGGTAACTTGCTGTGCTAAGACATCATAGAATTTCATAGCCAAGAGAATCAAGCAAAATGAAAGAATTTAGTAACTCATATGTATTTTAGTCAATATACAATGAGAGTAGGACCTAACTCTAAATCTAATTTTTATGGGCTGAGTGTGGTGGCTCACACCTATAATCCTAGCACTCTGGGAAGTCGAGGTGGGAGGATCGCTTAAGCTCAGGAGTTTGAGACCAGCCTGAGCAAGAGTGAGACCCCATCTCTACTAAAAATAGAAGGAAATTAGCTGGACAACTAAAAATATATTAAAAAAATGAGTGGTAGCGCATGGCTGTAGTCTCAGGTACTAGGGAGGCCGAGGCAGGAGAATCGCTTGAGCACAAGAGTTTGAGGTTGCTGTAAGCTAGGCTGACCAGGCAACAGAGTGAGACTCTGTCTCAAAAATAAATAAATAAATAAATAAATCTAATTTTTATTCTAAACCCAGTTATCCTTCTGACAATTCATGCAAATTTTCCATTACACAGATTGAATAATTTATTGATGAACTTAAAGTGTAAGAAGAAGACTAAAAGCACCTGGCACTCACATTCATAAACACTGAGGAGATAATCATATGCCAAATAAAGCATCTAAGAGAGAACTCCGAAATTCAGCAGGGAAGTGACAAGGAACATCTAGGACACACAAGGAGAGGGAAACAAGGCAGCTGGCTTGGCTGAGATCAGCTGCAAGCAAGGAGAAGCTCCCCAGTGTGGGCAAAGGGTAAATGAGAGATCCCAAAAGGTCCATAGTCCTACTGCAGACTCCTGATCCTAGCCACTGATAGCCCTTCAGTTCCAGTGAGCCCTGACACTAGTAGAGCAGAGTCTGTGCAATGGCATTGCTCCAGAGAGGGAGTTTATGCTAGGTCCCCCCCACCCCACTCCAGAGATCGAGATAGCTATAGCATGATGCCGTTCGGAAAGCCCAGCCCCACCACACTACATCCTGCCCTGGGGCCCAGCAGTCCCTGCATCTCCACATCCCTGGAGCCCCATTGACATCCTCCTATGTCCACTCAGAGGGCTGTAGCATTGTGATACCAGCTGAACCCAGGAGTGTGGCCAGGTCCCCAGCACTCTAGCCCATGCAATATTATACACTCTGGGGAACTGACCACGCAGTGCACCAGACAGCCTGCCCTGGGAGAGAAGGAGCCAAGCACATGCTCTCTAGAACCTGACAGCCACCTGCCTACAGCTGCTGCCACTGACAACAACCCTGCCTCACTTGCCCAGCAGCAGGGCTTACTGCACATCTGCCTGTGCCTTTAGTGGATGTGAGATCAGCCTGTCCAGATGCTGTTTTGGGGCCTGAGGACTGGCCTGTCTTCCCGCCACTGCTGCCACCCAACTGCGCCATTTGAGGGCTGGGGGATTGACATGGCTTTCCTGCCACAGCTGGTGCTCAAGTGCACCATCAGGAGGCCTGAAAACAAGCCTATCCTGTCCACCACTCAGTGCCTGTACATGCCACCTAGAGGCCTGAGAATGGGTCCCCCCAGCCTGTTGGTGCCCCCACACACCATCTGAGGACCTGGGAATTGATCCACCCCACCCTGTGTCTGTGTATACCATTGGAGACCTGAGAAAAGACCTGCTATGCCTGGTGCCAGCCCCACCAGTGCCAGCATGTGCTATCCAAGGGCCTGAGGATTGATCTGCCTTGCCTGATACCCTTGGGACCCACACAATTCTCCCAGAGACCAGATAATGGACCTACCTACCCTGCCAACACCTGCACATATTGTCTGGGGGCCCAGAGATTGATCTGCACTACCCATCACTGCAAGCATTTGACACTACTCCCAGGGGCCTTAAGATAGGCCTGTGCAGCCTGCCACCACCACCACTGCCAGCACCCACCTGCATGTCCCACCAGGGGACCTGGAGACTGGCCTGCTCAGGCCACTGCTTTCACCCCTGATATCTGTGCATGTCACCTGGGGGCCTGAGGGTTAACCCACTAATGCTACTGACCTCACTGATGCCACACATACTTCCCAGGGTCCCAAGGACCCATCCATCAACCTGGCCCATCACTGTCACTGCTGACACCTGAGCAAGCCACTTGGAGGCCCAAGGATTAGCCCCTCTGGACCCACGGGTCCTACCACTAAGGTTCAAGGATTGATGTGCCTAGCATCCCTGTTAAAAGCAAAGCCTTGTCACAGCCTCCATTAACAACCACAACATAAGCCATTGAAGAACTCACAGACACCACAGATGCTTATTACAGCTGAAGAAATTACGTGGAGACTACACTACTACATGCATGCAAAATCAAGGCTAAAGCACCCAACACAATCAACACTGTGGGTACATGTATAGCAAAAAGCCTCCCGATGAAAGCAAACCCAAGAAATTGAGAGAAGTGGCTGTTCATCAGAAGCACAGATATCAATGTAAAGACACAAGAAGCATGAAAAAGCAAGGAAATATGACACTTCCAAAGGAAAATGATAATTCTTCAGCAACAGAGTCTAACAAAAACAGTCTATGAAATTTCTGAAAACATAAGAGAAATGCTTTAGGACATTGGTCTAGGCAAATATTTTATGGCTAATACCTCAGAAGCACAAGTAACAAAACCAAAAATAGACAAATGGGACTATATTAAACTAAAATGGTTCTGTATAGCAAAGAAACAATCAATGGGGTAAAAAGACAACCTGTCTAATCAGAGAAAATATTTTCAAACTATACATCTGACAAGGGACTAATATTTAAATACACAAGGAACTTAAACAACTCAACAGCAAAAAACAAAAACAAAAACAAAAACCAACAACAAATAATAATCCCATTAAAAAGTGGGCAAGGGTCTGAATATATATTTCTCAAAAAAGACATACAAATGGCCAAAAAGTACATGAAAAAATGCTTGATAGCACTAATCATCAGGGAAATGAAAATCAAAACAACAAGGAGGTATCATCTTATCCTGGTTTAAATAGCTACCATCAAAAAGACAAAAAGTAAATGCTGGCAATGATGTGGAGAAAAGGAAAGTCTTACACACTGTTTGTGGGAATGTAAATTAGTACAGCCATTATGGAAAACATAATGAAGTCATGTGGAGTTTCATCAAAAAACTAAAAATAGAACTAGCATACTATCTAGCAATGCCACTACAGGGTATTTATCCAAGGAAAGAAATCAGTGTATCAAAGGGACATCTGCACCCGCATGCTTATTGCAGCCCTCTTCACACTAGCCAAGATATGGAATCAACCTAAGTTTCTATCAACGGACAAATAGATAAAGAAAATGTGATACCAGTTTGCTGGTGAGTATATGTGGTGCTTGTTTTTCCATTCTTGGCGAGTATATACATACATGAGTGAGACGTGCACCATCTGGGGGATGGTCATGCTGGAAACTCAGACTTGTGGGGGGAGGGGGGAAAGGGCATTTATTGAAACCTTAAAATCTGTACCCCCATAATATGCCGAAATAAAAAAAAAGAAAAGAAAATGTTATATATACACACAATGGAATATTATTCAACCATAAAAAAGAATGAAATCCTGTCATTTGTAGCAACATGGATGGAACTGAAGGTCATTACATTAAGTAAATTAAGCCAGTCACAGAAAGACTAATATTGCATATTCTTACTCATATGTGAGAGGTAGAAAAGTTAATCTAATAGAGATAGAGAGGGGTAGGGAACCTGTGGCCTTCTAAGTCTTTAAGTGTGGCCTTTTGACTAAATCCAAATTTTATAGTAACAAATCTTTTTATTAAAAGGGCTGCAGCAGAGAAAGATAAAACTTTTCTTGCCTCATTTGGTGTTTAAAAAAGAATACTCTTGAAATCAGAAAGCTTCAGGTTTCCCACAGTTAATGGATACAAACATGCACTTAGAAGAAACAAGCTCTAGTGCTTGATAGTACAGTAGGGTGACTATAATTAACAACCATATTTAATATATTTTCAAATAGCTAGAAGGGAAAATTTGAAATGTCAGCAACACAAAGAAATGATAAATGTTTGAGGCAGTGGATATCCTAAATGCCCTGAGTTAATCATTACACATTGTATGCATGTATCAAAATATCACATGTACTCCATAAATATGTATAAATATTATATATCAACAAAAATAATAAAAAAGAAGAGAAAATATTCACTTGAAATTTTTAGCTTTCTAAAATTTTTTAGGAGTAAATTAGAGAAAAATAAATATCATGGGAAATATTACTTTTTGGTGATTTTAGAACCTGATCTTTTTCTGACATGCAACTTTCATTCAGTAGACCAGAAGGATTAAAACTCCTGTAATCTTCAAATCGGTAAATATACTTAACAACTGAACTATCAGAAAAACCTTTTGCCCACTTTTAAATGCTGATGCTATAGTCATACATTTTAGACTTAGTTTTTGGTCATTAAAATAGCAATTGCTAATATACTATATTCTTAGGTGTTATTGAATAATTAATATTTAATAAATTTAATTAATATTTAATATACTTACTATTATTTAAGGATATCACGTAAAAGAATTTAATTATGCCTTCAGATTTTAGCAGTATATAAGTTAAATAGGAAGACTGTTTCTAAATTTTTGTAAAATTGCAATGATTACATTGTCCACTATGTTCTAAAATGTTTTGTAAGTATAAAGTTTAAAAATTAGCAATAGAAAAAGGATGAGCAGTACATTTTCCTTTGCATTGGCTGCCAAGACATTTAAGAGAAGAATTTTGTGTAGCAATGAGGCTTAGCATCAATATTTTCTGATTTTTATACAATTATTGTTCCATATTTATTTTATCAGTAACTTTTAATTATAAGATGACTAAATCATTTTTAGATGTAACTGGGTTATGAAAAATTTCAATTATCTTTATTATTTAATCATAAATATTTCAACCAGTGAATCATTACCTTCCAGGCGCTGTTAAATCGTTTTTAGTGTAAAAATCTATACCAGATGGAGCATATTGCCAAAGAATTTCCTCAGCAGCAATATAGTAATGTACAACATGTGTCCCAGCAACTTCTGTTGAAGGTTTTTGGCAATTCTTTACATTGAAAAATCCCTGCATACTCTCTGGAAAACAGTAAACACAAGTAGAGAATGTTATTAAAACATTAATAAAATTTTCTTGGTCCACCTATATTTTTAATTTTAGCCAACAATACTGAAACTTTCCCTTTCTTTCAGAAATTTGATGCATGAAATCTGTGTCACAACTTAAAATGTGTGTAACATGTACTAAAACCAGGATGCAAAGATGAATATTAAAGGGATATGCATTACTAGAGAATAACAACCAGCTTTGGACCAACTCCTAGATGAAGATGGCACCCACATACTGAGAAGAATTTGAGAGTCTATTTGACCAAGAATGTCTTCCCTCATGAGTATGAAATTGCTACTACTGGTCACTAATGAGTTGGATGGTTTATTAGATTAACTAGTTGGCAGGCAGGAAGAAAAGCAAGGCAAGAATGTTTCCATGACATCAGTCTTGTGTTTTGATTTTAGAGTACTGTTGGTGGGAGTATAAATTAGTATAGACTTCTTGGAAGGCAATTTGGCAACATTCGTTAAAATTAAAAGCTCTTCCATCACATAATTTTACTTGATAGCCACGAGAAATATTTGCACATACATGAAGAGACATATAAAAAGGCATTAACATTGTTAAGAAACCAAAAAAGTAGAATCAGTTTAAATGTCTATCAGTAGACATATGATCAAATAAATTAGAGTACATCCAAAATATGGGAAAAAAATGCAACACTTAAAAAGAATAAGAGGTATAGGGCATGTCATGGAAAGAAACTTCAATATGGTGAGTGATGAAAGCAAGCAACAGAATATTATATGCAGTGTGATCTACTTAACATAAAACATGGCTATGTGTTTTAATTTTTACATGTACATTTTACATATGCAGTAAACAGGTTTGCAAGTACTGGCTTCACATTCAATACAGCGGTTACCGCTGGGGAGGGACCTGGGATGGTAGTGGGGTGGAGTTGGACTAATGGTGTGTTTTTAAAATAGCTTTCCAAAACCAAAGAAACACAAAATATGATTTGTGTGCCAATTTTTTTGGTGTGTGTTGTAAACACTCCCACTGCGACCAATTTGAAGCTACCAAAGGTTTACTGGCTTGATTATTTAACCGTCAGCAATTTTGAGCTGTAGGAACTGGCTCCCGTAATACCACCTTAGATTTAGGAACTGGCTCCCGTACACCACCTTAGCTTCTTTCACTTTTTCTGCCTGCCTCCTCTACTTCATTTTCTCCCTTTCTTCCTCCTTCCTTCTCAGTCCCTCCTTGCCTCTCTCCCTCTATCCCTCCCTCTTTCTTTCCTCCTTCCTTCTTTGCTTGCTTTCTTCCTACCTTGCTAGCAAAGATCGATTTATATATTCTTATAATTACTGCAAATTAAAAAGACTGGAAGTAAATTTAAAAACAAAAACAAAAGCTGTAGAAAAACACAGAAAGAGGGGGAAAAATCCACAGGAGAAAATGATGGGCTCTATTAGCCAAGTAGGCTTTGAGGATTTTTTTTTTTTTTTTTTTTTGAGACAGAGTCTCGCTTTGTTGCCCAAGCTACAGTGAGTGCCATGGCGTCAGCCTAGCTCACAGCAACCTCAAACTCCTGGGCTTAAGCGATCCTCCTGCCTCAGCCTCCCGAGTAGCTGGGACTATAGGCATGCGCCACCATGCCCGGCTAATTTTTCTATATATATTAGTTGGCCAATTAATTTCTTTCTATTTATAGTAGAGACGGGGTCTCGCTCAGGCTGGTTTCGAACTCCTGACCTTGAGCAATCCGCCCACCTCGGCCTCCCAGAGTGCTAGGATTACAGGCGTGAGCCACCGGCCCGGCCTGAGGAGCTTTCTTGCTTGTGCCTAGGGCTGACCCTCTGCAGAGCTAAGGTGGAAAGACCTAACTTGAGGAGTGGATGGGACTGAGTGTACATTTTAACCTGAAACCAATATTCCATTCTGAGCCACAGTCTTTTTATCACTAAATTCCATTCTTAAATTATAATAGCTGTGAGTGGTTCTTCTTTTTTCCACATCCCTGGGAGGGACACAGCATGTAGGGAATTCTGAAAAATATTGCCATTGTTGTTAATAATTAATTGAAACATGATACTAACCAAAGGTTAGGACTTACAAAAGAAAGGTTTTGATCAAAGAAGTAAACTCCATTTTTGGACCAAACAATAAAATTATATTCTTCAATTCCAATGATAGTTATCTTTTCTGATTAAAAACAGGTTTACTGAATAATGAATTATAATTATTTGGTTCTGCATAATTCCTGGCTCTGCTTCTTATAAGATTTTGGGCAAGTGTTTTAATCTCTTGAAATTTGTTTTTTCAGTTTAAAAAAAAAACGGTAATAATATCTGCTCTGTGTGATACTCAGGGTTCTTGTGAGGCTCACAGGTTAATGAATATGAAACTATTTTGTAAAAGCAGCAAAATCCTAGATACCTAAAAGGGCTTATTGTTATAGAGTGAAAAGTTATCAAGGACCTGGGTTCCATCACTGATTGTTTCCCAAAGAAATTGTATCACTCTCCTGGATATCAATTTCTTCATTTGTAAGATGAAGCATTTGTAATGGGTTGTAACCTTGGAAGTTCTCTGACTCTGTGTTATGCAAAAGTAATAAATCTCTACCATGTATATGGCAGCCCAGCGTCCACTCTCCAGGGCCCTTGGCTACCATGAAGGCATCTTCCAACGAGGCCGGGAAGACCATGATGGTGTCCTTTCTGTGATTCCGAGAGATCAGAGTTTGTCCGTGGAGATAGATGGAGTGTTCGTTAATCCCACCACCGATAGCAACGAAATGCCACTTGATCTTGTCTTCTGCACACATGGTGAGACGGGGCAGATTTCCATATATGTATCCATTTATGGCTGAAAATAAATGTATATTAACCAATCAAGCATGGTAAATCAGTGCCACATGGTAAAAATTGTATTCCTTTCCTCAATGTATAAACCTCACAGTGTCAACATTGTTCTCACATGTAATATACAACATGGAGGCCATCACATACACATTATGTATGATTAGAAGTGAGGGGAGCACTAAGGTTTAGAGGTAAGAGGAGAAAATGTAAGCAGAAAGGCAAGAAGCAGTGGAAAGGGGAAAAGATTAGAAAGAAAATTTCATAAAAGAAGAGAGCAAGGATACAGGTGATTGAAACCATGAGAACATCTTTCCTGAAAAATTCTATGTTGGATAAAAACACATTTCCATAAAATATTTGGTCATTTATATCTTTGTTCTTCCATAGTATTTCATTACCTTGAAATTACACCTTTCTTACGTTTTTAACCATCTGTTTTTAATCAATATCAGACTTTGGAAAACCAAATGTGCTTATAAAACATTATTTGCTATGAAACTTAGGAAATAAGCAAGATTTACTAGTTGACTGGCATGTTAACCAGTATACCTGAGTGAAACACTGAAAAATATAAACTCAACTAAACAAACTTGAGCAATGGAAAATCACTAAATAGGATCGTAGAAGTTAGAATTATAAGATATTATGAATGAGAAAGTTCTTTTGACTCTTACAGTACATGATATTGTTCTCCACAAAGCCAGGATCACTTGTATTAACTTCGCCAGATTCAGTAAATCTATGAATATTTTCATCGATATACCAGCTATTGTTCTCATCAACTATAAAAAACACCAGAAAATAAGACTTGTCGATATTTTCTTCAGTGTCTTCATGCAGTGTCCCTGAAACAAAAAGAACAAATTTCTTATGTTTCATGTAGATAATAATCAGAGCCATTTTTAAAGATGAAACTATTTTTGTTCACTACAGTTTTGTTAATTGTTAGGGCATATGAAAAAACTAAATGTTTGTGATGTGGAGATTACACAAAACTTTAAAAAGCGCATTACTTACATGAAGCCAAACTTATAGAAGTCATACTAATCTTTACTTCAAGTCAGTAACTTTCTGGAGTCTCCACATCTGATAACCATTATCATATGAGATGTACAAAGTCTCAAAATCTGTGCTTCCTCAAACCAAGCACAACTCTAGTTCATACTGATTAATGTATTCATTTATGCTTATATTCAACAAATATTTATTGAGCATTTATAATGTGTTAGGTACCATGGTGAGTGGTCGGTTCATAAAAGTGAACAAGACAGGTTTCTACCCTTGCAGAATTTATAATCAAGGGTGAAGGCCATCAATATATAATACAATGTAGAGTGTAAAGTTCTATAGTAGGGAAGAGCAGGGTGCTGGGGAGCCGACTAACCAAATGTTGGGTGTGGAAAGGGTACGGAAGGCAGTAACACTTCAGTTGATATCTAAAAGATGAGTAAGAGTTTGCTGGGTTATTTCTGGAGAGAAGATTCCAAGCAGCAATTAAGAGAAAAGAAGTTTGGACTCTATTGCCAGAACAATCAGCAGCCATTGAAGGATTTTAAACAAAGGAGTGACAGGATCAGCTTGCCCTCTCAGAACCATCCTCCCCCCTTCAACTTCCAGACGGAAAGCCAAGTGGAGATGAATTGAAAGGGGAAACACTTAGAGGCTGGCAGGGCAGAAGCTGTTGCAGGCACCCTGGCAAAAGGATGGCAGTGGCCTGAACTAGGTTATAGTCCATGTGGAGCTAGAGAGAAGTGAGCTGATCTGGGCATGTGCAGGAAGTGGAGCTGGTGGGACTTGATTGATGTGGTGTGTTTAGTAGGGGATGACGGAGAGGGAGGCATCAAGAATGACACCCGAGTTCTGTCTCCAGGGACTAGATGGAGGATGCTAGGGCCATTCCCCAAGGCAGGGAATACAGAAGGAAGGGAGGGATTCAGGGAAGGAGCAGATGATGAGTTTTGGAATACGATGAGATTTAGGCACCAATGGAATACTCAAGTGGAGAAGCCAAGTTGCCAGGCCTGACAATGAGTAGAGGAGTTTGGACTAAAGTTAATAGATTTCAGACTCATTAGCATGCAGATGGAAGAAATGACTCAAAATGGATAAGATCACTCTGTGAGCTTGGATTGAACAAAATAAATAAAGCACGTAAGACAGTGGGAATAAAATTATTATAATATAAATATAATACATCTAATAAAAATATAATATAAAATTATTATCAGCTCCAAATATTTTATATAAGCCTTATATTTAAAACCATAAGGCATAAGTCAGAATAATTGTAAATGAGAACTATCGATGGCAGTTGACATACCTGCCTTTGAGAATGCAAAGCCTTAGGTTAGTTTTATTATTTAAAAAGAAAAAGGAAAAAGTTTGGAAATATTCAGACTAGATATCTTAAAGTTTAATATATAGTTATTCTTTATGTTGTCTTCATGTAACTGACTTCCCTGCAAGTTTGACAAGGGCAAAGAGCTCTTAAAAAGTTGGTTTATAAGTTATCTCCCAAGGAATATAATCAGTAACCTTGAGACTATGTGAGTTTGTTACAGGAAACTGCCATTGTTAAAATACTTATTGTGGAGAACTATTGTTCACTTAAAGTTTTAAACTTTGATTGTCTTAAGAAGTATGACATGAACTTCTCATTAACTTCATAATTAACGTTGTACTGTCATCTCATTAATCTTGTTATAATAAAAACTCTGTGTAAGTTAGAAACATATCAGTGAAACTTCTTCCTTGCAAGAATTATTTTGCTATAAAATAAACTGGTAACTGGATATCCATTTGCAAAAGATTTAAACTAGACCCCCACCCCTCATCCTATACAAAAACCAACTAAAAATGGATCAAAGACCTAATGTAAGAGTCAAAATGATACAACTACTAGAAGAAAACATAGGGGAAATGCTTCAGGATGTTGGTCTAGGAAAAGACTTTATGAACAAGACCTCAAAAGCACAGGCAACAAAATAAAAAATAAATAAACGGTATTATATCAAACTAAAAAGCTTCTGCACAGCAAGAAAACAATCAACAAAGTAAAAAGACAACCTGAGCAATGGGAGAAAATATCTATGGAAGGGGAGAAAATATTTGTAACTACTTATCTAACAGAGGATTAATATCCAGAATACACAAGGAATTCAAACATCTCAAGAGCAACAACAACAACAACAACAACAAAAACCCCAAACAATCTGATTAAAAAATGAGCAAATAGGCCAGGTATTGTGCCAGGTATGGTGCCTCACAGCTGTAATCCCAGCCCTCTGGGAGGCCAAGGTGGGTGGATTGTTTGAGCTCAGGAGTTTGAGACCAGCCTGAGCAAGACCCCATCTCTACTAAACATAGAAAGAAATTACTTGGACAGCTAAAAATATATAGAAAAAAAGTTAGCTAGGCATGGTGGCACATGCCTGTAGTCCCAGCTACTTCAGAGGCTGAGGCAGAAGAATTGCTTGAGCCCAGGAGTTTGAGGTTGCTGTGAGCTAGGCGGATGCCATGGCACTCTAGCCTGGGCAACAGAGTGAGACTCTGTCTCAAAAAAAAAAAAAAAAAAAAGAGCAAATGATCTGAACAGACATTTGTCAAAAGAAGACAAAGGAGCACTAAATATATGAAAAAATGTTCAACATCACTAATCATCGGAAATGTAAATCAAAATTACAATGAGGTATCATCTCACCTCAGTGAGGATGGGTACTATCAAAAAGACAAAAAAAAAAAAATACTGCTGAGGATGTGAAGAAAAGGAAACTCTTATACATGTTGGTGGGAATGTGAACTAGTACAGCCACTACAGAGAATAGTATGGAGTTTCTTCATAAAACCACAAATAGAACTACTATATGATCTAGCAATCCCACTACTAGGAATTTATCCAAATGAAAAGAAATCAGTATATTGAAAAGACATTTAGATATCCGCCTCCCCTCCCCCACCCCTCCACCCCCTGTATTTATTGCAGCACTATTCACAATAGCCAAAATATAGAATCAACCTAGGTGTACAACAACAGATGAATGGATAAAGAAAATGTGGTACAAATACACAATGGAATATATTCAGTCATAAAGAAGAATGAAATCCTGTCATTCACAGCAACATGGATGGAACCAGAGGACATTATGTTACATGAAATAAGCCACCAACAGAAAGTTATTGCACTGCATTTCCTTATTTATATATGGAAGCTAAAGAAATGTTGATCTCATTGAAAAGTACAACAAAGGATATTAGAGGCTGGGAAGAGTAAGAAGAAGGAAGGGATAGGAAGAGATTTGTTGAAGGATACAAGATTACAGCTAGACAGGAGAGGTAGGTTATGGTGTTCTATAGCACTGTAGGATGACTATTGCTAACAATAATGTATTATATAATTTCAAATAGTTAGAAAGAGGATATTGAATCTTTTCAGCACAAAGAAATGATAAACGTTTGAGATGATAGATACACTAATTATATTATATGTATCACTATATATTATATGTATCAAAATATCACTATGTATTCCATGATTATTATTCATCAATTTAAAGAATAAAATAAAAATAAACTGGTGATTCATTAACTGATTCACCTTAAAACATAAACATAAAAGTTGCACTACATAGAGACAATTCTAAGTAATGCAGCCTGCAAGAAACAGGCAGATAGATGCCTCTTATCTTCCTATTATATCTACTACCATCCCTCTCTGTAAGAGGGGGAAAGGTGGCAGTTATTTTGTGTGCAGGTGGCTGAAGTGAGGTTTACTGGGTTTGACCACCATCTAGTGCCCAACCTGCATTATTGGTTGAACAGAGGGCTGGGCTTGTGATCACCATCTAGTGCTCAGAGTCCAAGATGGTGAGTTTCAAGGTCAAGGCAGAACCTTTCAAAGGCAGAGAGCCTTTGAAAGACAATTTCCTCTAGGAGAGCACGGGAAAGCCTACACATTCTGCTTGACTCTATTATTACAATGAGATTTTAAAAATATGTTACCTTTTTTACAAGTCAGAATTGGTCCAATAAGTCCTGAAGTCACATCTTTTACAGTGTCTACATGGGAGTGGTAAATCCTTGTCACACAGTTGCTGTCACTGGGGCCAGGCCCCTGCTTTGTATCTACAAACCACTTGTAAGTATACTGTTTCCCTGGCTTCAGGTAGTCATCTTCCTTTTGCCGGCCCGTAGTATTATCAGGATAGAGAGCACCTAGAAAACATAGTCTGCACTGAGTTTATGGTAATCACTGGACAATACTATTTTGAATGTAACTCCAGCTTTCTCCATTAAGCCATGAATGTATATTAATCGTATTTCTAGAACAAATTATGCATTTCTCTTTGCCTCCTGTGCCCCTGAGTCCCCTTTAATTGGCCACCTAAATACTCAGTTGCGCCACAGTTTCTAGACTAAATTGGAATGGAGCAAGCAGCATATTAACAGACTATCACCACCTTTACTGATGGATTCAACAAATATTTACTTTACACCTACCATGTGCTTAGATCTCAGATACAGAGGTGACCTCTGGACTTTTGGGTTACCCTCTGTGTTTTCCTCATTGCCAGTCAGACTTGGGACCCAGGGCATCAAGAAGTACCCATGTTACCTACACCCCTACCACTGCAGGGGTGGCCCTCTGTATAGCTTACACTATTCTGAGCTATTACCTAAGTTCTGAATTTGGAAACTAGCTCTTTTTCCTTTGTTCTTTTCAGGCTAGAATTTTGCCTCAGATCCGCACCCCTTGCATATGGGATCCTGCTAACTATGGATAAAGCTCCTTTATTTAGTTAAGGACTTTAGAGTGTGAGCAACCTTCCCTTCTCTATCTTTCGGTACCCACCAGCTCCACATTAAACGCGAAGAAATCTACTGATTCCTGACTGACTGACTTTTGCACTTTCTTCCTGCCCAGTTGCCATCTGGACTTGGTCCTGTTTCCTCTGAGTCTGTCTCAGTCCAGAGGATTAATTCAGGGCCTGTTTCTAGCTTCTTCCTAATGCTTCCCTGAAGGAATCCTCAAACCTCAAAGTTTTGAATGTTCATTTAGAAAAAAATGCAAAAATATGTATTGCTCATTTTTCCAGAAGAAATAAAGATAAATTAAAAAATAAAAATACAAAAATAAAAACAAACTCATGTTAACATTTATCCTATTATATGTCCATAATATACAATAGTTTAAGGGGCAATAATCAGTACAAGATGTTCATGTAAGATGGCAAAATAATTATGACAGATGAATGGAATGGCATACAGGATTTCCATAGAGCCTCTGTTAGAAGAAGTGCCCATTCCATAGGTGGCACTCTTACTAAGCTGGACTAAAGTTCTAATTTTCTAAAGATTTATGTCAGACTTTTATAAAGACATATTTGAAATACTGAGAAAAAAAAATCTATGTTCCACCAGACACAAGCCCAAGTTCTCTTTTCCTAGCTTTCCTTGTCTTCTGAAACCTCAAAAAACCCTAGTGTTGGCTTTCTCTTTCTTTCCATTTTTCAATACCATCATGCAGGCATGACTACAGATGTGTAGGAGAGAAGATTCTGTCGGAAAAGCAAGGATTTCTCTTGATATTGATGAAAGCTTAAAAAATGTTGATCTCATAGAAGTAAAAAGTCCAAGAGAGTGATCCTCGCCTATGAAAAAATGGAAATGAGATGGGAGCAGAACAGGATTTCTGCCAATCTAACATTTAGCTCATGAGTGTCTCCTCTTTTGGTAAGTGAGAGAAAAGGGCATTTTCTTACCTGGCAATTGCACAAAGGCTTGTTACTCATTGAAGATGAGAAATTGAAAAGGGACTGCCTGGGGTATAAATATTAAAGACAGGAGAAGCAGGAGTCTGAGGCCACCCCTAACTCCCCTAGCTCATACTGCTGACCAGTGCATGATCACCTCATTTTTCCTGAGGTATTGTGCTCATACTCTCCACGAGCAAAAGCTCAGAAATGTAAGGAAAGGGGATCCACTTACCTTCATTTTCTTTAGTGTAGGTGAGCCCATGAGGATGGAAACTAAAGGCTCTTGAAGCATTATTTTTTACATGTACATAAATGAAGTCTCCAGTCTCTGCCTTAATTATTGGACCTAAAAATCCCAACCAGGATGGTTTATCGATGATCGTTTTAAATGTATTATCAGTAAATTGAAAATACAAAGCCTTTTTATAAGTAAATTTCTTCCTATGTTGACCTCCTTGTTGATACGTTTGGGATTGAAAGTCTCTACAAAAAATAAACAAACAAAAAAGAGAGAACTTTAACCAATTTTGACTGGAAAGAAAAAAGTGTTAAATAAACTAAAACTAGAAGTCAGAAGCTGGACAGCCTAATTTTGATGGACAAAACCTAGATGCTGGAGAAAATGTGAAGGAAGTAAAAAAAGATGTTATAGATAAGCAGAAGTTTGAAATATTGGATGAAGAGATCAAGTACAAATGTAGCAAGCAAAATATGTAGTATTTTAGTTTAAAGACATAACAAATCATTTGGACTGAACTGCATATAAGTTTCTAACTCTGCTTTAAGGTTACTTTAGCACCCAAACAGTAGATTGATTCCCATGACTTAGGATCGTTTATACATTTAAATGGAGTTGTGGACTTGTTGGTAGCATTGGTGTGTTTTACCTAGAAACCATAGCAAATCAGAACCCCATTCATAACCTCTAGATTTTCCCTTCCCAATTATCTGAAGTAAAACAAAAAAGAAGACAGCTACACTCATATCATAAGGAAAAGTGCTTTATACCTTGGGTACCATGCAAACAAAATTCGTGATAATCACGGAATTAGATATAACCCATGAAATAATGTGTCAGGAGAGCAAGAGTGGCAATAATCCCAGGAAAGAGTAATTTTTGATTTATATGAATATCTCTTTTCCATATTATGCTTATGCTAAACAAACAAAATAGTTCTAATGGCACATGTGCCCTGAAAGCATCAATCATGAGAAATTCTTTACTGTCATTTTATCAATGAGTAACAAACACTAACATTTGCTTGTGATAGTAATTTTTTCAAGGCATAAATATTACTTACTGATCTTCAGAAAAAGGTTTTCCATTGAGCATATTTTTACCCGAAGGAGCATAGTTCCAAATGGTTTCCTTAATGCCTATGTAGTAGTGTCTATCTTTTGCCCAACCTAGAGAACTAATAAAAAACAGAAAGGTCAGTGGTGAAAGGGCCTTCATTTTTAAATCCTGTGCTGGGAGAAGCTAGGCTTGCACACCTTTTATAACCCAGGCTTTCTTCTTCTGTTTGTCTATTTCAGTTATATAGATCAGAGTTGCATAAGAGCTCATCATCTGTCTTCGTCTACATTTATGTCATTTGCATTCTAAATGCATTTGTTTTTTTTTTTTTTTTTTTTTTGCATTCAGTTTTCATTGTCAGGCCAGGTAAAGTGTTGCACAACATGCTGGCTAGATGGGTTGCCCAATCATCTATCAATCCTCTGACAACTATTACCTTTTACAAACTATATCTATTGCTAAATTATTGGAATAGTCTCCTGTCTTACTGTTTTAGTCCATCTTACATACAATTCCTGCAATATTCTTTATTAAATGTTACTTCTATCAAGTTATTCCTCTAGATTATAATTTGAATTATCTGTCATTTATGACTTTCTTTAAATTATCCTCAAATTTCTTGATGTTTAAGACTATCCATAATCTAGTCCCCAATCTGATATCCCAAGTTTGTCTCCAACATTCACTTACAGGATCCCTTCCTTCTGGAAAGCCGTCTCACCGGGGTCATGGTGTGAGGTGAGGGAGAATTCATGTGCCCTGGCCTCAGATAGCCTGGGTTTCACTCTTAGCTCTCCCACTTATCAGCCGTGCATAGTTATGTAATTCAATTTCTTCATTTATAAAATTATAATATTACACAATTAGGAAGTTGTGAAACTTAAAATAAGACAGCGCATGCTGTAGAGCCTGGGGACAGACATAACGAGCCTGGTGCACAATCAATATTTAATAAGTGTCATTTACAGTACTTCCCTTTCCCCTATGGTAATGTGCTTTCTGAACTCACTTGATTCTTTTTTTTTTTTCTTTGAGACAGAGTCTCACTCTGTCACCTGGGCTAGAGTGCCATGGCATCAGCCTACCTCACAGCAACCTCAAACCCCTGGGCTCAAGTGATCCTCCTGCCTCAGCCTCCCGAGTAGCTGGGACTACAGGCATGAGCCACCATACCTGGCTAATTTTTTGTTGTTATTTTTAGTTGACTGGCTAATTTTTTTTCTATTTTTAGTAGAGATAGGGTCTTGCTCTTGTTCAGGCTGGTCTCAAACTCCTGACCTCAAGCAATGCTCCCTCCTCGGCCTCCCAGAGTGCAAGGATTGCAGGCGTGAGCCACTGCTCCCGGCCTAAACTCATCTGATTCTATTCACCCATTTCCCAGCCTGATATTCCCTCCTTCGGTCTCTCTGTTTCTTGGCTAATACCAATTTTTCCCATTCTTCAAGGCTGAACTGAAACTTCCATTTCTCCGTGAAGCCTTCCCTAACCATTTCAGCTTACGGACATCCCCCACACCCACTCCTTTCCGAATTCACCGAATTCACCAGCCATATCACAATCTGGCAATTAACCACATGCTGCTTCATATTGTTGCTTAAATGTTTGTGTTGTATTTTCTCTACTTCAATAGACTGCAAATCCTATAGATTAGGGGAGCACTTGTTCTTTATACCTCCTAGAGATATCAAGAAATAAATGTTAATTTTTTTGAACAAATAAATAGAGTGCCTTGGCTGTGTACAATAAGTAAGAGAAGGAGAAGTTTTTATAAGCCATTGATCTGATCTGTGCATCAAGCATGTATTGAAATATCTATTACTATTAGGTATTTTTTGAGATTTTTACAATTTTCAACAGTTAGATTGGTACTCTGATTTAAGTTTAGAAACCCAGAATTAGAAATATTAAGGCAGCACAATCGTATGGTATATATAATTCTGCAGCTTGCTATTATTCCTTAACTACTTATCTTAGAGACCTTTATATGTCAGTACTTAGAATTCTACTTCTTTCATTTTAACTGCACCATAATTTTTCCTATTATAAATGTACTACAGTTTATTTTTTAAAACACACAAACTCGAAGTATATTTTTCCTATGTGTACATACAGATGTCTGTATATACTTAAGAAAATGCCAAATACTCCAAATTCCAATACTCCAAAAAATGTTGAAGAATCGTATAAAGAGAACAAATACAAATGTAGTAAGTAATATGTGTGGCATTTTGGTTTAAAAGACATACCAAATTCTTAGGGCTGAACCACATGTATTATAGTTTCTAGCTCCACTTTCAGTGCTACTTTAGCTTTCATGCAGTAGATCAATTCCTATGACTCGGGATTGTTTACATACTTAATAGGGCCAACAGCCAATCCGCTGTGGCACATTTGAATGTCACCAGCAGATGTTGGAAGGAATTCAGAAAAGCTAGGCCTGGAGGGACCTTGGCATGAGAAGAAATAGCCTATAGGGGAACCAAGAGGAAAGGATTAATATCCTGTAACTTTTGGGAAATAGCTGAAAGGGTTGGCAACGATATGTCACAGGAGAGACGGATTAGGCTCTCTGCCTCAAGGAGGAGACACAATCGGGTTAGAATAGTTGGAAGCTCAAGGCCCACAGATTTAACTCTAAATAGGGAAGAACCTTAAAACCTTCCTTGTTGCAGTGGACTTGACCAGCAGCTGTAGAAGGACTCACCCACCAGGTGGGTGGGAGCAGGATCTCTTAAATGGGCTTTCAAATGCCCCTACATCCCCAAATTCTATGGCTTCTTATCCTCACAGGAACATTAGTTTTGCCCTGGAATGTGAATAGTAAAGGATCTATTAAGCTGGCGTTTTTTGGTTTTTTTTTTCCCACACTAGGTATCCCAACAAGTGCAAAGAAGTCTAGTATATTCACGTCAAACAGATCTACCTCCAGTTCAGCTCCACCATTTACTACCTGTGTGATTTGGGGTGAGTTACATAATCCTTCTTAACTTGAGTCCTTTTATCTGTAATGTAAGAATAACAGTGATTAAAGTTCAGGGCTCCTGTGAAGACCTAGCCTCCCGTCTGTCACAGAGTAGGCACCCAGAGATAGTTAGCTCCATCCCCCTAGACATTGAAAATGGTACTGGTAAATACTTAGGTTTTTGTTTTCTTTCCAACAGAGGACTAGGAGAATTGGTTTCTATTTTTTTTTTCTTGGTCAGGGAGTTGGGTGTCAAGCACTTTTTCTTAAGTAATGTTACATATTTGTTACATATTATGGCTTGTCAAAATGGAAATTATTGTTGCAGGCCTGTCCATCCCTTCCTGTATGGCCCCCAGTAGGTCAGTCTTTTGGTACAAAAGTATTTGAAGTTGGTCACTATCGTTTGGTTATATTCTTGGTTTGTAGCCCAAGAACATAAGGCAGTTTACTTAGCTGAACTTTGTGGAATTTAGCCCAAAGGTGTGAGCCCAAACACCTTGGAGGAAAATTTAGATTCCTTCCTAGTGTTTCCATTCTAAGACTATAAAATAAGTTTAAGAAACAAAGAGAACACATTAAAATGTGCATAAGAGCCAAATTATAATAGCATCTTATATTTGTAAAAAGCTTTACCAAATATAAAATATCTTATAAATGAAAATTAATACCCTATGTAATTTTCCCAACACTCTCTCCCCTACCACTCTCATTACACCTGTTTTGTAGATAAGGGATCTAAAACTCAGAAGGTCAAGTAATTTGTTGCAGGATATACACTTACAGTTATGGTGCCAGTAGTCAAGTATAGATCATTGGATTCCAAGTCAAACTTTCCTTCCATGCTACCCGTAATAGTATTGGCTTTAATAGTTTGTGTATACATCTATATTATCAACAGATGCTAAGTTTTGCTCAGTACATATGGCTCTAATTGTATCTTCCAACAAGGCAGAAAAATGGGATATAAATGATACGGGGACAAAATGGGAAGTTAAAAGAC